AGTATAAGTTCATACTAGATGCTAGAGAGCACCTGCGACCCCACGCTGTGTCTTCCAGTGCATCATAGCTGTCACTCCGCTTCTCATCTTCCGTCAGCCGTCCCTCAAACTAATCTAGATCTTGGTTACTGGAAGCCAGACCGTCCTCTTGCGAAAGGGGGTCGCACGTGTGCATAGACTCGCTGTGTGGGCTTGCTTGCCTGTCATCATCCGTGACAGGGACGGGCGGCTCGTCCTTCGTCTTTTCAAATTCGGAGGGGAGCATGATAGCGCGGTCGATGGCCACTGGGAGACCACGATGTCGCCCGCGAAGCATGACCAGGCATAATATAAGCTTTGAAAGAGGCTTCAAGGCACCGGAAAACGAGTAATTTTCCTACCACAGCAAATAAGAATCCTTCAATTATCAACATCTCCATCACTTACGGTAGGTATCCCAAGACTGAGACCAACAGTGCCGTATGCTGAGACTAATTCAAAAACTTGTCGGAGTTGAGCAGAGTCCGCAATTCGATACGATGGGGACATACTGATAGTAAAGATATTAAACCAGCCCTGTATCTCCGTGTTGTCTAAGTTTCCGCGCTACCATTAGTTGAGCTATTAGAACTGTTGCGAATCCTCGGCCGTTGGGCTGCTCACCTCTATGATACAGATCAACACCAGTGCCTACGTCAGAGAAATTCAGTCTACTCCTCCACGGTGACTGCGTACAAGCTTACGAGACACAACCACCACATGTCTGGATAGCCATATGAGACAGATCATTAGACGAGAAAATTAGACATACCAAATGCTAGTTGTCGACGTGCATGCATGGCCAAGTATCGAGACCATACCGTCATCCTTGGGCCTGTAGTTGAAAAGGCATGTTCATCCTCTGAATCATCATCATCCTTGTATATACCCAGGGATTGCTCTTCATAGACGTTTGTCGAGCGGACACTAGATTGATGAGCTTCATAATTACCTATCTGCATGTTTGCCAATGGCGAACGCACCTTAGTGCAATAGGGTCTCGACAGGCAATCAATTTTACGCGTATCGTCAAGATAATTGAGGCACTCACATACACTAACATACATCATGATGACATATATGACTCTGTTCCCTGAAGTTAGAGCCTGTTCCATACAACGATTGCTCAACCTAACTTGACAGCGGGAGCTACTCTGGCAAGAGGAACTATTCCAAACCCCGCAGCACGAACTGCAATAGCCTGATATAATCCAGCGACAACTCTCGTTCCTAAAGGTATGGAATCGATATCAGGGTTACCAATATCAAGGACCAAAAAGCAGAACCAGTCTGTAAAACTATATTGCCGAGTTCAGTATACGATGATAGAGATAGTCCTGGGGTGTGCGTACTTCATGATGACAAGAATTGTAAGGAGAAACCAAGTTTGGTACGAAGGGAAAAGATAAAAAAAGCATCGGCGAGGATGGTCCAGGAGGAAATGCAGCGTTTCATTCAGTCGAGAATCCCTCGGTACGAGTTTCGTGATGATCCAGCTTCCTACGATGAACAACGAGTTTATCACAGAGATAGCATGCTTACATGAGAAACCGGAGCCTTCAGGTTTTTTTTTTGAGTAAAAATTCTTATGCATTCCATATTGAAAACTCACAGTACAGGCTAACGATGATGAATGATTATTATGTTGTTAAAACGAACTCACTGATACTCACAAATGCAGTGTTGCCAGCCAAGATACAAAATATCATGAAGAAGATCACTTAACCAAGAAAATGTCAGCAGCAGCATCCAGTACATACGATATATGATACTCGCTTGGATAAGCTGTTTGGAAGGGCACCATGCTCTGGTCGACAAGAGAAGTTCCGGCATTTGTGTACGCCGATACGACTTGGAACAATGAAAACCTACATTCAGGTTCTGTTAGTTGAGGTCTTGTTACTTAGCGCTTAAGACGCTGCTCACCAAGGAACTGTAATTATTCTAAATTGGGCAGGAGGTACGAAATCGCTCGCCCACTTTGGCAGTGACATGTAAGGAGCAATCACCACGAAGGAAACCAATTGTACGACTATATGATACTACGAAGGCATTTTAAGTTGATGAGGACCACGTGAAAACAAGATCACTCACAGATGCAACTAACCATAGTAGTACATTCAGTGCCCGATATTCAACTCCACCCAATTCCTCAAGCTGTTCGTTGGTCGAAAAATGAAACGCAGAATTCCGCCCAACGACGGCATCGAACGAAATATACGTTACAGGCTTCGTACCCTCCTTAGCGCTAACGCTTCCGCCGTGTGTTGGCCTCCCAGGGACACTCGCAGCGCCACTCATAGTCCGTCCCAGCCCACCGCCCGTCAGTGTAGTAGTAATAGGAATCGTCACAGTTCTCTTCAGTCTATTCGTGGTATTGGGAAACAGCCAACCAAACAACATCCCCAACAGCTCGTGAGGCATGGGAAAACCCCCGAACCCTCGTAGCATCTGCTCCTGTGATTGGTCGATATGATGCGAATTTGATGTGCGCCTAGATCGATGTGTTTGAATGGTTGGGTGCTGTGCTAATGGCACGTGCGAATGTTGGGGGACTACGGAAGAACGGCGGCGGCGGCGACGAGGACCAGACAATCCTGAAACTGAATTATCTGATGAGATTTCAGCCGCATCCGAGCGACCGGTTCGGCTACCGACAGGAAAGAGGGGGGGATGGGAACGAGAAACAGTGGGTGCAAAGTCGATAGTTGCTGTCCGTGGCATTCCAGTCGATGCAGACGTTACAGCACCCTCACCCGCTTCAGGCACGCAGCTCGGGAGTTCCCCCAGACTTCCTGAATCAGAAAGACGACGTGCGCGCCCACTGGTGCAAACCAGATGTCAGGCTCGCTGGTACCAAAAGTAGTGCTGTAGATACCTACCGGGTATTTCTTTGATCTGCAGGCCCCACGTTGACAGTATCTACATGTAGGTTCTTGATCTCGACACCATTTTCCAACTCAAGTTGACGAGGAAAGGGCCCTTGTTCTTCTACTTGCATATTTAAGCTCATCGCAAATTTCAACAAAGAAACGCATCATACCGCTTTCTGTGATCCGTCCGCTCGGGTTGATCAATTTGGGTTGACCATCCATGCGCCTGATCATATCTGGTCTCAGTCTCCTTGTGCTGTCCTTCGGTGTTGTTTGAACATCACCGCTAGCAGAATCCTCCGGTACCGTACTAGGGTTGGTCTTCCTTCGGAAGATGCGGCGGGACCATCCATCTTTGCTACCCACAGAATTCTCTGCAGACGCAGTGGCAAGCTGCTGCTTTGCCTTGATCGTGGCCTGTCGGGCAGCCTCTACTCCGATAATATGATCGAATGTCTTAGCAAAGTAGTACCTGTAAAATTAGGAATGAATATCATCGACGCATACAGTGTGAACAACAACCTCCTGGTGTACACCATCACCCACGACACAATGACCTTGAGCCAAGGTTAGAGAAGTACCACGTCACGATCCAAGGAACGTACTGGGTTTCCAATACACATCTGGATGAACAACAACACTTGCTGCCAAGCGGTAAGCTGGCTCAAGTTCACAGTCGCGAGACCGCACACGGTCATCGCACTGACTGAATTGTACAGCGCATCAATGTATGCAACTGGATATTTGCCATTGCTAGCATAAAGGATTCCAGAGAATATCAGGGGCGTCAAAGTGCTAAAAACACGTGTCATCAAACTCAGTGATGGGCCAATAAACAGCGGTGTTACTAATGTGGCGAACTCACAAGAAGATAACATGTATGCGGAAGAAATTGAGATGTGCCCTGATGGTTTGCCATGGGCCGTGTTCTAAAGATGTTGTTGAGACCTGCGCCGACATCACAGCGAAATCGCGCGTCAGGATGGTGGGCGAACTTGCTGAGAGCGAGAACGACCCTACGTCCACTTCCAACTGGCAATATAATGTCATTGGTCCTGTGACATGCTGATGTAAGCAATACGTCTGTATGCCATTCTATCTAGTAGTGAACGAGAGAGGAGAACGGCCAAAAAATGCCGCCCAATGTGTGTCTCGAGTAGAGTACGCGCAATATGAGAATGCTAGTAAAAGCAAAGCATTATCGAAAACATGGACGATAGGTAGAGTTGTTAGAGATGAGAAGCTCAGCGCTCAGCGGCCATTTTAATTCGACAGTCATAATGATAACAATATATATTGGTAATTGCTAACCTGTGATATCAGTAGAGATGCTGCCTTCACACCGAATATTATAAGAAATGAACGTTAACCCGCGGAACCAACAGCTCCGTGTTCTCGAACTTTCGCACGCTTGGCCCGCGGTTTCAGCGTACATAACATGTTGTCTTGCTCTTTCCACAGTATCGTTGGCATTGGTGTGCGCTCGGCTTTTCGACGAAGCTGTGGAAGCTAGGGTCTTGCCATTTACAAAGCCGGAAGACGTAGCGGGTACGGATCCGAAAAACTATACACTTCGGCTTTTACAGCGGGAATATTTGGCGGCTGGTAATAATGGGGCCCAAGGTATCATCTATTGATCCAAAACCGACGGGTCCTACAAGGACTGGACATGGCGTCATGAGGATATGGCAAAATCAGATCAGCTGGTGCATAATATGATCACCGTGTGTGGAGACAAGTCACTAGGTGGAACTTCGGCCTGGTAGCCGAAATATCCGATAGCGACTCTGGGACAAACTCTGAGCCAAAGTCGCTGGTTGAGTTGCATCTCTTGTGTGCTGTGGGCCGTATGGTACTCCTGCGCTCTTCCCTGGCTTTTGACCCCGCCTCCATCTTCCTCTCCCACAACGCAGAAGATTGAAACCTCCGAGTCGTCTTTTTGTTTCATTTGCATCTGCAGTATAAATCCTCGGGGCTATGAATTCAGCTATTGTATCTATGAGACCTGTAACCCGTACAGTATTGTTATCGTGCACCTCATACCCACCCTGTAATGTAGCTAACGGCTAGCTAAAGCCTTTGTCTCTATGCAATATCGGTCAACGATACCACAAAGGGGACGAACGCAAAAGTATCGTAATGTATATATTCCAGTGTGCGAAACATCAAAAAAGTTCGGAATATGATCAAAAAAGCAAACGAAAATAGAAATGCAATGAGTATATAAGAAAGAAATGGATTGAAAACGTCACATGCGAGTGGGATCAAGCCACGAGAGAGACTAGCTTGTCGCCATCCTTGAGCTTCGAAACGACCCGGCGGAGTCTCTCAGGCTCATTCTGGAACCCAGCACCTCTGAGCATGATAGCCATATATGCGGACGCCCTGGGAGCATCGATGGCAATACTGTCCAGAACTGCTGTCATGGGCATGAATCCCTTCTCAAACCCCTCGAGCGTACATTGTCCGTTCCTCATAGTCTGCGCGAAGAAATCGCTCACCAACCTTGAATCTGCCTCTTTGCCCTTAAGCGCGGATGCAACCAGCTTGTCCACGAGCCGGAAGCGGTGCTCGTCAGGAATATTGGGGAAGTATCCATCTGCCTTTTGGAGATTGCGAACCGCGAAGAACTCCTTCGCGTTTTCATCAATCTTCTTCACGGTTGCTGCGGTGGGTACCCTTTTAGGTTCTTTGGAGGGAGTCGTGACATGCTCTGGAGTAGTATGAACGGACCGTGGGAGAAGCTGAAGTTTCCTGCGCTGTGCAGCGGGCTCAGGAACACCAGCATGATCGTTCCGCTTAAGTCCTAAAGAACGACTGGGTTTCGGGGACATCTTAAGGGTCGGTTCAGGATTCTGACTGCCCACAAACGCGCTACTTGGACTCACAACGGTGGGGGCACCTATGGTAATCTTGCCAAATTGTGACAGATCAACAGTTTCGGGTGTCGCCCATGGAACAGAACCATCCGGAGCAGCCCTGCTATCAGGGCCATTGTGCTCGCTGCCGCCTCGAGGACGACCGAGAGACATGCGTATCTGCCGATTGTCCACGAGACGGAAGCTTAGCTCATGCGGAACATTGGTGAAGTAGAGCTCCACCTCTTGAAGATCGTGAACAGCGAAGAACTTTTTCACTTCTTCATCGATCTTCTTCTTCACGTCTGTTTCTGACATGGCCATAGGTGCGGTTTCAGTTTCTTCTTCCAAAGGTGTCGTGGCATTCTCTTCAGTAGTATGAACGGACCGTGGGAGAAGCTGAAGCTTCCTGCGCTGTACAGCGGGCTCAGGAACACTAGCATGACCAAGATCAACGCTCGTTTTCCGACTCGACGAATCACCGAGCTTTGTGGACACCTCGGGGTTCTGGCTGAACATGTGGAACATGTTTGAGCTCGGAGTCGTTTGTGAAAGCCCCTCCCGCTTGCTGTCCTTCGTGCCAGCCTCGGAGATGTCACTTGGACATGTCACGTTGGTAATATTACTAAACGGTGACAGATCCTCAACCTCGGGAAGCGCCTGCGGAACAGTTTCACCTGCAACAGCCCAGCCATCAGGATCCTCTTGGGTGCAGTCGCTGCTCTTTCGGGATTCACTACCAGACATGCTCCTCTGACGCTCCTCTGCAGCTGCAATCTGCTTGGCGGCCTGCAACACGAGTGTCAATGTGAAAATGTTAACGACACCAATCTATCTTACCAGCCAATGAACTGCAGCAATCGTCGCGGGAGCAGCATCTCGGTCCATCCATATGCGATCACGCAACTCGATAACGTCCTGAGATCACGATGGTGAGTAGGACAGAAAACGATACCCAAAAAATGCCCCACCTGAAGCATGAATTGCATGCGGGTGCTGACAATATTGTTCTTCCACAACTCTTTCATGCGCATGAAGTAAATATCCATATGCGCGCGGGCCTTCGGCGTGTCAAGCAACTGGCCAACCGTCTTTAACAGTTGACACAGGCTCTCAATCTTCTCTTCCTCCGGGTTTTCGATGTTGCCCAACAGCTTCATCACACAATTGTGCATGATACGCTCCGTAAGCATGCGTACCTTGAACAACTCGCCAATAAACGTGATGAGATTAAGACCCTGGCGCTTTGCCCTCTCAAAATCGGCAGTAGTAGCATCCTTGGCGAACCACCCATGCTCAAAGTCTTCTTGACACCGGTTGAGGAGATATTTCCGGAAGAGATGGCCACCTCTGATTGGTTTGCCCTCCATATTCTTGACCCCGTCATCTTGTACCTCAGGACTGATCTCCTCCATCATCTTCCGACACAGCCGCGCATACATCTCGCTCCAAGCAGCCTCATCGATGGCTTTCTCGAAAATGAGCCTGATGACTTGGATGAGCGTCCGCCCATCCTTCTCATTCACACTCTTGTTGGCCCAGTGGATGATCTGATCTGAAATCATCTCGAATTTCTCCATCGTGAGCTTGTTGAGTAGCGCCTTGACCTTACGGTCGACCAGCTCAGGTGAATCGACATCAGATTGACCTTTGCGGGCCGTACTGGCAGGAACCCAACGGTTGGCAGATAATTCGAGAGGTGCAACGGGCTCAACGCCAGAACCCCGTCCTAGCTGGGACATCGGTGACTGGTTGGCACTACCACGTGTCATAACACGTCTACTATGTGTCCTGCCAGAGCCACGCATGGGATGGCCAGGGTCGCCCTGGCTGGGTGTGTGCACCATCGGAGCACGCAGTTCAGCAGTAGCACGGCTATTTGCAGAACGGACGTTGGACGGCATGGCAAAACGCTGTTCGCTGGTCAGCTCGCTTCCTGGGGACGGGAAGGTGCCTACCTGAAAACTGTCTGGAACAGAGGGTTTCTGGTAGTCGATGTGAGGTTGACGTTTGCGCCGGGTCGTACTTGGGACGAGAATTGTGGCAGACATTGTGGAGGAGCTGGAGATTATCATTGGCGCCCAATCTGCATACTATCTATCTTGCTGCGCAGTGCGCATGTGATTGTCCTACGGGCCGCACACGACTGCATTAATACAGCTTCTTGCAATGAGGCTTGCATTAAAACTTGCTAGATTGAAGCCCAGGCTGCAGGACCCACATGCTGATGTAAACGGAAAGGTCGGAATCTGAAATGATATTGCTGGTACCTGATGTACTGCTAGCTGTAGCCTATGCCGCTGTATGTAGTGAACGATAACAAAAAAGAGGACAAACGCAAAAGTGCCGTGCGATGTATATATTAGTTGCAGAACACCAAGAACACGTGCAATACGATCAGAAAACGGATGAAAACGAAAATGCGATAAGAATGCAGGTAAAGAAAAATGAAATCGACAATGTGAGATGAGTAGGATAGATCACGCAACGAGAGAGACTAGCTTGTCGCTATCCTCGAGCTTCGAAGCGATCCGTTGGAGTCTCTCAGGCTCATTGTCGAATCCAGCGCCCTTGAGCATAATAGCCATGTAGTCAAATGCCTTGGGAGCATCAATGGCAATATCGTCCAAAAACTCCGCCATGGGCATGAACCCCTCCTCAATGACCTCAAGCGTACACTGTCCGTTACTCGTAGCCTGCGCGAAGAAATCACCGACCAACCTTGCATCCGCCTCCTTGCTCTCAAGCGCGGACGCAACCAGTTTGTCCACGAGCCGGAAGCGGTGCTCGTCAGGAAGATTGGCAAAGTAAACCTCCGCCTCTTGAAGATTGCGAACAGCAAAGAACTCTTTCACATCTTCATCGATCTTCTTCTTCACGTCTGCTTCTGACATGGCCATGGATGCGGTTTCAGGTTCTTCTTCCGAAGGTGTCGTGGCGTTCTCTTCAGTAGTATGAACGGACCGTGGAAGAAGCTGGAGCCTCCTGCGCTGTACAGCGGGCTCGGGAACACCAGCATGACCAAGATCAACGCTCGTTTTCCGACTCGACGAACGACTGGGTTTCGTAGATGCCTCAGCGGCGAGTTCAGGGTTCTGACTGAGCATGTGGAACATGTTCGAATTCGAATTCGTTCGAGAAAGTGTCTCCCGCTTGCTGTCCTTCTTGCCGGCCGCGAAGATGCCGCTTGGACCCATTACCATTCCCATGGCTGGGCCCTTGGAGATCTTGCCGAACTGCGACAGATCACCAGCCTTGGGAGGTGCCCGCGGAACCGAACTGCCACCTGCAACAGCCCAGCCGTCAGGGCCGTGTTCTTGGTTCCGGTTATCACCGCGTCGAGAACCACCGCGAGACATGCTTATCTGACGGTTGAAAGACTCCTTCTCTGCAGCTGCTTTCTCCTTAGCGGCCTGGAACATGAGCGTCAATACAAACGTTTCCGAGGATGCTAGTATATCTTACCAGCTCGTGAACAGCAGCGATTGTCGTAGGCGCAGCAACAGCATTGCGGCTCACCCATTTACGGTCACGCAACTCAATGACGTCCTAAGATCATAATGAGCACAACCGACAAAGACACCCAGAAATGCCACACACCTGAAGCATGAATTGCATACGAGAGCTGACGTTGAGACTCTTTCCGAGCTCTTTCATGCGCGTGAAGTAAACGTCCATATGCGCACGGGCTTTCGGCGTGTCCAGCAACTGGCCAACCGTCTTCAACAGCTGACACAAGCTCTCAATCTCCTCTTCCTCTGGGTTCTCGACGTTGCCCAACAGCTTCTTCACACACTCGTGCATGATACGCTCAGTGAGCATCTGCAGCTTGAACAACTCGCCGATGAACTTGATGAGACCAAGACCCTGGCGCTTCGCCTTCTGTGCAGCGTAGTACTCTTCCGAATAGAGTTCAGCTTCCTCTGTGCTCTTCTTGTCGTTAGCAGCCTTAGTTGCATGATCGTCGGAAGCCTTCGCCGCAGCGGCTGCAGCAGTAGCTTCCTTGGCGAACCACCCGCGCTCGAAGTCTTCTTGACACCGGTTGAGGAGATACTTCCGGAACAGCTGTCCGCCAGCAATGGGCTTGCCCTCTGTATTCTTGATCCCGTCATCTTGCACCTCAGGACTGATCTGCTCCATCATCTTCCGACACAGCCGCGCATACATCTCGCTCCAAGCAGCCTCGTCAGTTGCCTTCTCGAACACCAGCCGGATGACTTGAATGAGCGTTCGCCCGTCCTTCTCATTCACGCTCTTGTTGGCCCAGTGGATAATCTGGTCTGAAATCGTCTCGAATTTCTCCATAGTGAGCTTGTTGAGTAGCGCCTTGACCTTACGGTCGACCAGCTCAGGTGAATCGACATCAGATTGACCCTTCCGGGCCGTACTGGCAGGAACCCAACGGTTGGCAGATAATTCGAGAGGTGCAACGGGCTCGAAGCCAGCGCCCAGGATAGGTGCAACGCCATAGCCAGAGCCATGTTCTTGCTGGGACATCGGTGCCTTGTTAGCATCGCCACGCTTCTCCCCACGTTTGCTGCGTATGCGGTTGCTGCCATGCATAGGATGGCCAGGCCCACCTGTACTTGGCGTGCGCACCATCGGGGAACGGAATTGGGAAGTAGCACTGCTAGTTGAAGCAGAACGATTAGACATGGCGAACCGCTCCTCGCTGGTAAGTTTGCTTCCTGGGGACTGGAAATTGCCCATCTGGAACCCGCTCGGAACGGAGGGTTTCTGGAAGCCACCGATGCCCAGACCTACAGAAGCCTGGCGGTTGGCAGAAACGGGCATCGCACCAGAGGCGTTACGATGACGTCCAGAGCCACCGCGGGCCATGGGAAACGAAGCTTGATCGACCGGTTCAATGCCAAGGACGTCCAGAGCAGGAAGGGTAGGCGGCTTCTCCTTGCAAATATGCATGAACTGCATAAGGAAGTCACGGTCATATCTACACGAAGCAATGAATGAGACATTCGAAGTGAAAGAAGTAAAACACACCTGAATCGACCATCCCTGACGTTTGCATTCAGTTCAATCTTGGGGCTCTTGATGCCTTCGGGGTACGCAACCTCGCTGAGATTTTCGATGACACGTGCTGTGAGGAGTGCGGAAGGTGGAGGCGCAGAAAAATCTTTCTTGGTTGAAGCAAGGTCGAGAGGGCCAGGACGTCTTCGTGGAATCTCAGTGGGAGGGGGCATCGCAGACGTATCTATCCGAAGTGACTCCTTCAATTTCTTTCCGCTATCACCGTTAAGCTGAGGCACAAGAGCTTCGTCGTGTTCGGAGACTTCGCCGTCCTCGGGCTCTTGAGACTCGCTGGTGGGTGATGAAGTCTGAACGATGTCAGCAGCTTCTTCAGCTTCGAGCTGAGCTTCCTCTGCTTCAAGAGCATCCTGCTGTTTCCGTTCCTCCTCTTCCAGTGTGATGCGTGCCTGTTCTGCCTCTTGTTGCTCTGCTTCAAGACGGTCTTCCTCCTCCTGACGTAGGCGCTCATTCTCAGCTTCCTCTGCTTGTCGTATCCGCTCCTGTTCTTCCTCCTCCATGCGTATCCGGTCCTCCTCGACCTTCCTCTTGCGTGCAGCCTCTTCCTCCTCTATCCGCTTAGCCTCTTCCTCTGCTTCGCGCTTCTTCTTCTCTATGGCATCCTTCTTCGCACGCTCCTCCTCGTCTTTCTTCTCCTGCTCTTTCCGTGCAGTCTCCTCGCGCGCGCGCTTCGATTCCTCGCTCTCAATCCGTACTGAAACCGAAGGTTGCCGTCGACTGGTCACGACAGGCGATGCGGGTGGGATAGGAACGGTCGGTGGTTGGGGACTGTGCTTCTTGAGAGCATCAAGCGTCACCTCCATGCCATCCTGGCTCTTGATGGTAACCTTGGATGTAGAACGTCCGCCAGGAACAAAGTCGCGTGCGTTCGTATTAAGGCGAGGCGCGTTGGTAGTGGAAGGCGTGGGTGGTGGTGAAGATATGGAGGGAGGCGGTTGAGGTGTATGAGGAGGGTGCGGGATAGCGTGTGCCATGGTGGGTGTGCCGGGTAGTTGGGGGGCTGCGGGGCGAGGTGACATAGGAAGAGGTCCAGGCTGATGAGGAGGGACATGAGGGACGTGTTGCGGGGGTTGTTGGTGCATATGTGGGGAGGGCACAGCATAATACCCCCAAGGAGGTTGTGGTTGATATGGATCCATATACTTGCATCACGTTGAGAACACGGTTGATAAAGGTTTTTAAAAAAATGGAGTACTCACATAGTATCCGGGCCATGACATGGGCTGCATGGGTACCTGCTGTGCCATACCTCCAGGAGGTGCTTGATGTGGATGCGGAGCCATTCGGGGACTGGCAGGGATAGGTGGGCCACCGGGACCCCCTGGGCCAGCTCCTTGTCGAGACTGGCCTTGCACGTTTGGCACGGCACGAGGGAATGCAGGAGAACGTGGGGTGCCAGAAGGCTGCTGCGGTGGGCGCATGTTATTGGGCACGAATTGCGAATATGAATGTGTGCCGAGTTGCGAGGGTTGCTGTGGCTGTGGCTGTTGTGAGGAGGATGACGATGGCTGGTGGTGTGAAGGTAAATTAGAGGGCCGGGTGGAAGGAGAGGATGTGTCGGAAGACGGCTGAGAAGATGATGACGAGGGATTCTGGAAGAGCTTTGTTATGTCTGCTCTGGACGGTTTAGGCGTAGATGCGGTTAATGTTGCGGCCGTTGAGGATAGCGTACTGGAGTTGGAGAGTGTTGGTCGTGGAGGCTGCTTCGACGACCCTGTGGCCGATGCAGAAGCTGAGATTTTACCATTTACATGGTTGGAAGACGTAGCAGGTACGGATCCGAAAGACTTTACGACTTCGGTTTTGACGGCGGGAATGGCGGCCGGTGATGAAGATAACGGGGCCGAGGCATCATCTATTGATCCAAACACAACGGATGCTAAGAGTGACAGTTAGAACTGGAAATGGTAATTAGCGTGATGATAAAATCAGACCTGGTCGTACTACTGATCCCACATTATTTCGAGGGACTGAGACGCCATCTTTTACGGACACGCCCTGGCCTAACGCACTTGGACGTCTCGAGTGAGAAGTAGCTATTGGAGATGCAACATGAGTAGGAGCGGGAGACTGCGATCGCGGCGAAGGGGTTGCGGATGAACTGCTCTGCGGCGGGCCCTTTGCCCAAGCTGACTGCGAAGGGAGCGGCGTCGGAGTCTTTCCAGATGTATTGGAAACTTTGTTCATTCTATAACACAAAAAAAAACACGCATGAGACGCGCGGAAGGTAGTTTTGGTTCAGTCGTCAACAACAACGAGCACACAACGAATGGAACTCACGAATTTTCGATGTAACAGATATTTTAGCAAACAGTCGATGATTTGTCGCGCGTGGTGGTCGTCAAGTATGACCTGCCAGCAGGCGAAAACAAAAGATCAGTTGTATGAACCTTGGTTCTGTCTATGAAAAACGAAAGCCCGTCGCTGTCAGTTGCGATCTCGGCAGGTTAAAAGGATGATGTCTTCCTGCTATAGCCTGAGGCTGTAGGGAAACGACGGAGTACAACAAGTGCGTGGGACTCGAGCCAAAAAAAACAACCCCTACAGTGGACCCCAGAAACCTCAGTTGGTCCCCGTTCACTCAGTCGGCAATCCACTTTTTTATTATTGTGTCACTCATTGACTTGGAACCGACGGCAGTGAGCTCAAAACACGTTCTTATAACACGAGTTCTTTAATCAACGTCATTTACACAACCTTTAGAAGACACATAACAATCCATGCCAGAGACAGACTATTCAAGTCGGCGATAAGAATCAGCCGTAACCGGCCAACAGGCTTAGTACGAGCACTACTAGTTCCTGCCCCTGCGGGACCTCGCTTGAAGCCCGTCTGGACTGTCATACTATTACGAGCGACTCTAGGTGAGTCTTCAGACTGATGAGAATAGTGTACTCAGATAATCCCTGATGCGTTCTTGCCGCTCGTACGCAGACCCGTCATCGCCAGCACAAGACATTTGTATTTCATCCGCGTGTACAGTATCACCGTAACGAGAATCGGTCCTGAGCTATTTATTTCTCGTCAGTTTAGGTTTACTCCGGACAAACGTTTATCGCGCTGAGCTCACAGACATTTTAATGTCTATTTGTATCTCATCTCATCTAGGTCATCGAGGGAGATGCCAGCCGTTTTTATACTAGGCTGCTCACTATTTCTGACCGATTCAGCTAATTGTTCCAGATATCCAGTCTCTTGAGGATTGGCACCTACCAGCCCCTCAGCCGAACCCTTCAATAACCAGCTGATGAGCATCCTGCAAGACCTTTCTCTTTGCAGCAGAGGATATGCAGGTGTTTGCCAGAGTAGTTTGTATGTACAGCTTACTGCATTGCTCTACACTACGTAGATGACAAGTTATTGCAGTTATTGCATGAGTATGTCACCATCCGGCCAGTGTGGGTTACACCCTGACAACTCGATTTCTGTTTGATCCAGATACAGATGATATGACATTCGTATCACCGAGGTCTGTCTCGAACGCTCAGGTTTCAGGCAAAGATGCTCACCTTATTTTAAGCCACGTTCACCATGCTGATGGTAGCATACAAAGTGGGACTGCATAGGAGATTTCGATTATGCTATAAGGTTTTCCGTTGCAAGTTTTCTACCCACGTAATATGTGTTTCTCACATTAAAACTAGAGAATACCTTGAAGCACATCGCCGTGCAACACTATCTTGCCAAGGTCAAGTAAGCGCTTGAACAGGAGCATACCAAGATGGCATTGTGACGGAGCTTTGGAAGACGCAGAGCGGGAAACATCGATATCCTTTGATGAATATCTTTACCGCAATTGTTTTCACAGAGCAACTCTTGCCCCCCGCATTAAAAATACTTATGTCAAGTGTCCCTGTCATTCTCTAGAACGGAAACGAGACTTATCTTTAGCCCTAGATTGGATCGATTAGACCTAGTCGACTTCGCACCAGAAATCTGTGTGGAATATTTGAATAATCACAGTGGCCAGATCCACCAAACATGCACGCCAAGAACAATACGAACATTATTATACACAAATCGTCTGTCATAGATTGGTTAAATGTCTCCCCTTATGTATACTGGCAGCTGATTACCCATTGTTTGAACGGCATACGTAGGGTCATCGATGTAGTAATTGGTGATCCGGGCCCAATACCAAACTGCGACGTGCCCACCCACGACAGCCGATGTGACAACTCACTTATCGTTTTTTTAAATTGAGCATGGCCCGCTATCATATGTAAGAACGGAGTAAATCGTGACGTATGTACATATCAAAGAAAAATAATTAGACCTGCTAGTGAACATGCGATAAAACACGTAACCAGAAATGGTACGGTATCAAAACAGAACCGAGCCGAGATAAAGGGCACGGCGAAATACACCTGGTATGATAGCATTATCACGAGGTAACAGGCTGAACAGTGGAGATGCAGCATTAGATGCACCAGTGTGCACAACAATCATGATCTTCTTCTTGTGCAGGTTGTTGTCTCACCGTTTGCACTTGAGGTTGGGGCTGTAGCTTTCACTAGCGTCGAGCTGGGCTGCACCACAAGCTGAGCTTGATGCCTGACTAGTCTCAGTATTACGCTTCACAGGGCGATACATAACGTAGACCTTCTGAAGATTGGGTCATGTATAAATATGTGACAATAGGAGGGTATAAGGATGTTCCAGAAGCGGCGAGCCGAAGATCAGTTAGGACGCTTGGGACGATAGGAGGATAGTGTCGAAGCATGAGAAGTCTTTGAATGTTCATTGATCATGCTGTCCCCTTTACATGACAAAACACAGGGCTTGCCTGAAAAAAGTCGATCATCACTATACAGCTGTGCAACTAAAAATTTGTAGCGTCGGCCTGTGAAAGTTCTGTGAGCGAAAACGAAGGCCGGCAGTCTAATGCATGAGTGCTGACATGAAGGCAAGACAAGGCGACGGCTGGGTAAAGTTTCCTTCTGTGTAATGTGCCACCTTGAAGTGTAGTTATAAAGGCACGTACCGGAAGCTCAGGAGCTATGTATGAGACCATCCACAAAGCAATATTCCTGCCACGTTCGTCATATGCGAGGTATCTCCGATCTCGAGAGAATAAGACAGGCGACCCGCCAACTAACACTTTGCTATCTCCCTGGCTGAATTACTGGCCTAGCGGTTGATAGAACTTTGTTGCAAGAAGACAAAACTCAAAAAACCGACCGTCCTCATGGCCTTCAAATTGATGCTTTGGTATTGGCTTTTTGGGTTGTACTGGTGAAGCATCCTCGATGATCAACTCGGATGTCGTATGGTTCAGGATCCAAAGACATAGGGTTAGTCATCTGTATGCATTTTTGTCTGGTCATGGTCGAAAAAGGAATTGACCAGTACTCACCGGTATCGTGTAGCCTGGGTAGCAAGCCAGGTCTTGCAAGCATCGCCACAGGCATGGTGTAACAGCTCCCCCTTTTGCCCACTACATGTTCATCCGAGTCAGGAACTTCAGAATAATTCACGTGAATCCAATAGTGCTAGCGACGAGCGCGCCATTTACACACCAACACAATACTGTTATAATTGACCCACCGTCCTCATCGCTGTCATTGAAATGGCACCTCAAGTTACTTACTCATACATCTATTTGAAGTAGTACTACTAAGCTTAGTCACTCCCAAATTTCCACGCAGGGCGCTACCACTTTCCTCATTACGGCCATGTTCCACTGCCTTCGTTGTCTGGAAGCAACACCCGTTCTGATTCTTTTAAACAATGAAGGTCAAAAGTGCCCCAGCGCTGTTTTCAAACAAACCCGGTGACCATCAAATTCATGTCCTTTTCTAATACTAATTGGTCACCAGCTTAACCCCAACCCCAACGTCACGGTACCGACATCATATGTGCCTACTATAGATACAATATGAAATCGGAAGGGCAGTGTCCTTACTGGACCACAGATGTGGTAGACATATGCGTCTCGTGATCTCCAGATGACACGGATTCCAGGGTAATAACCCGTTGTTTTTGAACGCGTGCGCTACATTCCGTGTACATAATGTCCACTCAGCAGGGAATGGATCGTGATTGAAATCTACCTACAAGTTCGCGAATGCAAGGACCCTCGGTCCATTTGGTCCCGAATTTCCAAGGCTCGAGATCATTCCTCCGGTAGCTAAATTTACTGCTGTGCAAGTGCTCTCTACTGATACTGTCGTGGTGCAAGAGTCTCCAAACTTTGTGGCAAATCATCATCCGCCGACATGTAAAAGTGCTATGCGCTGCAGGTCGACTGAGCGAAGCAGCGGAATGTTCCATGACATGATACACAAGTTTGACGATGGCATAAAATACTGAAGCAGAATTCGTTGACTGGTTGATGAGTAAGTCCCGTCCGGCACTATGCCCTCGAGGAGATTATCTCGAAGGAATTTCAACACCAGGTTTCAGACGATTATGTGTTGCGGCATTAGTGAAGGAGGTAGACGCGGCTTCACGCACCGAAAACCATCGATGGATTGGTACCCAGCACTCAGCAGCAATAGTTCTCGATCCATTACGGGATGACTTTTCCGTAAACTTGGCGAGGCAAGCGCCGCAAAACCCTTATGGGGGTGTTCTAGAGGTAGCACAGCAGGTATGCTTGACTTTGATCCCCGTTTTACATGTACCAGAGCCCCAGATCTCTCTGATGATACGGAATTCATTGTCAGGCGACTGAGCTCGACACCCCCCTCATCGTCATGGGATTTCAAATGAAACACGCGGCGCTTCACCTCTTGCAAGATTTCGATAACTGGATCATGGCATTGATTGTATTCAGTGCAAGGTCTCCGAAGCTAGACCATGCTGGTGATTCATAAACGCGTGGTAGGCATTTACACGCTCACCGATCAGTGGGTTGCGCTAATATGACCCTTTTTGTTACAGAGTTACACCAGAAATACATCAGTCCATCTGAAAGAAAGAGAACGACTCGAACAGCCCAACTTTCTTCATCACGAACACTGGGCTGTTATGCGATTGCGGAGTACTGATAAGTTATTCGAAACTTGCGACGAGTACTAGGACATCGTCTCATTGATAACGACTTTCGTGGAATCCTGACTCGATCGCCTTTGAGTTGGAGTCAACAGATTCTTCTGATATGTGATATTATCGCACAAATGAGAAGCGAAGATAATCATTGTTACCCAATATCCAGAACAATAACAATTCACATTTTCAATGCAGTCAACAGCATCATAAAATTCAGCGAAACTGTTGCTCGCTGACAAGGATATCGTGCTGGACCAACGAGATAAATGACGTCTCATCGATCAACGTGTTCTTGTGGTATCGTAATCCATCTCTCCGAACCATCACGTACTCGTCAGATGTTTCTGATTCATCCACATCTGGCAGGCTGGTGGACGAGGGTCAATTTACCAGTTTTTGGCGGCTTTTTTTTTCCGACAAGGATTGGACCTTGTATGGTGATAATGATCTGTCATCTGACTACAAGGAAGTCCGTTCTCCGCGAGGTGGCAGCTGTTGGTTGCAAAATTCCAACCAGGATTGGATGATGCTCGACTAGCGCTCAAGCTGCAATATTTCACGACCGTGACACAGGAAGGCTATACCACATATTCACTGTTAGACATCTCCGGTGTCCTGAATGGAGAAAATAAAGAGAAGGCACTGAGGAGGCTCTCGGTCTGTTTCTACCGGAGATCACTGACATGGTAGTCTGACGATGTCACTATACTTGATTGGATCGGGAAAACATCGGGATTCGATATTCAATATTACTGTAATACAATACTCGCTTCCTAAAGATATTTATACGTTCAAAACTCTTACTAATCTGCGCCATTGACCAACTCGAGGATCAATCGAGGATACCCTCTACCTTTGCGTGCTGTTTTTTTCCTGTACAAAGGTACGAGTAGGAGGCCAACGAACTGAGCTGTGCATATACCATAAAAGTGGTTAGGATCAAGATCTCTGCAGAGTCGTGACGACAGATGACGATGCTGCTTAGTGCCCTCAGTCGCAGTACATAAAGTGGTCGGTTTACAGCTCACCGACGAAAATTCTTGATAAACATCCATGATTTACTGTGCAAAGACTGAGCATAAATGCACGTTAGGGCTTTTCGTCCGACCGGGGCAGCCGTTCTGTGCCATCTTGCTCTGGCGGTAGCAGAATATAAGAGTCTCGCGTGTGATCACCAGATCATCGCTCAAGTCCACGATCTGAGTCGCATCCTAACCTCGAACGTTAAATACTGATACTTTAGGTGTACAAGGAGAAATAGGAAAACTCACGCCAATGTCATTGGAGGCAGCAAGAACCATACGGGTTTGATGAGGAAGTGAATAGATCGAAGATAGGTTGATTAAGATGATGAACTGATGAACTTTCGAGAATCTGGGCGTGTTCTGTCAAGTTCGATGACTACAAATGGGCATTTTATACGAGTAAGTCGTGTCAAAGTGTTCCTGTGGAATGTAGGAGAAAGTGGCGGTAAAACAAAGGGAGCATTGCGGTGGTATCAGGGCAATGTCAAATCGTGTTGCAACGAGGCGAACAAAGGTTATAGTGCGCAAGGGAGAGAAAGGGAAAGTACAGAGTACTCCAGCATCATGAGGAGTGAAGCTCCTTGTGCTGGTGGCATTGACATTCGGGCGTTGTTCGGGAAGTACAAGAATGTACATGGATCCTTATACACGTGCAGAAAACAAATAACTTGAAATATAAAGTAGGAAATTTGAAGGTAGCGGCAAGTGCTTTCTGGGGAGAAAAATTCCCCACATGATTAGTCACATTGGCGGCAGATTGACAGCCTCTTGGATGGAGTTTGACTAACGTTCTTGCAATTGCATGCAGAGTGCATCCGGGGATCCAAATGAGATAATATGCTTTTATGCCCCTCCTTCCGTACCTCAGATGCACTGTAGCATCGCAAATAAAGTGAGCCAGACTGAGCGAGTGTGCTATACATCAAGCGAAGTAATGACTCGGACAGGTATGTCAAAAGTAATTATAACGCACTTCCATGGCTTCATCCTCAACCCCTAGTGTTTAACGGTTGTAGTCGCCAAGGCCCAAATTCGAGTGTCGGAGCAGACACTAACAAAAGAACTCCAGCTGGATACTGTTGAGCAGCGATAAACCGACGCGATCTCGACACTCCACGATACTGCAACGCTCCAGCTTGTATGTGCCTGAGTTATGTAATACTCAAGGACTGTACACCCAAGGATCCACCTGCCATCTAAAAGTTCAAGCCATACGTCCCCTGAGGGATTTGGAGAACAGTCTTTGAAGCAGACTGAAGGAGATGACAGACACACGGTTGTCAACTACCTGCTGATCTGGTACAACAAGCAAGACAAGAGGAACCAAGGCAAATAGAGAAGGTAAAGCAGATGATGAAGCTTGAAGATGCAGCCATGTCGCCAAGCGAAATGCGAGCAACAATTAGGATGAAGCAACAACAGTTACAGAACTGAGCAACGAATGAAAGCGTGGAAAAATGAAAAGATATTATATTATATTAAATATTATAAGGGCAATCAAAGTTCCGGTCGAAAACAGAGATTTTTTTTGTACCTTCAGGAACTTAGTCATCCAGCTGCCAGCAGCCCTCTTCCATAACACTAGCGAAGCAAAGTCTGATTCGAAGACGACTGATCCTCGTGTCCAGCATGTGCTGATCGATAACGGGTTTGATGCGTTTCAGCCATGTAAAATTACAGATACCCTCTTTTTGGTTTCTACGCGTCTCCAGTATAGAGGATGATGAAAGAGCGATCAGCGCGGCTAACCTGAGATATATCAAAGGATGAGGCACTAGTAATGCATATACTCTGCCACGAGGCTTTAACCATACTATGCAGTTGTTCTTCGCCTATTCTAATGATTCCATGATCCGAATCCTTTTCGTTGGCTGGGCCTTGGCTAGAACAACCCAGTCCTTGCAAACAAGACCCTGGAACCCATGACCTACCTTATCAAGCAGACTCAGAGTTTCACACAAAGCTATCGCCCAGTCACGGACCATCCTCCAAAACAAGTTATTGCTCAACTCGAGGTAATATTAATTGATTGACTACCGGTATTCGGAATATGATTTGTCCCATTTGTCCCTCACTTCCAGTTTATTTGGTGCAAGTGCAGCCGTTCTCAGTACTAGTACACACACTATGTGAGCACATTTCGCCTCTGAATTAGTGATGGGTACTGATGCATCTCAGGATGGACGTAGATCCCGAGTCTGACTTCCGTGTCAAATTCCATGCGCCTCAGCTAGCACCGATGCACATTCCGGGCTGGGATTACAGCAGTACTCCAGAGCTCGTCGTGAGTCTAATCGCCATCGCCGCCATCGATGACTCTCACGTAACTGTTTTCGTCTATTATATTCACCTAAATCGTCGTGCGTGTGACCTTTGTCCTCCTACTGAAACCAATCTCCATATCCACCCGCCCTTGTTATTCGATTCATCCTGATCTATCGTCTAACTCAAGGAATTCCCTGGTTGTGTGCCCGACGAAGATGCACTCGCTCTCACCGAGCTCCTCCACCGTCTTCAGTCTGCGACCAACCCGGACGACATCGAACGTCATCTCCGCGCGCTAGCACTCATCTGGGAAGATTACTACCTTCCTAAGTTTCCCGTTCCTTTCTTCCAGGTGCGGGTCGCCGACGTACGCGCGGCCGGCGGGTCCCTCAGTACTGCTCTTCCACTCTACGATGAGGCGCGTAGTTCGGTGGTATCTGTGGGCTGGGGCTAAAATATTTTATTGATTTGCTTTTCCATTGGTATCTTCCCCTTTTCTCAATTCCCTCAATCATATTGTTTTTTTTGGTTCTTCTCTTTTAATGCAGGTTCTGCATGGTATCACTGGCCAGAATGGTGCGGCATTTGCCCAATTCGTGTCGACAGTGCGGATGTTAGCGCAAGGTGATACGGAGCAGCAAGGTGTGACCCTGCATACGTGTGTCACAACATCCTGATATTCAACACTTCATAGCACGCAGCACCGGTTCTCTAACTTTCTTCCAGCGCTGGAAGCCCGCGCGCGAGCATGCTAATCCCTTCAATTGGCCTATGCTCCCACCAGCGTCAGCCGATATCCTAGCTGCATGGCGCACGAGCCCATACCAGCGGCAGTACCTCAACTACATCTGGATCAAGGCACATCACCTCGAGGGCACCTTCCACTTGACTGGGGAGGTGAGTTGTTCAACCATGAACAACCAAACGCAGAAGTGGCGTTACGGTTGAAATAGTGATTCTAACATTAATGATTTTGTCAACTTAGTCTTCAGATGCACTCACTCATTGGGGATTTGCCCCTCACTTAGTGCGATGTGATGCTAGAAGTGATCTTAAAGACCCTGAGGCCATTGTTCAAGCGCTAATTGATCTCGAAGATGTAAGCCATCTCCCACCTTTCCTTATCACCTCACTCAACCTATTCAACTCGCCCAAGGCTTTCTCTGCCACTATTCCATGCCACGAGCGGCCAGAGCTCCTAGCCCCTGGACTGATACAAGTGGTGCACGCTAAGCTAATGCGCACATCAAAAGTGAAGATCAATGACCCAATGGTCGGAGGCGTGCATTATATCAACGCAGGGTTCACCCGCCAAACGACGCAGAAATCAGTGGTGAGACGTAGTCAACAGTATAATCTCGCATTTTGCCCTGCCGAGCGCGTGGACCAGCAGCTGGAGTATATATGTCGGATGGGGAAGGTGAGTAGGCGTTTATTCGCGGGACTTTGTGTGGCGCTTTGCGCCGACTGGGGTACTGATGATATGATACAGCAATATATTGCGCGCTGGAGGAACCCGTTTGCGACGGCTGCTTGGCTCCATGTCACTTTCGTTAGATGCCATCCATTTGACGTTTGTTTTCTTCTTTCTTCCTCATTCCTTGTAATCTGACGTGGGCAAAGGACGGAAATGGTCGCATGTCACTCCTCATATCCTCTATTCCGCTTATGCGTCATGGATTCCCGCCGCTCTGCATCACTCCATCACTAAGGAGTGTATATTATGATGCGTTGAACATTGTGAGCATTTTCTACGGATTATTGCTCCAATCTACTTTATTCTAGTATTTCACAATTTTCTCACGTGTTGTTCCGTTCTGTTGTCAATTTTCCGATTTTGTCTTGTCACCTCACGTTATCCACTACCTGTGCCCACACTAGGCGATGCTGACCTCTTATAGGCCTGGGAAGGCGATTTCCAGCCCCTTATCAACTGCTTCGTGGACTCAATGAATAACAGTCTCGAGGAAGTGCAGCGGATTATGGGTGCTGCTTAATCTAGGTGATCTGCAACTTCGGTCGAAGGAGCTCAAGTCGTTGCCAAGTTGGTTCTGTGCTTGGTGTTGTATCATCTTGGTCCGTTCGAAAAGGAAAAAAAGAAAGTGTAGAAGTGTTTCACAGCAATGCGTGTGTCTCTGTATGCATTCTTTTGACACTTACTCGCCGCGTTTGTAGTATATTAATCTCCTTTGCTTCTTTCCAGGCTCATGCTATACTCTTCGAAGCTTTCCCCTTTCTTTCATTAGCTTCCTCGCAGAATTACCCCTCCCCATTAGTTTCATATTATCAGTTCTGTTACGATCACTTCTCGGTGATTCCAAATACCTATGCCTCACCATGTATGATATATTAGCTGGTAAATTCTAGAATTTCTAGATGTACTTTTTAGCGAAGGATTGACTCATGAGTCATATATATCATATATCGCGAACGATTTACAAGTCACGGTGAGAAGAACAAGCTTGCTATACCTTAATGGTACCGGTTCAAACCTGACAACGGCTTTTGTCTTGTGCACTGCTACACGCGATGAGCTGTGATTTGCACAGTGCAGGTGACTATATTCGGGAGCAAGAATCGGAACAGATGTATTGAATTGATTGGCAGACGACCTGAATTGACTGATTCAAGCTGTGGCACTCACAAGCAAAATATTTATCGATCTATCTCCACTATCATCCCAGAAGCTTAACTTTGATCACAGATTAACGGATGGACAAACCCTTCAGTTCAAGACTGATAGTCACGCACGGAGGTGCAGGTGTGTTTCAATCTTACTTGGATAAGAAATCATCAGTACTTGTCTGCACCATCTTTATCAAACCAGTAATTTCACAGATATTCATCGCCCCTTATACAGGACCCATATCATCATTTGCCCACTGACGGCTGCAAAGATCAAAGAATGGAAGCACATAAAGATTGTAAGGCTTGAGGCTAGTATTAACCCCGCATCTTCGGCATCTTATTCGCCTCGACCGCTGCTTGTGATATATCCTGGCACATACAAAGACGCTGCACGCGTCCCCAGACCCAGATACGCCGTTCATACACCGAACCCGCTAGCAAAGCGCGTGATGACTAATTCTGAATGGAAAGCATGAATCACATACCTCTGTGGCACCGGATTTCATAGAAGGATTTTACAAACACTCACGACTGCACTACCTGTCCACATGGAAGGCTGAGCTGAACAATTTGGTTCAACAAGCCCAAGAAGAAGTTGAAAATGGGCGCTACTCGATTTTTGGGGATCGATCCGAAAGAGCAGAAACTAGATATGCTGCTGGCATCTGGCGCCATCGATCCTGGGCTGCTTTTCCACGCCCAAAGCTCCAAGACGACTGTACAGAAGAGCACTGAACAAGATGTCATCCCAGTGCTTACGATTATTACTGAACCCCCTTCGCAAGATGATCCATTCCAGAATGAGAATGAGGCCGGTCCTTCACGTCCATTGCCTACATTGGACCTTCCCTCTTTCTCCTAGGTCGATAAGGACATCTTCGATGCGTTACCAGGCGATTTCAAGAAAAAACTAGAAGTTGTAGATCACACTCACTAATGCCGGCGGAACAACCCTCTCATGACATCCAACTGAAGATCTTGGTCAAAGGCGTTAACGTCAAAAGAATAACTCAACCACTTGCACCTAAGAATAGAATGAGTGTATCTCTCCGCAAAACCACGCTCTTTGCAAAACGTGATGTCCCATCGTGTATGCGTGTATCTGACGCAGAGCTCCGCAAACTTGATATCGACCCAGATGTATTTGCCGCCTTGCCTGTGGATTTGCAGCGCGAGTAGATGATCATGGCTCGACATGCGAAAGTGGAAATCTCCTTCACAAACGCAAGATCATCAAGGCTTCTAGCCGTGCGCTATCTGCACCTTATCGCAAGAAACCCCCTTCTAAAGCTAAGCACCCAGAGCCTCCTCTTTTGAAGCAGCAAGGCAAGCAACCAGGGGAGAAATCGCACTTCGTTGAAACGGGAGGTGTTCAGAGCGTCATCGAGTCACGGGTCAAGGGATTCACATAATATCCTCCGAAGCAGAAAGACGTCGACCACGCCAGCAAATTTTTGATGCAGAGCGTAGAATAGGCTGATACAGGCATAGAAAAAACCATTGCTGTAATGGAGTGGTGGCTTATCCTCTTGAGGAGGAATTGGGAGGCGCAAGCGGCCGCGGAGAATCAAAGCTCGACTGCGCAGAGCATGGCGGGAAGCATTCTGGGAAGTGAAAGCCAAAGTTGATATTGGCGCCAGAAGACGCTTTGGTTGTTCATTATCTGTTAAATGATCATGATGGCCTGATCTGATACGGAGTAATTTAGGCCTCTCAAGTAACTTGCTTGGTCCCGGAAGCTATAAGAAGAGCTGGACAGGGTGTCCATGTTTCTTCGCCATGCGGGCTATCACAAATGAGAATTTAATCAGTCCAGCACCTTCAAATGCGACTCTGATGTCTGCCTCCTATGTAGAATCGACCCTTGTGCGTAAAATATGCTCCGGCGGGAAACAACGCCTGTGTAGATTCTGCAGAAAATGGTTTCATTGAATCTGCGACCAAGAGCGAGCCCCCTGGTTTCAAATATGATCCAAGAACCTTCGTAATACCTTCGATAGAAGGGAAATGATGATACGTCGATGTACACTAGTAATTGTTAAGGTGGGAACGTGGAACATTACAGGCGGAGACGTACCACGACCACATCAAACTCCACTCCATCCAGCTAATTTGGGGCAGTAGTAAAGGTCACAGCAGTACACAGCCCTCATCTCCTCGGGTGGTATAGATTGAAGACGCTCTGATTGTAGGGGTTGCACGGCGGCCAAGTCTCTTGCTGTTACTAGTTCGAACTCCGACCAATTGTGCTTTTCAACAACCAAGACTCTCTCGCACATAAAGCCTTTAACCACTCAACGCTAGAACTCGACATGGCCGAATATGATTATCTCTTCAAGGTCCGTATAGTGAATTGATAACAGTTGATACGGCGCTTATCAGTTTCTGCTCCATAGGTTGTTCTAATTGGTGACTCTGGAGTCGGCAAATCGTAAGCGTGTCTCAAGTTCCGTCTATCGTTTCCTAGCTAACAGTAACCTACAGAAATCGTAAGGAATAGTGTACTGATCAAAGGAAGCACGACCGCTTATGCACCATTCAGTTCTCTCGCGATTCACTCGTAATGAGTTCAACCTGGAGTCGAAATCAACTATCGGTGTCGAGTTCGCAACCCGTTCGATCACTGTTGACGGTAAGACAGTGAAGGCACAGATATGGGATACTGCAGGCCAAGAGCGTTACCGCGCGATCACCTCTGCGTACGTAGTCGCCTTCTGCGGTTGTAATTTAAGCTAATGTTTCTACAGGTATTACCGTGGTGCCGTTGGTGCTCTGTTAGTGTATGATATTGCTAAACATGCAACGTACGTCAACGTAACGCGGTGGTTGAAGGAGCTCCGGGATCACGCCGACTCGAACATCGTTATCATGCTTGTTGGAAACAAGAGCGACTTGAAACACCTAAGGGCAGTTCCCACCGAGGAGGCGAAGTCCTTTGCAGGTATGTCTTACATGAGCTGACTGATTGAATAGCTCATGTGCTGGTTTTTTGACAGCGGAGAATGAGCTTTCGTTTATCGAGACTTCGGCGCTGGACGCATCAAATGTCGAGTCAGCTTTCCAAACCATCCTAACAGGTATTTTTTACTCTTTGTATCAAATAGCATTTCACTGACGTGTCCTCAGACATCTACCGGATCGTCTCGAGCAAGTCGCTTGAACAGTCTGCTGACCCCATCAAGGGACCTACTAGTGATACTATTCCTGTAGCGATTGACTCTTCCACACCTGCAACAGGTAGCAAATGTTGTTAGATGACGTGGATAGAGTTGCTGTTACTTTTCGTAACTGTAGCCTTTGCTGTAGCAATCTGGCAGGTGTGTCTGTAGTTCAGCGTGTATAGTTACCTTTTTTCTTTCTCTTAATAGGACTCTGCTTTGTGTGCCCCCGAGACTGTCGTGGTGAAGCAAGTTATGACAATCGCTAGTCGACGCAGTCCCGTCCAAGTTCTTCACCAAAAGGTAAAAAGGTTTGCGAGCAGCGCGTCTGATGACTCATGCACATGCCCTGATCTCCTACGACTAACTCGGCAGATCCTGCAGGTTGCGGGATTACTTCCATAGTCACAATACATCCGTCCAAATCGATACTGTCCACCTTTATCCGGCCTATCAAGTGATGACAAACTGTATTCCAGCATTCCCGACGCTTTCGGTTTTCACAAACAGGTACGAGAATCATTCTTTCTACCTGGCATGACGGTGCAGGTTCCTGGCTTCCAGTTCGCTGACCCTGGCTCCGTGCTATATGATTTAGAAGAGGATACCGACAACATTAATGCCAACATGCACCACAGCCTATGCCCGCTAATGTCAATACCCTACTTGCACGCGATGATGCCACTCGGATCCGTTCTCGGAGCCACTTCTTATGGTCGTAATTCGAAACAGCGAAGTCATGTATGAATCCGCCATGTTGGCATAATATGTATGGCATAATCATCCATGTTCCTCCTATGGAACATCCATCAAACTCTGAGAATTTAGAAAACTCTAAAGATACTCTATGGTCGTCGGCGTTTCATCTTCATACAAGCCACTTCCAGGATAAGTGCGGTCAGCTCTCCGGTTCAATTCGGTAACACGCGGAATACTTCGACTCGCTGTTAACCCCTTTACAGAACTCACATTAGCTAATCGTAAATTTGGCCAGATATCCCGTGTCGCATATTCATATCGTTTATCGTTGACTGATTGTGGCACAGGTCTAGTATTTTATTCCGTAGATCAGTACAACATCCAAACCACACAAGTCTGAGTCTGAGATATAATCACTAAACTACACCAAGATCTATGTCATATCTCTGAGTATGCGCATCGACACTCCAAATACAATTCATCATTACTTCCATTTTCCAACCAAAACACCCTAATCCATCCCTTTAGCAGCCTTCACAAATGCACGTACCTTCTCCTCGTCCTTTCTCCCTCCCACCCTTTCAATCTCGCCATCAACCCCATCACGCTCGACCCCCCCACTTACATCCACTGCCCACGGTCGCACACGCTCAATCGCTTCGCGCACATTCGAGGGTTTGAGACCACCAGCGAGGATGAGAGGGAGAGGGAATGTGCTTATGGGTTCTTCATCAACGTTTTGTTCCCCCGTACGATCCACAGCGCCGCTCAGGGATGCGTTGACGCTCACGTCTGGAGAAGTGACAGGCACCTCCCCTTTCTTGACGAGACGCGCTGCGAGCGCCCAGTCGAGAATTTTGCCCGTACCACCGCTGGGAGACGACTGAGCGGAGGAAGTGGTGTCGAGCAGAATAAAATGATGGTATCCGGGCGTCGTGAGGGTCGCAAGGGGATCCGGAGATGGAAGAGGGGCAGTGTGAGTTTCTTCAGCCTCGCTCCTCTCGCCTGGACTCTCAGGAACAGACTCCCGCGCGGAAGGGGGAGGCACCCCGCCCACCTGTATGACTGGAACTCCGATGCTCCTGGCCCACTCGATGGGTTCTGAGCCATGCAGCTGCACTATGTCGAGGCCCACGTCGTGCACGACCCGCTGAATGTACCGTAGGGGCTGATTCTGGAAGACACCAACTAGGAGGGGACGCGTCTTCCGCATGGGTGACGGAATGTAGGAGGCGTGGGTATGTGACGTGAACCAAGGAAGGGGAAGGTTCAGATTTTCGTCTTTACCCTCTTCTTCATTGAAATCAGGAAGTGGGAAAGCGTTGCGCACAGCCAAAGAGATCTCCCGCGCAATGTGCACGCTCACGCGGCGCTTTGAGCTGGGGACGAAGACGAGGCCAAGGAAGTCGGCGCCGGCGTTTGCTGTGCTGAGGGCTTCGGATGGGGTGAGAATGCCGCAGATTTTTACGAGTGCAGTAGGGGGGATTTGGGATGAAGAGGATTTTGGAACGGGCTCATCCCAGTCCAATAATTGTCTTATAAACTTGCCCTTATCTTCTGCGCGCATCAGCGATTCACCGACTAAGACAGCCTTCACCCCCTGCTCCCTGTACGCCCGCACGTCAACGGGACTCTTGATGCCACTCAACGCACACAAGATGACCTCTCCAGTTTTACCTTTTTGTTCCAGAACTTCTGCAACGCCCGAAGTCGTGCTCATGTCAACGGTGAACGAGTGTAAGTTACGGTTGTTCACCCCAATGACCTTGGCCCCGACGTCGAGCGCAATGTGAAGCTCGGACGGGGAGTTCACTTCCACCAACGGTTCCATGCCGAGAGCCGTGCTATATTCGAGCAGTGCCCGTGTCCTGTCCTTGCCCAGCATCGCAATGATGAGAAGAACACTATCTGCGCCAGCCAGGCGGGCCTCTACAATCTGATACTCGCTGAGGACAAAGTCTTTCCTGAGTACGGCGGGCCTGGAATCCAACCCGTCTATGGCTAATCGGACGGCTCGCATGTCCTCGAGGTGACCGTGGAAGTATGTTGGTTCTGTGAGCACGCTGATTGCACTTGCGCCGGCGAGGGCGTAGGATAGTGCTGTGTGCGGGGCAGATGTGTGTGGAGCGATTGATCCGGCGCTCGGTGACGCGCGCTTGATTTCGGCAAGTAGTGCCATCCCGTTGCGTGCGTGAAGCAGCCGCTGGGAGAGGGATATTGGCGGAGGTGCAAGGTGCAGGGAGAGATGTGCATTTAGAGCTGGAAGGGTGAGCCCCGGGGTGTTGGATAAGGCCTCAACATCGGAAGTGCGTTTTTGTGCGATTTTTGTGAGGATGGAAGGGGCGGAGGACTTGGCGGCTTCTGTGGTGATGGACTTGGACTTGTCTGTAAGAGCGTCATATGGAAAGGGCGGCATCTCTGGGTCGTTCACTTTAGCGTGGGGGTTCTCCTCCCAAGTACCTCCTTTTAAGGATAGGAAATTCTTGAGGAGACCTTCACCCTCCTCTGATAATATGGATTCTGGGTGGTATTGCACGGCTTCGACAACATAGGTGCGGTGACGGACGCCCATTATGACACCCGAATCAGAGGTGGCACTGGTAGCCATGAGACAGGAGGGTAGGCTTAGGAGAGATGCGGAGAGGGAATGGTAGCGGGTGCTTTGAATTGACTGCGGGAGGGAGAGGAAAATGGAGCGGCCGTCATGGATGACGGGGGATAGTTTTCCGTGTTTTATTTCACCGGCATAACTGAAGGGTAATGTGTTATTTCTGTATACGAAAAACGTGATAACTTTGAACTGACCCGATCTCACCACCGTATACATCGACGATACACTCCAAACCCATGCACACACCCATAACTGGGACTTTGCCTGCAAAATACTTGATCGCGTCTCTTGACACACCCGAATCAGTCTTTGGGTGTCCAGGACCTGGGCTGATTATAAGCCTGTTGATACGGAGAAGGGGAAGCTGGTCTGCAGTGAGTGCATTGTTACGGACGACAGTGACCTGAGTGCCGAGAAGTGAGAGTGATTGGTAGAGATTCCAGGTGAACGAATCGAAGTTATCGATCACTAGCGTGTCTATGTCGCCGGAGAGCGTTGCAGGCAGCGGAGTAGGCGCCATCCTGACTTTGGACGAGGATGAAGCTAACAGCGATCTAACAGTACTCACTTAAATTATGACTATTTAAACAGCTCAAGTCACGATAATAGATATTGATATTGAGGTTTAGAACACCGCCCGGCAAAATTTGATCATGCCGGTTTATTCTGTTGTGCACATTGCACAACATCTGGTTTCTAAATTCTAGCTCATTTCCCGTCTTCTCGGAGACAAGCATAGGGCAACACTTAGGCAGCAGATACAATCTTATATTTTCGTTCGGCGGTCTCCACGTCGTTGCTGCGCGTTTCAGATTCGGAATCAGTTTCAATGGAATTGTTTCATCTGTACGTACACTATGAGCCTGAAACACCGTGACTAGGAAGGGCAGAAGAACGCATGCGCAGCAGGCTCTAGCGGTGTGGGAAGAACTATTTTGAAGCAGTTCCACGAGCAGAATTCAACAAAACCACGTTCTGCCCGGGCCAGTGTGGCAGGTGGCAGAATCAAGTTGATGGCACTTCGACTGTTACATTGATGTGGGACCACTAGATATCAAGTGCGAGTCTTTGCATCGTATGGTTCCATCACTACTATCTCGTCCACCACTACTGTCGGTTTCGCAGAGTCGAATGCTCTCCCTTCTAATGCCTCCGTCACATTCACATCCCAGTTCAAGGCAGTTCTTTCTCCATTACAAATGTATTCTAGTCAAGCGAGATATGGACCATCAAGATCGTAGCTGGGCGGCCCCGACCTCACAGTGCGGATCGTTTCAAGTTGTGGAACAAACGTGAAATCAGTGTCGATTCTGCCCTACCAACGTGGCAGAATGCAAAGCTTTGAAGCTTACCTATGACGAGTATATTACGTGAGTCTAATGACCTGCCTGCAACTTTGTCAGTTACTCAGCCTACTATGCCAGGTGCATTCCTCTATTGTCAGAGCCTCAACAACAACGAGGCGCGCAAAATTTGAAGTAGTGATCCACCACCAATCTAGCACAGGCCATCCGTGCCCCTTTGCGGCTCGTCTGGAATCGGCGCATCCAGTGGCCATATGAGTTAGATGAAGGTCCTCCAGTTCCTTCGTGAATAGTTATGATCTAACGACCATATGTCAGGCAGATAAGGAATGGCGCGATGAACTCATCACGCCGAATGGGAGGCTCTGGTCGTTCATGTACCCAGCCCACAGAAGGCACGCCCAGACATGTACAGCACATCAAAAGGCTATGAATGCAGGGCAAATCACTTCACCCACATGGACTGCCATGGACTTTCTCCAGCTTTCCAGGCGAGTCGCCTGACATACGCAAATGGGGTTGTAGCGGACGAGGCGTTGCCAGCGACTGACAGCAACACCGCCATTCTCCGCACTCATGGGCTCGATGCAATTGCGATAGTCACAGCACGCCCCGATGAAGTGATACCCGGAATGGGACCCCTACACCAACACGAACCAGACGAATTATTGTATTTTCCAGTGGAAAAGGAACAACGAAAGACAGTATATCCAGCGCTTCAAGTAGCGGGTATGTCCTGACCGAAGTATGGAGCCTAAAAATACTGCTCAGCATTATTTGCCAGATGTTTACATCACTTGGACGATCTACTCACGCTGCAGCGCCTCTAGTCGAGAACATGTAAAAGATGACAGCCAGAAAACGTGAAGTCTGTCCCAGTGATAACTCGCGATGTGATCGGTCAGCCATTTGAACGTTCTCGATGCGTCAAAAGACCAGTAGCATTCTGGGCGAATTAGAGATGTGCGACACACCCTGCACTGCGGGAAAGTGTAGTGAGGAATGCATAGGATGCGAAATTCTTCGCGGGTCCGCTGATGAGTATTGCCATACGATAGGCTACTACTAGCACTGCCCAAAAGGAACCTCCCCTGGCCTGAAGCCCCAAGCTATGTAGGAATTCCGATCAGTGAGATGCTCCGCGGCACTTTTCGTCTTACAGGAAATCGGAGGGAAGGGCTGGCACATCAAGCCCCTCGACCAATGGTCTTGCCTTGAGGAACATTGTGATCATGCCAATCACGATCTCGAGCTGATTAATCGATTGCTCAACTCTCAATTTAGGTTGAGGATTATTAATTACACACTGTTTATTGGAAGCGGCTGATCGACTATAACAACCCTACTGAGGGAGACCCAGTTCTCGGATGAGTCATTATAGACGTATCACACAGAACTTCTGATGCAATACATTAGGGGGGCATGACTAGTCTCAAGGGACTCACGCAGTGATTTCGGCGACTGTTGAGTGTTTCCAACATCGCAACAGTATACTGTACAGCAAAATGTAAACATCACAGCATTCAGCATACCGTGACCATACAGTCAGGCCTCATGGTATACTGATTCTGATGTAAAGGAGTTGATCTCTGGACTATTTCAGTCGTAGACGTAGACAGCTTGTCACATGCACGCTAAGTACATAGTAGGCAAATAGATCCTGGATCACGTTGGCAAAATGACGGCCATCACTGATGCACGAGTTTGAATAGACCTGGACTGGCTTCTCGACCGAGGTGTTAGAATATTCACAAAGTGAAAAGAAGCAACATAACTTGCTGTTACTGGCTAAAAAAAAAGGTGTAATTCACTGTGAATGACTAGTCTCCCTTAGAGATCGATCGTAGATGAATATATAGTCACTGAGGCCTGATCAAGGCCTTGTTGAGGGCCCGAGTGAAGAATCATGGTTTAGGGCAGGCAAGTTCGTGTTATGTTACAAGTGTAATCATCACTTCACGCTGTTGCAACAACTGAAAGCAAACCAGGTCACGTTGAGTGTCAGTCATAAAATTGGTGATGAACTTTACTGGCACTGACCAGATTCCCGGGGGACTTACTAGCTGTAGGCGGCCCGGCGCAGTGTCTCAAATCTGATGCCACTTCAACAGGCCGTGTACACCTGGCTGAATGGCAGTGCGGAAAACACCAAGTTGATGTCAATGCCCATATGTCAAATGCATGTACACATAGTAGCTGAAGCTCCGAACGCACATACGAAGATCCAAACTTACATAAATTCCACAGTGAGTGGAACTAGGCGTAATACTAAGGCTCCAAATTGGAGGCTCTGTCCTGTTTCAGAACGGATCATAGGAGATGCACGACATGCGTTTGCTCTATTATAGCACGATCACGAGACACGCACGCCCTGATCTCCGCCTCTAAACTTGGTGTGTGACCGTGTGACCTTTGAAATGTAAAGCATGCCCTTTTACATATAAACTTCGATGTATGAATCGCCTGCCTTCAGATTACTATCATGCTTTCACGGGAACCATATAAAGGACCAACGCGAAAGCTAGTGCTTGCATTCGATGTTGGGACCACGTTCAGTGGAGTCTCGTATTGTATACTAGATCCAGGGGAGGTGTCTATAATTCGAGGAGTAGCAAGGTTAGTGGCCAGCTCGAGCTCTATGTCTATGGCTCACGGTGGGATTGCAGATATCCTGGGCAAGAGCGTGTCGGAGGTGATTCCAAAATACCATCAATTCTCTACTACGACCTTCAGGGAAACGTCCGAGCCGTGGGTGCTGAGGCTCTGCAGGAGCATATCATCGAACAGGCAGAAGACGAGGAATGGGTGAAGCTTGCATGGTATGTATATCGTCGAGAATAAAACACAGGCTGTATATTAATTTTGGTCAGGTGGAAACTTCATCTTCGCCCCAAGCATCTAGCATCGTCTCACATACGAGAAGGCGATATAGAACCTCTCCCACAAGGCAAATCTGCAGTAGAAGTCCTCGCTGACTTCATGCGCTACCTCTTCCAATGCGCTCGAACTTATATCCAGGAATCACATTTGGGCTTGTGGGGATCGATCAAGAACTCCATCGAGTTCGTATTCACACATCCGAACGGTTGGGAAGGCCAACAACAACAACAAATTAGACGCGCTGTTGAGCTCGCTGGCCTTATATCATCTAAAGAGGAGCAATCGCACGTGCACCTCTTGACTGAGGGCGAAGCGAGTCTTCATTTCTGTGTTACTAATGTGATTACATCAGATACATTCTCCAGAACCCCAGGCCCTATAGAGGTGCCAAATTGCTCCGATACATTCTCCAGAACCCCAGGCTCTACAGAGGTGTCAGATTACTCCGATACATTCTCCAGAACCTCAGGCCCTACAGAGGTGCCAAATTACTCCGATACGTTCCCCAGAACCCTTAAAGAGGTGTCACATTGCTCCGATACGTTCTCCAGAACCTCAGGCCCTACAGAGGTGCCAAATTACTCCGATACGCTCCCCAGAACCCTTAAAGAGGTGTCAGATTGCTCCGATACGTTCTCCAGAACCTCAGGCCCTACAGAGGTGTCAGATTGCTCTGATACGTTCTCCAGAACCCTTAAAGAGGTGTCAGATTACTCCGATACGTTCTCCAGAGCCTCAGGCCCTACAGAGGTGTCAGATTGTTCTGATACGTTCTCCAGAACCTCAGGCCCTACAGAGGTGCCAAATTACTCTGATACGCTCCCCAGAACCCTTAAAGAGGTGTCAGATTGCTCCGATACATTCTCCAGAACCTCAGGCCCTACAGAGGTGTCAGATTGCTCTGATACGTTCTCCAGAACCCTTAAAGAGGTGTCAGATTGTTCTGATACGTTCTCCAGAACCTCAGGCCCTACAGAGGTGCCAAATTACTCCGATACGCTCCCCAGAACCCTTAAAGAGGTGTCAGATTGCTCCGACACGTTCTCCAGAACCTCAGGCCCTACAGAGGTGTCAGATTGCTCTGATACGTTCTCCAGAACCCCAGGCCCTACAGAGGTGTCAGAATATTCCGATGCATTCTCCAGAACCTCAGGCCCTACAGAGGTGCCAGATTACTCCGACGATAAGGAAGATCAAACTGACAGCCAGGGAGTCATTATTGTTGATGCCGGAGGTGGAACCATCAACCTCAACAGCTACTCGATGAAGCCATCTGCGACCTCTTTCGAGGAGATTGCCCCAGCTGAATGTGAGCCCCGCTTTTCTGTATTGTTATCTTGCTGAAGCCCACTCAGGTTGCCTGCAGGGCTCAGTCTTTGTTACTAGTCGCGCTCGTACTCTTCTACAAGGTCTGTGAATGCATCAGTCATACAGGGAACCAAAAACTGATAGTCATTTGATTGCCCAGAGAAGCTTTTGGGCTCGGAGCACTATTCCAACCCCGATATTATCGCACAAATGACAGAAACCTTCGACAACAGCACGAAACTTGGGTTCCGTAAGCCCGATGAACCATCTTACACCAAGTTTGGTACTATCCGTGACAAGGATCTGAAGTACAACATTCGATCAGGGCAATTGAAATTGGCTGAGTTCGTCCATATTATTTAGGATACCTTCATGACGATATTCATATTTGATTTTGCAGCCAGGACGTCGCCAACTTGTTTGAACCATCCATCGAAGCGATCATCAAGGCTGTTGAGCAGCAGAGACGCGCGGCTTCGATTCCAATTAATGTGAGCGTCATATTTCGCTCATAACTGGATGGATCGTGATATCGTCATGAAGTTGGTTTGTTTAGTTGGTGGTTTCGCTGCCAGCGATCGGCTGTTCGTGAGACTCCAGGAATATTTTCTACCCTTAGGCATCAACTTCTGTCGCCCTGATGCTCATGCGTAAGCCCTTGACTGTCAACGTGGCTACTTCCTACTCATCAGGTAACTGCAGCAATAAAGCTGTTGCTGATGGAGCAGTTTCGTTCTACATTGACCACCTAGTGTCGTCTCGAGTTGCACGTGTCACTTATGGCATTGAATGCAAATGGCAGTACAACTTTCAAGATCCTGAACACCTAGCCCGACGACATAAAGCTGTCATCGATGTGGACGGCAAAACGTATATCCAAGAACAATTTGAGAGTATCTTGCTGAAGGTGAATAAAGCACGTCCAATCATTCGGCACATGCTGATATGCCTTACAGGGAACTCAAGTATCTGAGCAACGCGAATTCCGGAAGCCCTTTTTTGCTACCCGGAAATCTCTTGCCGAATGCAAGAGTTACAGCACGGACATAATGTGCTACAAGGGCGCCCTCCGGGAGCCGCGGTGGTTGGACATTGAACGGTGTATGAGTTCTGCGCGGCTCAAACACACTCATGCTGACTTGATCCAATTCAGCCTCATTTGCCACGCTATGCACGATTCATGCCGACCTCCGCGAGCTATCTCGAACACTTCGTCCCAAAAGATCGGCTTTAGATCAATCGAAATATTATGAATTTGGATTCGACGTCGTCCTTTTATTTGGCTGCACAGAACTGAAAGCCCAGATCAGTTGGAAGGAAAAGGTTCGTGGCTTGATTTCATTGATCTGTTTGCTCGCTGATCGAGAACGTTGCAAAGGGTGTTGAAATGCGGTAAGCCTAATTCATAGTTTTATGATCAATTGTGTCCCCTCAATACGTTATAGGGGCCCGGCAAGTATAGTCTACGACGAGGTAGTATAGGGATCTGGCCTCAGAGAGGAGTGCCAGAGGTTATCGGAGGTGTCAGAGGTCCAGTAGTCCATATAAGATAGAGCCATGTTTTCGTAAGGTTACTAGGTCTTCAGTCTTCCATGGCCACCAGCAGTTGCTTGGTTGGTTTGCTAGTCCCTCAGCTTGTCAGGTGTGGCCTCTCCAATGAGTAGTGTCAAGACCGAACTGCAGCTCTTTTCACATATTGCGAGTCGCAAAAGCGTGTTAGCATCATGTAGGACAGTTGTACCCACCTAGGTTCATGTCACCTCAAATATTATTGAGCTCCCCATACCTTTAAATCTGGACTCTGAACAGCGCGATTTGAAGGTACTGTCAAATGGTGAAGTCCAGCCCTTTCCAGGTCCATTCAGGCATGTGCTACATGATGATGGTTCCAGTTGAACATCAAACAGCTGGCCGAGTCAATTGAACGAATCAATTTCTCCACTTCCATTGGCGCCGATACTTTCCGGGAAATGAGGAACATGTATTGACTGCACCCTCGAAAATCTACACTGGCACTCTGCCTTGAACAAGACTGCGATAGAGACAAGTTGTTTGTCTGATTCCCCCTGATGCCCGATGGGCTGATAAGGCCGCTAGTAGTGTCCCATGTTCATGCATCGCTTGCACTTCTCTTTGGCCCTGCTACTTCATCCAGTTGAGTCCCCACTCATGATAATTTCTACTGCATATTCTATTCCCTGATTTTTGCAGAATGCCAAAGATTTGACCGGTCTGGGACACAACGACAGCTAATGGCACTCTCAGCGGAGTTAAAACCCCGCTGTGTTTCGAATGGCCATGCTAATTGTGCCGCTTCTCTCATTATCCTCCTTGTCATAAGATCGTATGATCAGTTACGTGTTGCATGCCTCGGTGCAAAGCCTTCCAGGCGAGTCGCCTGACATACGCAAATGGGGTTGTAACGGACGAGGGGTTGAAAGTGTAGTCGGGAATGCATAGGATGCGAAATTCTTCGTGAGTCCGTTGATGAGTATTGTCATGTGATAGGCTACTACTAGCACTGCCCAAAATCCTGCAAAAGGGACCTCCCCTGGCCTGAAGCCCCAAGCTATGTAGGAATTCCGATCAGTGAAATACTCCGCGGCACTTTTCGTCTTACCGGAAATCGGAGGGAAGAGCCAACACATTAAGCCCCTCGACCAACGGTCTTGCCTTGAGGAACATTGTGACAAATATATGGACGGATGTAACCTCGAACTTGAACGCTTGTTGCATCAGCTCATCTTACACAAGCCTATGCACTGGCAGTATACGATCGGTTACTATTCATTCCGCCAGGTCACTCGTCCTATCGTCATCTCACACATGTCTGTCTTTATGGGCAATTTGAACTAATACATGCATCTAATGATGCATGGGGTTAGCGACCTGATGCCTCTTGATGCGTCCCATGTCCGAACAGGTAACCGATCATATCGCGATCTCTATCATATAGGCTAGAGACGACATCTGATCGGAGGAGCTACCTGAAAGCAACAGAAAGCGAGTCGTCTTGTTCGAAGGGATTTTCGATAGCCTCCATTATTTCTTGATTAACACACCACGACGTTTGCCGGTGAAGTATATTGCTGGTCTCCCCGCACTGCGCAGTGTGAATGACTTCCACACATTGATCCTCGGACTAGGTAAATAGATAGTCAAGTTGAATTTGAACAGTAACATCAACTCCTGCCGTGCGTACAGTCTGATTTGGGCCGGGCTTGACCTATCTTCTGAATTTTACAGTTTACCGAAGTTTACCAAATGTTTGGTCGAGCTGTTATAAATTAAGACATACTGTAAATCATGCCTATGACATATATGACAATTAGAATTCACGATCAGAAGGGACACGGGGGTCCTATAGATCAGAAAGCACTGTCATACATAGAGTATAATCCGCAATGGATACAAATTACAATGTCAATTTAGAAACAGTTTCCGACTTTGAATGACGCACATCGCACAGGATGAAAAACGCGTTAGACGAGTAATATTTTGGTGGGATGAGGATGTATCTCGCACTAGAGCCTACTAGAGCCCGCATTGCGTACGCATCGAAGCGCCATGATCCATTCCTCGGGAGTTATGATCTTCCGTGTGCGCTAGGCGGTATCCCATCCAGACGGCAAGTTTAAAAAAGCCAAATCCGAGTGCATTTGCGAGATTTGCAATTGGTATTGAACGTTGCTCAGGGGCGCCACATCCGGTGCAAATTGGCGCCTTGCCTTGTCTCGTCCTTCGGGTATCCTTGCCGGAAGGACAACCTGTTAGTACTAGTCATCTCCCATCAATATTTGCATGTGCACAGCCAAACCTTACATGCATCTGTCACACTGAGTTGGAAAAAATTCAACAACTCGTACCCACCTAAAGGCCGACTTCCCGCAAGGTTGTGAGGAAAAGCACATCTGCAAAATTTGATGGGTTGAGATATGCTGATAATCTATGAACTGTGAAAGTTCGATCATGTAATTTGCCGTCGTAGATGCCAAGTCTAATAGCAACTTTGTATTCACCAGATGAATAGCTGACGCCGGGACCCGTTCGCCGGTGTTGGAGCATGGACAAGATCTGCATTCGCCATCTACAGCAACAGCGCTTGAGCTTATAAGGACAATGAACATGAGAATTCTAGAATAAAATTAGATTTTGCTCAAGTCTGGGCCAGCTTGATGTGATCCCCCCTTGTGGGCCGGGTCTGCCAGGTCCATATTGAGTTCCTAAGCGGCAGAAACTTGAAGAGACAGAGGTAGGTGATTTTGAAAGAGGAAAACGAAAGGCAAAGGACGGCTTTGTGCACGAGAGAGTTGGAGCCATATCACCGGAAAGCGGCAATGCTGAAGCACTGATATGGGACTCGTAACCATCTGCCCATGCGTGTTATTGAAGGGTCCGTGGTAGACTCACTAAACCAGTCCAAGCTGGGAAACTAACTTATCAGAATTCAGATCAGGTTAATGCGGCGTACTTTTAATAGCCCGAATCAGAACAACTGTCTTGAGGGGTCCTCCACGGATATGCAAGCAATGTACTGTCAAGTTATCACTTTGTATGCGCCCCCTTAGTACGTTGTGCTATGCTGATTCCTGTGCAAAGTGCGTGAGCGCGGTGAACAGCTGATGTGCCTTGTAGCTACTTACATCGACCGTACACTGCCACCGGTTTATGTTTAGCCTAATTTGGAGCACTGCCCGTGATAATGGGTTATTTATTGCACCAGAAATGTATACAACGATCCTGTGACTGCGTCCATTTTCTCCTTCGTTCAGCTCTTAACTTCTTTTGGTTTCTTTTTTCTTTTACAGTTTTTTGTTTTCTTCCGGGGCCGGCCCACATTGATCAGAATTCCCTAGTAGTATATCGCTTCTTATTTTCATTCCTTGTCCTTCCGTTGCAACCTTCCAGGCAGGTACTTTGTTGCTGCGCATCTGTTTCAAAAGACTCGTTTGCGTCTGGCACGCTTTTTGTACCTCCACATTACCCTGAACACCATGGCTACATCGTTGAAAGCAGAGCTGGAGATATGGGCAGCAGCTTTGAAGGCGTATGACGAGCAGGATTTCGAGAAGGCCCTGGATTCATTTTCGGTGCGTTACTCGTTTAATTAACACTTGCCACATCTTAAATCCCTGCTGCAATAGCGCATTGCGGATTCCTCCAAAATCCTCACAAACATGGGCCTGATTTATGCCACGATTGGTGAGCATGAGGCTGCAGTCGAGCAATTCATGGCTGCTACAGCTCTTGATCCGTTCCTTGCTATTGCGTATGTTATCTCTCAATTCTTGACTGTTATGTCATTTTCATGTTAAGCTGACAAAACTTCTCGGGAACAGCTACTTTCAATGCGGGGTGTCTAACTTTTTGCTGAGCCGATACGATATTGCTTTGCAAAACTTTAATGATGCGCTACTCTATCTTCGTGGAAACCAAGCCATGTCAGTGTTCTTTGTGAGCTTTTCCATGTATTGTTGTTCTAATTATTTTGCAGTAACTATGCACAAATTGGCCTCAAATTCAAACTGTTCTCACCTGAGGTGCTCTTCAACAAAGGTCTTTCTCAAATCTACCTTGGCTACCCGACCGAGGGGCTAGCTGAGATGCAGAATGCGCGCAATATGAAGGTGACCGAAGATCACGACGTAATTGACGATGCCATTAAAGATCGTGGAGAGGGATATACGGTCTTTAGTATTGTAGGTCATTCTCCTCATTTTCCAGCGATGATACCTGATACCACATGTTTTTAGCCTGTTGGCGTGCTGTACCGCCCGTCAGAGAATAAGCTCAAAAATTCCAAAAGTAAAGACTATCTTGGGAAGGCGGTACGTCTCCATCTCGTCTGTGTATTGGCCGTCGCTAAGTCACTACTGTGCAGAAACTTGTTGCAGCATCAGACGCCACTGATGCGTTCACTGAATTCACTGGCGTCAAGAAACTCAAGGAGGACCGTGAGAAAGCAAAAGAAAGAGATGACGACGATGGGTTGAGGAGAAGTGCAACTGTTCCCCCGCCACGTACGCTCTATTATTGTCTACTCTCTCGATTGCTTGATGTTCATTACCCGTCAGGTACCGAACCCGTTGACCGGCCTAGTGTTGAGCGCTCTAAAACAACGATCGCGGGTCTGAGGTCCACCCCGGCCTTCCCATCTACTGCTGGTATGGCACTTGCCCTGCCCTCCACATCAGGTTTGTCGAGGAGCAACACTGCCGCACCTGCGAGCATCAACATTTCTACTTTCGCTTCTAGTCGCCCTTCAACCGACGATGCACCTGCCCTGTCACCCACGTCACCTTTGGCGAGGAATAACCTTGTTGCACCTTCCCGCAGCAACACTACTATTCGTCCCATGGCCCCTTCAGGCGTGGCTGTATCAAGAGGACTGACTACAAGGACAAAAGAACCTCTGCCTAGCCAGCTTGTCAATCAATCTGGAGGCCTCTTCCAACCCCCATTTGCGTCACAATACTATCCTGATCCACCGCAGGTGCCGAAACAATACCCACAGCAGCTAAATCAAACCCAGCCGCTGCAGCCACGCAATCAGAACCAACAATCTCAGCCGTACCAAACCCAGACCCTTCCTGACAATGGATATCAGGTTCCGCCATCTAGTCTCCAGCCTGGTGTTGCTGTACCAAAGGTGCCATTCGTGCTCCGCGCCGCTCCCCCTCCCCAAGAGGGTAGGTGTTTTTGAAACCGTCGGTTATTTTATATTAATGACTTTTCAGCATCGGCTCGACAGCTAAATTTCCTTGATGACTACATTGATTCCTATACCGAAGATTTTCCACGTTCTGTCGTGCAAGAATCGCTACCCAATAAGGACGTGGATCGCGTGGTATTGTGGCCTCAGGGAAGTTCGCAGTCAAGTCCAGGGACTATGGTTACTGGCTCGATGATTCAGCGGATACCCTCACGCAATGAGCTCGGCAACAAGGGACCCTTGAACTCCGAGACGCCAAGCGCTGTCAATATCTCCCGCGTCGGTGGGGGAAGCATGCGTCGGAAACCAAACAGACGAACGACGCAGAGGCGGCCAAAGGCAGCGTACGAGGAAGAGGAGGGGTATGTGAGTGAGGAGTATGATGATTCCTATGAATTGTCAAATATCCGTGTGAAGGTCCGTTCTATCGTATTCTTGGGTGATTTCAGGTGGTTTACCGTGTTTGTTGCAGTTGCATTACCAAGGCGATGTGCGTGGAATGATGCTGATGCCCGACACGTCATTCGAAGAATTCGTCGAGCGCGTGACGAGCAAGTTTGGCACTACTATGGATGGTCTGGGTCTCAAATTCAACGATGAAGATGATGTGAAAGTGACCTTGAGAGACGGTAGTGATTATGAACTTGCCATCGAGACTGCACGAGCGAACCTGAAGGGGAGGAGTGAGGGGAAGCTGGAGATTTGGTGCACGGATATGTGAGACTAATGCGCTGACTCTCACTTGCGTTTTAGCTCTCTGCGGATGAATTTATCTTTAATTTTGGAGGACGTGTGTCGTATTCTTAAATAATGTTTCGCTGTTGTACACAATATTATCCTGGTTGATAATCGAATAGGAGCTTGTCTCGACTTGTGCTCAGTTCGGTGTTTTAAAATATTGGAACTTGGGTCTAAGCATTATGGCCCTATGATACTTATTCTCTCCCCTCGAGTTGCTGACACGTATACTGCGCTTGCTCACTGTCGTTCATTGGACACGTATTATTATCGCCCAACTACACTGAGTTTTTTTACAGAGCAAGGATAATTCCCACTCGAACTGAACAGTCATTCCGAGTCACTCATGGTTGTTCCTCTCATTGGTCGTCTTAAGGGGCACGAATACGCAGCCCTTGTTGGGGGCTTCTTCTTCTTGGTCTTCGAGACTGCTATCAGCTTCATCATCATGCTCCTCCCCATTCCCATCATCCAGTGGTTCCACAACCACTCACGGACCCTCTTTCACCGTTTCTCCGTAAACCATGCAAATGGCAAGTCCGAGGCCGAAGATGTTGCTGATGCTATACGCAAGGCAAAGGATTTTGGAGAGCTGTGTCAGTATTGGGGTTACACGCATGAGGAACATGTCGTTTTGACAAAGGATGGATATTTATTGGGTTTGCATAGGCTCCCGGCGAAGAGGGGGCAGAGGAAGCGAAGTCCTGGGACAAGCACGGGAAAGCCAGTGGTGTATTTACATCATGGGTTGCTCATGAATAGCGAAGTATGGGTCTGTTTGACAAATGCTGAGAGGTGCTTGCCATTTGTCCTTGTTGAGCAAGGTGCGTATCATTACAATATTTATGTCACCGGAGACATCGTGATGCTGAGGAGTTGATGATAGGCTTTGATGTATGGATGGGCAATAACAGAGGGAACAAGTACTCCAAGAAGTCGGTTCATCATGACCCGAATTCGATCAAGTTTTGGAACTACAGCCTCGACGACTTTGCTTGGCATGATATTCCTGATTCTATTCAGTATATCCTAGATATCACGAAGTCGAGCACCTTGAGTTATGTTGGTTTCAGCCAGGGCACCGCGCAGGCATTTGCCGCACTCAGCATTCATCCACAGTTGAATGCGAAGGTGAACGTCTTCATTGCACTTGCACCTGCTATGAGCCCCAGAGGATTGGCAGCTCCTCTTGTTGATGGCCTCATGAAGGCTTCGTGAGTACATTGCCTGACTGCCACTGTCCGCCCTTAACACTAGCACATCACAGCCCAACATTGGTGTATCTATTCTTCGGACGCAGAGCCATTCTATCTTCTACAACGACATGGCAAGCTATCCTATACCCACCCATCTTCACAAGCGTCATCGACACTTCCTTGCGTTTCCTCTTCAACTGGCACAGTCATAATATCTCATATCTCCAGAAAATTGCTGCGTATGCCCACCTCTACTCATTAGCGTCTGTCAAGTCTGTTGTGCACTGGTTCCAGATCATGCGCGAGGGTGCATTTCAGATGTATGACGACGATGTCAGCGCATTTGGCTCTCCGGGTGGGCGTGCGTACAGACCTGCGAGGTTCCCGACGAAGAATATTGTCACACCAATCGTGCTCTTGTATGGGGACAAGGACAGCCTTGTTGACATACAGATGATGCTCAAAGAGCTCCCAGACCATACGACTGTCACTCGCCTGGATGGATATGAACATTTGGACATTCTTTGGGGAAAGGACATTGACAAGGATGTTATTCCAGAGGTTGTGAACGCCTTGAAGGTGTACTGCGACGACTCTTGTGGGAGTCCAGACAAATTCAAGGATGGGTTTAAAGTGTTTGAGAGGCAATCATAGAGTCACGCAACGAAAGGACCTTGGACCTTTATCCTCATTGATTGATGGCAGATAGTGGACCTTGTTTTCTGTGTTCCTTCATATATACGTACAAATATTTTTGATAATGTAGTACCGGTTGATGGTAATGGTATATATGAGATCTAGACGGTATAATGGCGACTTTCGAGAGGTCATGAGTCATCGGCCAGCTCTGTGCGCTTTTTAGATTTTTTGGACCGGTTTTCACCTTCCTCTTGATTATCAGACTTTGATTTTCTTTTCTTCTTGTCATCTTTCCGCTTCTTCCTCTCAGTCTCTAAGTCTTCTTCCACAACAGCCGATGGAGCAAAATCATATGATTCTGCACCTTTCGCCTTCCGTTCCTCTTTCCGTTTCTTCTTTTCCGCCTTGGCATCGCTGTTAGACATCTCGACTCCTGCCCCCGCAGGTACATCAACTACCTCTGCGTCGCGCTTTTTCCTTGCTTCTTTTCTCTGCGCTTTGCGTCGCTGTTTCTCGGTCATTTCTTCGTCCTTGGAATTATCTGTAGAAGATGTCGGCGTTTGTTCGGGAGGTTGAATTATGGCCTGTATAGCGGAAGATGCCATCTGAACAACCGTGGCATGTGATGAAGAGGATGCATTGAAGAACTGGGCGACCACGTTCGAAGAGCCACCTTCTCCAAAGCTGCGACCTGCGCCGAGTCCAATTCGCGGTTGATCTACATCGTCTCGAGAGGGGGCGCTGGAGCCAATCCCTCCCCGAGAAGTGCTGCCATCGTCATTCGCAGCTGGGGTATTGGAGCCAGATTTCGCGCCAAGTTTTTCCTTAAAATAATCTGCAACGCTTTTCGTCGATGTTGTGAGCTTCTCGAGCGGGAGGTCGCTGTCTCCAGGTGTGATTGGGGTCAGAGAACCGGAGGGGGTTGTAGAGGAAACGGATGAAGGAGTCGGTGCGATCCCAAGAATTTCAGAGATGGCAGCTGCTGATTTGTTGGCAAGGCGTTTAGCAGCTTGTATGCGAGCACGGTGGCTGGGAGAGGTGTCAGCTTCAAAAGTTGCAGTTATCAGAAATAAACGCACGCCATAGGGCGTCCCTTTGGCCTTGTTTGAATAATGGATGACACGGTATCTGGGGATGGGGCAGGAGGATCGATGTGTGGTGAAGCGGGTTTTGACGAATCTACTGCAGCTGAATCTTTGACATCTTCATCCTGGCGTTTGTCTCTCTTCCGCTTCTTCTTATCTTTTCCGTCCTCGACATGTCCCCCTTCCTTTCGCTTACGCTTCTTCTCTTTCTTCGGTGATGGGTCCAGTTCCTTGTCCTCTTCGGAGTGTACGTCTGTTGCAGAGTGCTCAGGCCGAACAAACTCTCCTAGTACATGCTTAGAAGCAGAATCTTGACCATCCTGCGCATTAAGCCTCTGCAGCAAAGCCTCGAATTCCTTATTCTGTTTCCACGCGATACCATGCGGGTCTTTCTGATGAGCGGCGCCAATCCCAAGCATATCAAGCTTTTGGGAGACCTTAAGATGTGATTTCATCCCATCACCTGAGGCGCCTAGACCTTTTGAGGGGTCCCAGCCGAGCTTGGACATATAAGACTGGCCGAAGCGAGCTGCATCTGTGGAGAGGTGAGAATGGTGTTCGGAAGTGAAGTGGTGACTTGCCATCTGCCCAGGATAAGTTTCGTGGGTCATTTGGAATGCGTTGTTTTTCCTTTCTGCCGGCCAGTCCCATTGTCTTGTCGTAGGTTAATTGCTATTAGGCAACCGCCAACATGTGCTACTCGATGGGCTGGAGGACTCTGAACTTTGAAGGATGATGAGAAATCAAAAAATCTAGGGTTCCCGATTTGGCCTTCCACCTCGACCTCTATCTCAGGCACAAGTCTAAGTTGAGCACACTCTATAGTCTTCCACACCGAACAAGTTTCGCATATTTGGTCGGATGATGTTCAGTTCAAGTTATCCCGTTCTCATGTACACTTTTGGGATGCCTGGAGAAGGCTTGGGTGTGCGGGTTGTCATGTCATCTATACGGCTGACAAGAGACATTACGAAGTTGACGAGGGGTATGAAGTTGGTCAGGGGTGATATGATTGATACTATGCATATGTACATGCTCGCAAATGGTTTTAAAACCCTTTTGTACACTTACACTTTTCGACACCCCATGGAAAAAATCTACAGGTCGAAGGATAAGGAAAGACGGTGAACCAATCAGCTTTCGGCGCGCTTTTTCTCATTCATGCAGTTCTTGGTACTCACAACTTGGGGAGACGAGTACTGGGCGCAGCACCAGCTGCGGCCACTATTGTCTAAAAAACTGCTGGTCAATTGAAAGCAGTGAACCACCGGTATTCGATAGCGGGAAACCTGTGGTAGATAATAAGACGAAAAATGATAATGCTACAGCTTCATGGAACCCTTCCCTGCGATGCCGCTGGCACCCAGGGTGGTCCACCAATTATTGCTAGCAGTCTTCACTGTAGATTTGGATCTCGTCTGCGGTGTCCGTTTCACTATTGTAGAAAGTCCAGAACTGACGCCCTTCCTCCCTCTACCTGGTGGGGTAGGTTCAGCTGGTTCGCTACTCTCATCAAGTTTCCGTTTCTTTGATGCACCAGCCCTAGGTGCAGGCAACGGTTTGAATCCCTTTTCCCACTCTTTTCGGTGTAGCCGGAACACAGCCATCGTTGCCCTAGCGTCTGTGACCTGCCCACATATCACGATGAGAAATTAGCCAGGGGCTAGGGTGGTAGAAGGCTTACACTGGAGTGCTCCCCTCCCTGGATAACAACATCAAGTTCTTGTTTTACAAGGTTGCGAAGAGCAGGGCGTTTACTATTGATTACGTTGTGTTTTGCCGCCAAGCGTTGCGTGTCCCGTATGAATGCACCTGGGTGCGATAGTAATAGAACCTGAGAACGGGTTATCAGTGAGCTACAGGAATGCGGACACACATTAAAGCTGACCTTGAGATCGTTATGCACGGCATGTCCCACTATGATGCGATCTTTGGTCAAAGCCGCGACTGTTTTCTGTACCTCCTCGAATTGCTTGGCTAAAGATAATATTAGCTCGACCACAGGGTGTAGAAAGTAAAGCCTACCTACCTTTGACCATATCTGAGGGGCGTATCCCACTCCACTTAGTCCGATAATCTGCAACACGTTCCTTCTGCTTTACGAACTCATCTAGCTGCACTGTGCCCCAATAATTCACAATGCTAACGCGCGCAAGCGACGACTCCTCGCCGTCGATGCCTACGCCCACCATCTCGCAATCGATCGCGAGGTATTTTCCTGGACTAGTCGTCAAAATGAGATTCCATACTGGTTCCCTGTTTGGGCAGAAATGACCCACTCTTTCTGGGCAGACGTATACTCTAGTCGTCCGAAAATCATCTTGCGGAGCGTCGCAAGGGACTCGCCATTTTTAGTTTCTGAGGTGGTGAAGTCGACAGCGAGTTCAGGATCGATAACTGTAGTTGAATTTCCTCTTGGAAAAGCGGAAGTAGACGTGTCTTGTGAGGACACGAGGGCCACGCCTGGAGATCCGGAGCTCAGCTGTGATCGATCGAGCTTCCGCCGTTTATTGGGTGGACCACCTTGCTCTGGCTTTTTGCCCTTTCGAAATATCTGCTACAAAAATGAAGATCACGAAGAAAGGCTGCAGTGGAAGACTTACTTTTTTCGCAGCAGATGCACTCATAGCTTGCAAGCTAAGTATGTTGTAGTCGCTTATCTCGACCCAGCGTGCGACTTTGCAGCCTGAGACCCGCGCTATAATCACGTCAGTCTGGCACGTCTTCTCAACATCAGTCCAATATGATTATGTACATAAATAACTGGGTCTTCTGTCGTCCTCCATCGTCTTCAGAGTCCAGACCAATTATCCAAAAATGTCTTACCTCTCAACTGTAAATGATTTAGTCGCTGGCAGCGTAGGCGGCGCCGCCCAAGTCCTTGTAGGTCAGCCACTTGATACCGTCAAGACACGCGCACAGATCGCTCCCAGTCAGTTAACCGTTCGTGATTAAGTGTCTAATACTGAGCCATGAGTCGCAGAGGGAATGTTTGTAAGTGAATACATAGGTTCAGAGTTAGACGGCTCATGGCCAGCTTAGAAAGGACCTATGGATGTTCTTGCACAAACTGTTCGGAAGGAAGGTTTCTTTGCGCTGTACAAAGGTTAGCATTAGACATGATTTGTTGCGTTATTCCAAAAACTCATTCTACTCCAGGGATGGCCAGCCCCCTTCTTGGAATTGCTGGGGTCAACTCCTTGTTGTTTGCCTCATACGTGTACTCTAAGCGCGTCGTTTCACCATTCCCACAGCTGTCCCTGAAGGAGATCGCCATAGCAGGCGCAATGGCTGGAGCTGCAAATGCTATTCTTGCCAGTCCAGGTTTGTTGTACCATTCGCTTTTGCGAGTCAAGTCCTTCAACACTTCGTCATCCAGTCGAGATGTTTAAAGTTCGCATGCAAGGTCAATATGGTGCTGCCACCGATAAGAAACTGAGAGATGTCGCAAAGGAAATGTGGAGAGACTGGGGCTTTCGGAACGGTGTCATGAGAGGCTACTGGGTATCCACAAATATCATGTTCTTGTAGGAAATATGGCTGACCAGTGTTTCAGGTTACAGTTGCGAGAGAGATACCAGCATATGCAGGGTATTTCATCCTTATTTATATTGGCAGGGAGTTCTGATATTGAGAGGATGATCCAGATTCTATACAGGTAACGATCTCGGTGTTCATGGGCACCTCCTTGTCTAACTTCATGTAGCCTTTGAATTTTCGAAGCGAAAGTTTCAGAGTCAGTATGGGGATAAAGTCCCTGTTTGGGCCCTTCTTGCTAGTGGTTCAACTGGCGGGGTATGTCACACGACCTGATTACTTTATAATATCTTGACATTCTGCAGATTGCATACTGGCTATCCTGCTACCCATTAGGCAAGTTACGGAGCGCAGTTGACGAGGGTCTGACTTATATTGAACTCTCGGTAGACGTGATAAAGTCTCGCATCCAATTGCGCCAGACACCACCGACTGGCAAGCCCTGGAATTATATGGCCAATGAAATCAGGATGGTTATTGCCGAATCAGGATTGTAAGACTGCACCCTCCTGGTATTTGTATTTCCTTTGACCAACACGCTGCTAGAACGGGACTTTTCCGCGGTCTGTCGCCATCACGTAAGTGGAACCAATTGTTTAATGTGCACATCGCGGGACTCATGATGATGGTTCATGTGTCGCATCAGTGCTAAGAACGTTAGGGTGTTCTTGTTTCTACACGTCTTGAGATACTCACAGCTTCACCAGCATACCCGCTGGAGCGAGCACATTTGCGGCATTTGAGTTAACTCGAGGTGAGTCGAAAGTTTTCGATCACGGAATGCACTACTGATGACTCCTCAGAATTTCTCACAGAGTCCACAGGAGCGTAAGGTCAAGATACATTTGGAGCAGATGTACAAGATGCGAGTGAAATATTACTAATACAATGATCCCTCGGAAACATGAATGTCTGGCATGCGACTCAAGATGAGGTGAATCCTTCGTCGGATAGCTTGCAGCACTGACTAGGCTGCTTCGACCACTTGGTCGAATACTACAGCGGCTGGTGACCTATCCAATATCCGTGCATTAGTGTCATAGGTCAAAGGGGTGCGTTCCTTACCTTCGTTCAATCCCCTAAACGTTGCACGTGCATCAATATCACACCTTGGCGCAAGATCACGAGAGGCACTTACGTCTTCTTTCCAACAAAGTTGCGCCTGGAGTTCCGTCAGGCCAAACATGAGGATGATGGTAAACTCTTGGCGATAGAACTGCAGCCCAGCATAACCCCGTCGTGGGCTGATGGTGCGTGCCACTTTCGAGGTGTCCGCATGCACATTGCACAAGGTTGAGAACATGCCTGAGCCCCATGGGGATCAGCGATGCGCGGCATTTGGAAAGTATTCACACGCACCTGGTTCTAAATCTGTCCATCGTGGACTGGGGCTGTCACCTCTGTAGCATATGATCTCCGTGGTAATCATATTGCATGCAGAACGGTCTACTACCTCCGTAATGAAGCTCTTGCTGAACTCCTTCGTCTCAGATACAGCAGTGCCCTGCAATGTGCGTATCAGTGATTCCTCCTATGCATAACATGCGATAACAAGTCTTCACCTTTGTCAGAATTGCACTGAATGCATTAGGCAGGACGGTCCTGCCTGATGGGCGTGGGACGGCCATACTGGCACGCAGCTTGTGTTGAGGATCGTTCCTGTCGAATTGTGTCGCACAGCGTGTACCATACGTGAACTTGGCGACACGTGCAGAGACACGATGATCTAGGAAAAATGCTACGGCGCCATCCGCGACCGCCTTAGCCCTATAGATAGTCCAGCTCACTGGTCACCTTGGTGAGCTTCCTTCTGGAAAAGGACTACGCACGTGTGGCTGTCAGGCCGACAAAAATTGAGCCCCAGTGGTCTTAGATGGTTCTGTAGTTTCGTGAAGAGCCAATCGCTAGCTGCGAAACCACCGACGAGGAAAACGGTCTGAGGTTTATTCAGTTAAGTGGAACGGGCAAAGGAAAAGATCTAACGCTGATAGTTCGGGCTGCAGCATCGCGCTGCTCCTCGATAGCTCCGATTATAGCCGCTGCAGACGGCTCAAATAACGCTGCTACATCGGACCTGAGAGGAAATGAGGATATTTGGATCGATAGGCAATAGGTATTCTGACCCCATTAACTTCAACTGCCCAGATCTGATGTTGAAATTAGGGTCCTTGTCCCTGATCGTACCAAATTTGATATATGCCGGGTCGTCCTCGTTGCTAAATCGCTGCTTTGTTGTTGAGTCGAAAATGTTAGCCATATGAGTAATCATATCTTCGCTTCCGTACTGCGATGATCCACGGAGTTTCTCTGCAGCCCATAAGCAAATATACATACTTCAGGACAACCCTAAAAGAGTACCTCGGAGCATTGCCTTGGCCCTACGGCTCACGAAGATGGATCCTTGTAAGCGACCTAGGAAATTTTGTTAGAATAATCAACATGATTAGTTGTGTTGATCAGACTTACACTCTGCAGGTGCGATCTCCTCGAAGGATGGTACTGTTGTCATATGATATGCACTGACATCGATCGTTCCTCCACCAGCGTCGACAATAATCACGCCCTCGTCGCCCTGAAAATCCCGGTAAGCTCTTGCCTAGATAGCCCATTTCAAGTCTCACCTGAAACCCGTCGGCAGCGAGACCACTACCAAGGCAATAGTGAAGACTCGCCTCGCCCTCTGTGACGAGATGGATTCTTGTCCGGCCTTCTGGCGTATCGGGTACAAGCCCCGCCATGATCGCTGCATTGCGGATCTGCGTCTGTTGCGGCCCCTCCCATCCATTTGGGTGGCTAAGCACAAACTCGGTTGTGTGCTCGACAGAGCGTAGCATGTCTGCGCCGTTTGAATGCGACTCCTCGATGTACCTCCTAGCGCACTGATACAGGTAGTGCATGAAGTCAGCGAGGACTTGGACGGCAGTCTTGTTCTGCGGGAGGGCTGGGATGTCTTGGTCTGTGATATGAGAGGACGCCATGGTTCTAGGACGAAGATGAAGCTTCCACCTTTGTGCGAATGAAGGTTAGTAAACGATGCCAGGACTGGTGGATTGTGAAAACTAACCATTCCAGCTTCACCCATCCGTCATCTTCAATTTTCTCTTCGATATATTCTTGTGTTGCTTCGGCTCCTACGGCGCACACAGTACCATCTGGGTCGTAGCATATAATGGACGGTATTTTACAATCCCCTCCGACGTTTTCTTGGGATGGAAATCTGCGTCCGAGTAAGTAACTAATGGTGCAACCCTTTAAAAAACTATCGCACCTATTTACGCCTTGGATGACAGGAACTTGCCCAGGATCGAGGAAGCAGTAAGAGACACCACTAAATGTCGTCCCGACATCAAACGCGAAGACAAGTTTCCGACACGAGCCAGTAAATTCTTGTCGAGGTGGCATGTTTAGTTGCGTAAGATACGGCACATAGGTCACATCTATTATAAACAATCCTCGATGAGGTACACGAGGCGGCGTGACCCTCGTTCTCTCATCAGTCAATTAACACATGTTTTGTGGCAGGTATGATGGATTCAAGGTTTGATCGGCGCCGTCTGTAGGCACACAGGAGATGGAATACTTCTAGTATAACCCTCATGAATCTCGTATATCACATTGTGCAAAAGGTGAAATAAATGACATGCTTGGCAATTCGAAAGCAAACCCATAAATAGGAGCGTACAATTACAACCTCGAGAAGCCACGGGATTCTGCGGACTCACTGCACAGCACGAGAGTGAGGTGGCTCTACAGAACGACTAGGCTAGGCTTCTTCCTGCTCGTCGTCGTAAACTACTACTGCCGGAGTTCTGTGAATGGAAATCAGAATTATGAGAGGAAGATGTCAGGATGTGAACTTACCGTATTTCCTCCCCCTGAAATGCACAGGTTAAGCTAGCGATACCACCAGAAAACCGATGTGACTTACCCCATCTTGCCAGCCGATCATAGCCTTCAACTCTGTCAACCCGAAGAGAAGAATGACTTTGACCTCCATCGCATAATACGTGGAACCTTCGGCAGAGCGCTTGAGTGTTAGTTTCTCGGCAATTTTCGATGTGTCTGCGTGGACGGTGCATAACGTTGAGAATAAGCCTAGCTCATCCGATAAACATCAGTGTGATTGGTAACAATGTGTGCGACTACTTCGCTCCGTGTCCATCCAATCCGGTTTTGGGAGGAGGCCCCTGTACGACATGATGCCGACATCAACTTGGTTACATGCGGCTTGATTATACCGTCGGATAGCAAATGTCTCGCTGAACTCTTGCTGCTCAGAAACACGTGTTCCCTGCTGTGCCTAAGCAATGGGTCTTCCAAAGCAAGTCAAAAAAGAGTTACCTTGGTCAGTATGGATGAAAATGCACGAGGCAGAGCAAGAATTCCCGAGGCGCTTCGGAAAACTTCCTTTTGCCTGGCACGATGCTCCATATCGAATGGGTTAAATGGGACGCTACACTCTGTGCCGTATGTGAAACGAGCCACACGCGACGATACCAAATGATCGATGAAATATGACACAGCACCATCTGCAACAGCTTTATTGCTAAAGCGTCCGTAAGTGCACCCGAAGGTGTTTGTCAATTGTTGGCACTCACCAATGGTTGTCTGGTCGACTGAAGCTAATACTAAGCGACTGGAAGTACGCTTGCAACTTGGCGAACATCCAGTCGCTCGCAGCAAAGCCTCCGACGAAAAATACAAACTTCATGTGACACGCCGGTCAGCGCATTTTCCGATGAAGTACAGTAATGCCAACTTACTGTGATCGGAGTACCTGCGGCTTTCCTTTGGGTTTCGAAAGCTTCTATGATGCTGCTGATTGAGGGTTCAAAGAGTTTTGCTACGTCTTGTCTTTTTAGTAGCAACACGTTAGATATAGAGGGTACGAAAGAATAAACTACAAGACTTACCCGCTCAATTTAAGCTGACCGTTACGAATATCGCGCTGAGGATCTCTATCGCGGACAGTACCGAACTTGATATATGATGGGTCTTCCGGGTTGCGGAACCTAAGCTTGGTGGTACTGTCGAAGATGTCCGTCATTTGTTGGACTATATCTGGTGTACCGAAACGACTGCCGGATAGTTTTTCTGTGAAGTGAAATCAACAAGAGCGTAGCAGAGCTAACACAAGCATGCTGGCAAACCTTGAAGAAGATCATGAGCACGACGGGTCACGAATACAGAACCCTGGAGTCGACCTAAGGAGTGGAGAGTGAGATATAGCTCCAACAATCGCATGTCACTTACATTCTGCCGCAGCAACCTCCTCGATCAGCGTCGGGGATAAAGTCATCGAGTAAGCACTAAGATCGAGTGTCCCTCCTCCTGCATCGATAACGACAACGCCTTGACTAGCCGAGCTGTCATCATCTTCGCCCTCTTCAGGTGCAAGTATCGGTGTCTTCGACAATGCATCCGAGGCCAGGATATTAGCGACACAGTAATGCAAACTCGCTTCTCCTTCGGTCAGCAAATGGACACGTGCCATGCCATCTTCGGTGCTGGGAATGAGACCGCCAAGGACGGCAGCTAGCCTTATCTGCTTCTGCTGCGGGCCCTCCCAGCCGTTTGGATGTGTAAGGACAAATTCAATGCGGTTCTCGAGTGACCGCCAAAGATGAGATCCGCTTGGATGAGTCTCCTCGATATAGCTGCGTGCACAACGAAAAAGGTATTGCATGAAGTCGCCAAGCACCTCGACGGCATTTTTGCCTCGCGGAAGTGGTGGGATATCGTCGTCGGTGATATGGTTGGCAGCTAAATTCCTGGCCCGAAGATGCAATTTCCACCTAGATGTTTAGCGCGGTCAATTAAGTAAATACGAAGTCCAGTATTCACAAAACAAACCATTCGAGTTTTATCCATCCATCTTCCTCGGCCCTTTCGATGATATGTTCCTGTCGTGCTTCAGCGCCGATGGCACGGGCAGTTCCATTTGAATCGTAGTAGAGTATAGAGGGTATTTTCGAATTCCCTCCGCTGTGCTCTTGGGCTGGATATCTGATATTCGTGATGATCGGCAATAAAGCAGGTATGTTGTATTACGAAAACTGACCTGGTAACAGGCTCAATCTTTGGAACTTCTCCAGGATCAAGTATACAGTAGGAAATTGCACTGTATGTAGTGCCCACGTCGAAGGCAAGGACTAATTTGCGGACTGGTCCACGATAAGGCTGACGGGGAAGCATTTCTTGCGTAACTGGATGGATGTCGTGCGTCGCTCACATCGTCTTATACCTCATGGCAGAGGCCACATGGATAATTATCCGTTCACGACTTTCACCATCTCACCTACAACGTTTAACGGATGATAATCTAATATAGGGGTAGCAGGGTGTATTGTTCGTGTCGGTCTTGAGGTCTGATGCGAGTGATTTAGCGTGACTAAATCCTGATATGGGAAGTTCCTGAGTGTTCTAGATAGAAATAATATCAGACCAAAAATGAACGGACGATGGATGCCTCGAGGCCACCCCACAAGCCTAAGCAGATGGGTGCTTCAGTCACGATGCACAATGGGAACCTCCTTACGCCCCGTTCTGGTAATGAATATAGCGTCTTCTGTATGGAATTCATCAGTGAAAATTCCACGAATTGATGGGCTTACCGCGGTGATTGATATCACAGAATTGTATTTCGTTTCAGCTACTGGCGCTCCGGCGTCCCTTGTGTTTGCATGTTCCTTACCGGGAACTTCCAGCACGCGTGACCACACCGATGTGTTATGCAAGGCCTGCCATTGTTCCTTTTCTCTTGCCATATTCTTCCACCATTCATCCATTTTCCGGTCTAGTTCCATCAACCTATCACGCTGCTATAATAAATACGACAATTTCAGCTACCCATGCGGTATTTTACGAGTAGGCGAAGACACGTTTTAAATGACACCGCAACCGTACCAATCAAGATCTGACGAAGGACGGCCATATCACAAGACCATATCAGCGGTGTATAAAGGACGTAATACGCCCGGATTATCATGCGCCATGAATAATGCCGTCTAAATTAGTGCATAACACACTGCGGCCCAGGGGGTGCTAGTAGCAGCATGCTGCTGTGACAAAATATGACTGACCACAGCATAACTAAGGGACTGATGTGAAGACAAAATGACTACCGACACGCCTACATGCGGTCCGCAGTGTGATCTGTGAGGCGAGTTGGAACGCTACCGCAGCGTGCCTCCGACGCCGCCTTAATGGACGTCACGAGGCAGGAATGAACATGCTTCTACCACATGGCATAGCCCTTCAATATGTAGTGAACGTTTGTTACCTGCGACCAATATTACCATGAACCTGTCAACCTACGGGTTCTTACCATCTAAAGGCTTCACTGTGCCCATTACCCTTGTTAGCGCTAGCTTCCCATTCCTCATGTGTTGGTGGTTACGCCGACCTCGCGCGTTCTTTGTTTGGCTGAAATCTCTGCGTTTCTTCCGCGACACTAAGACGGAAGAACGACTGCTTGAGTGGAAGAAGAAATGGGAGGAAGAAGAGAAGAAGCGTATATCACTAGAGGACAGGCTGAAGAAACTTGAGCTGGAGCATCAAGTTTCAACCCAAGACAAGGGTGGCCTGAAAACGGAAAATATCCGGCTTACGACCATCCTGAAAAAAGCCAGCAAGGAAGCCGATGAAATTCAGGCCAGGTTACTACAAGAGCAGAACGAGAGAGAAAAGGTCCAGCAAGAACGCTCCAAGCTTCAAGACGCCAATCAAAAGCTGCAGCAAGATCTCAGTTCATACCAGCAGCAGTTATTGTTGCGAGAGAGCGAAAAAAAGGCCTTGAAAAACGAGCTGCAGGCCCTACAGATCAAGTTCAACGATCAAACCACACTTCTTAACGACCGTACACGGGAACTGCGGGGTGCACAGGCATTCTTGAGCACAGCCGACACTCTCTCAGGAGCGGAAGTCATCAGACTGGTAGATGAACTCAACCAAGAGATCATGCAGACGGCAGCTTTCATCTCGGACTCCTTCGATTTCGCTCGCAAGCCTGAACACAGAGACGAGATCAAGGAAGCCAGTGCGCGAACCGGTGAACTGATTGGACCTGCCATGACGTCACTCCTGGGCACCGTGCAGCACGGGGAAGACCCTCTCTTGATCCAGATCGCATTGCAGGCCGCCACAGTCGAGTTCTCTCGCTGGATCATAATGACCTGGGACTTTGACGGCTTACAGGCTGAGCAACCACTGGCAGAGATCTATGGTGACGTTCGGGAGACAGGTAAGGATTGATTTGTATCTAAAGAAGTGAACATACTGAAACGTCATGACAGAAAGCCAGGCAGTCAGCGGCCGATGGCGCGCTTTGACTCGATCCCATGCGCAGAAGGTTGCTCTGCAGGAGACGGACGTGCACTCAACAATGGTTGCACATATCAGCGACACCCTCGTGGTCGTGATGATTGCGGCTGGTTGCACCAAGAACTACGAAGATGTGTATCGCGACTTCACCATGAAGTTTGGCGAACGCGTGTCGAACATTGTCCGCATGGCAACAAGGCTTAACAGAGCCATGGGTGAGGAAGTCACATCGGCAGATCTCTGGCCTACCCATGCTGCGGCTGGTGAGAGGTTCGACACGGAATCGATGAAGGACTTTGACGAGGGGAGTGGGGCGCAATCCGGTGTGGTTTTGTGCACGACTGCGCTTGGTTTGCAGAGGTCAGAGAAGGTTGGAAACGGGGAAGGCGCAGAGAACAGGATGTTCACACTGGCGAAACCCAAGGTTGCGCTTGAAGCTATTGCAGATGGGATGGAGAGGGAGGCGGAGTTGTCGGGAGACTAATTTACTTCCAGGACTGTGTCACCACGTATTCTATTCGTTTGATTTTTGTTCGTCATTACTCTAAAGTATTCATGACCATTAACTATTTGATGTTTATTAACGCAGTGCGTGAGTGGTGAAGCTTTTGACGTACTGACTTTACTAATATCTTTGGGATCCGACGGGCCATCCCAGTTCGAGGCAGTCATTTTCTCGCTCCACAAACGACTCGAGCATGTACGCGGTTCACTGCCTTCAATGACGATGCCAGCAATTACGGCCAGTAAACTGTCAACTAGACAAAAGCCTTTAGTGGCAGACTGGCAGTGGAAGTTCAAAAGGTCGTGCTTATGAATCATTTCTCTTTGTCTTTCATAATCAGTCAGTTCATCCGACCGCGACTTAGGGGAGACTGCTACTCAGTACCGGATGGCAAAGAGTAAAACAGGACCCCCGTACACAGATCGCAATGCGGAATATGTCGTCGTCACCACCCCGTGGGGGATGAATCGCGTCCCCAGGAGTCGCGTCCCGGAGGACTCTAATAGGCTGGCAGCGTGGGTCCAACTTATCCTCCAGGACAAAGATATAGATGCGAAAGTTGAATGCATATTTGGTATGGGGACAGTGAGTGTACCAACCCGAGTCAGACTGTAATCTAATGACAGTAGAGAGATGAAGTCATTGTTCAACTTCCAAAGGGAACAGATATTCAGCCACTTCTTGGGGAGCATAAGTTGGTGATTATTTCAAAGAAGTGGGATGGGAATCCAAACGATGGTAGAGCATCCTGTTTCTTTGAATACAATTTTCGCAACAACGGTGACCCCAATAATCGTGAGTTTAGGCGTCTTGGTTTTACTTTGTTGCACGCCTAATCCAGACCTTTAGATAACTGGGCAGCAGAATATCCTCATGTTACTTCAAAGTTTGTACCTCCTGTAAAGTTGCCTTACCCGGAACCAGGCTGGGCTGAGCCCCCTCGCTCCATTCGCAGTCTTGTCCTTCCAATACCACCTAGACCACTACCTACCCCAGAAGCTGAGCCAACACCAATTCCTGTTCCAACAACAATCCCTGTCGCCGTATCTCAAGAAACAACACATCTACCTCATGTTCCTCCGCCCGCAGCACCTGCCAATATCACTGTAAGCTGTATGTGGTTAGAATTCACTATCCCTTTGTTAAATATCTATAGTCTGCATTCAGACCTTACGAGCCCCCTACGCAGCACCCTGCTCACGGAATATTCATCAACGAGGCAAATCAGCCAAGGAATCCTTCAGCGGAACGAGAAAGCAACCAGCCAACTCCAGCCGAAGGTAAACACGTTCCAGCCCAGAAATACATGAAAAAGCTAGATCCCTACCAGGAAGGTATGCTAACACCTCTTACACTCACATCTATGGCGTGTGTAACCTTTTTTGCAGAGGAAGACGCTCTGGCGTTCTTGCAAACATCTCCACCAGATTCTCAAAGTGACTCGAAGCCTGTTAAACTTGAACACGTCAAAACAGAACCGTCTGGAATGGGCTCTGACCCTGGTAAGCGACCAGTATTGGGACTACTTCCAATATATTTGACGCAGGCAGATTACCAGCCACCTCCTGAACTAATAGACGCGGTCAACAGTTTATTACAGAAGCAGAGCGAGGAACAGAAAGTTGTAGTCTGTGAAGGATCGAGCATGACCGCTGGACCCCCGCTAGGGCCTCGTACGTGAACCAGTCGTCGTGATACTGCGCAAAACGTAATTTGATGCATTTAGCAACTTCTTACCGGCCATCTGCAGAGCTCATGGATCCAGATGACAACCAAATGCTGGAGCAGAATCTCGACGAAAAGCCTTTCGCCAAGAACATCCCTGGGCAACTGCGAGACTCTCGGCAGAAGCCTTGTGCGTCATTACCAATCTTACTGGCGAGCCTACGTGACATTGCGTACCTCAGACTTTCGGCCATGTGAAATTAACGTTGCACATCAACAGAGCAAAGCTAGTGAAGACGAACAGAAGTTGGTTCTGGACCTACCACGTACGTTTTCGCCTCTCGTCCTCGATCATACTTTTAGACTTAAGTCCAGCGCAAAACAAGAGGAAAAATATGGACGGAAGACATCCAGGTATGTGATACAGCTTCTACGAAACAAAAGCCAGGATGAACATGCATGTACAGCGACGAAAAAGATCAAGGTGGAAGAGGCATAGAATCTCACATTGTACTTCCGAATGAAACTACCATTTACCCATCCATGCTATCAACCACTGTCTTCAGTGCGACTTTCGGCTTCAGTAAAAGCTTGTTATCCCACTGTTTTTCTCCTGATGGGGCCAACCTGGTCATCCGCTTCAGGCCAAGATCCGTCGTGCACAGCACCCGAACGCCTCCAGTAGCCGGGTGTCCGTCTACGTATGCGTCCTCCATCTGCTCTGCAGAATATGTGGTCTCGAAAGGCACTGTGACCGTTCTCAAGTCGGCAGACGTGATCTCCTCCATCACGATTTTTTTAAGCTGCAAGGCTTGTTTGAAGAGGAGTACAATCCTGTCACTTAACTTTTGTTCTACTGATGCGCGAAGTATGTCTGGTGCTACGGAGCACCCCGCAGCAAGCATGATGTTGGAGAAATGTCCCGCGAGTTGTGGTGTAAACAATGCGATGAGCTGGCTCTCTTCGTGATTGTGGGCGTATGCACTCGTGAGCGCCCGCCACCTCCCCGAAATCGCTTGTGCCTCTGGAATACAAGTGTCGTCATACACACTACTGCATGATGCTGTCCACACTCACCACCGCATTGTATTCTTTTGTATGTGCTGGCGAGCATTTTGTTGAGATCGTTGCTAGCCAGGGTCCATGAGCTAATCACGAACTCAAGGAATTGAACGAAGCACGATTGGAACGTGATTTGAATGAGAAGGGGATCATCTTTATGCTTCTTGGTGGCCAGGTAATGTGCGAGTGACTGCCCAAATATTCCTGTGACCGCTGCATAGGCATCCTCATCTCTTACCCCACCCGACTCGAATGAAAATGTATCCACCATCGATTCCGCCATGTAGGCGGCACTCTGGAGTACCTCGGCATTGAGCCTCTGCAGCAGGGAAATGACGTCGGCTCCCGAGGAGGCGTCGGCTGTGGTCAGGAAGCTCTGTGCGCCTTTCAGCTCGAAGGTACGGTCGTTGAGGAGGGTGTGCAGTTGTGCCTTTTGCTCTGACATGGCCTTTAGTTGGTTCGTTGCAGCGTCTAGAGCGTGCCTTGTTGACGTGAGCACGGATTCGGTCTCTTGGAGCTTGGCGTCGAGCGAGCGTGACATATTGGTAGATCCCTCCATCTCCTGTTGTAATCTATGATTTTCTGATTTTCTCTTGGTTAGCTCATCATGTAACTGTTGCTTTTCGGTCCTCGCTGTACGTAGGGCAGCCGTTAAGTTCCGGGTTATTTCTTCAGCATCTTTCCGCTCGCCAGCCAACTTCTCGTTCTGCCTTTTACACATTGCAAGTTGTTTCTTCAACCGCTCAACCTCCAGGCTTTGATTGTCTCGTTCAATCACCTGAGAGCTCATGCTGTGTGTAACAGAAGATGGCGAGGCTGGGGGTCGCTGAGAATAATCGTGCGTTGTGTCATACGAACGCAAGCGCCTTGTGCTTCTGGATTCTTCAGCATCTTGCAATGCCGGAGGGACTTTGAGGTTGCGTAAAGAGGATACGGCGGGAGATTGTGTGGGTCGGGACGAGCCTGCACCCGCCTGTGGTGGAGCCCTGATGTCATTCTCTAGTGCTCCAGCCTGCCAGTGTGGCGGAGCGCCTACTTCTTGTCTCACGGTCCGCTGGGTGGTTGGAGACGGTGAAACGTATGATGTCGTCCTTGTCCGTCGCGAGTATACTGTCTCATCCATACGCTCTGTCCTGGCCCTGCTCCTGGCTCTCGCTTCTTCGTCTGTGAGGTACGGATGCATATTTTGGACTGGTGCTTCCTGCTCAAACCTTGCTCTCTCTCTCCCCGCTGTGTCGTCTTGTGACCGGCGGCTATGACTCCCCGCGTATCTTGCTTCGGTTTGATAAGCTGTGTCCGTTTCAGGAGAAGGACCTTGCATGAAATTGCGCAAAGCAGGGAGTATGTTTATGCCTATGTGTTCAAACATTGGGTCGACCTGAGGCTTCAGAATGAATGGAGGACAGGTTGCCAGGTTTAACCCCGCGACCTAGATGATCGAAATATACAGCTCTCACGGGCATGTGTTATGCGCGTTTTCGAATATCAGACTATCGGTGAAATGATCGCTCAGAAAGTATGTCCGCTTGCGCCCGTAGTACATTGAATTCAATTAGGGGCCTTTTCTCACCCCATGACGAAAACAGATAAATACTTATTCGAAACACGAGGTAGGTACGTCACGATATACAGAAGATGTACACAAAATCACGTTCAGCGTCCATGAAAATTTCGAAACACCCAATCTCAGTCGTCCAAGTTATCCACCACAGATTCCAGCGCGATCTTTGGCTTCAACAGAATCCTCACTCCGCCATTGGGTCCCTTGGAGCGCTGCAACAACCCGATATCAGTGGGACACAGGACACGGTTGTTCGCAGTATTCTTGTCACGTTCACCGTCATCGTACCCATCATCCATGCACGTGGAATCGAACACTGTGGCTGGTTTGATTACCACGACATCAAGACCCCGGTCGGTGCTATTGATGATAAGCTTGTTGATGCGCATGCCAGACTTCGCAAGCAGCGAAATCTTCTCGCTGAACTTTTGCTTCAAGGCATCACAAAGCTGTAGCCGAGTGCCATCACAGCCCGCGACGAGCAAAATGTCAGCGAGCCCGGCTACGATTTTGGATGCGGCTGCGGAACAAAGTTGGGCATCATCGAATTGGAGATGCTTGGAGAGAATATGCGATAGTGCACTCCATGCTGTGGTGACTGTCTGGGCTGCAGATGAGTTAGTAAACAGTTGCATTCGTGCGTTGGTTATATGGCTTACTAGTGTTACTCTGATCAGCTGCGCCAAGCCTTTCCTTGCCTCCGCTAGCAATCCATGCAGTTGAGAGCCAACAAAGGTACCGAGTGATGTATGTCTGGAAAGCGATCTGGATGAGGATAGGATCCTCGCTATGACTCTTGGTGCCCAGGAAGTGGACGAGACTTGGGCCAATGGTCGTGCCCACTTGCTGGAATAGCGTCGTCTCTTCATCATTGCTCCCTCTTCTGTCCTTAAACCCAAATGATTCTGTCATAGACTCAGCCATGATTGTGGCATCTTGATGGATATCGGAGTTCAGCTTCCGGAGAGCGCTGACGACCTCGTTGCTTGAGGACATCATACTAGCGCCAAACATACCCCCAAGACGCTCTGGGATACAATTTGCTAGCAGGGCCCGAATGTTGTTGAATTCCTGCACAAGGGTTGTCGAGTCATCGCGGGAAATGGCGACGTTTGCACTCTTAGCCTGGGAGCTGAGCTTCTTCATCTCAGAAAGCTCTGTATCTTTGGCCTTCAGCTCGGCCTCCAGCACAGCAACTCGGTCTGTCAGATTCATCCTTGCGGTTTGTTCTTTCTGCAAGGACTCGAGTTGGGCGGAGCTTTGCGTGAGCTGCTGACGGCACATTAACAAACTGTTCCTTGCATCCAGTAGCTCAGCTTGAGCTTGAGCGCTGGAGCGATTCAGGTCCTCGAGGGCTTGCCGCATTTCCTGGTTTTGCTGCTGCAGCGTTGCCTTGATGACATCATTCTTCTTCGTGAGCGCAGCAACGACATCTTCTTTCTCTTTCTTCGTCCTTTCGCACTCAGCGAGAGCCTCCTTATTCCGCTGGCGGAGCTCTGCGATCTTGGACTGAAGGCTGCTTGTCTCAGTCATAGACTGGTTGAGCAGGGACTGCACCTGCTCCTCAAACCGGCGGTTCTCTTGCTTCGCCTCGTCAAGGAGCTTCGACAGGTGCAGTACTTGCATCTCATCATGCGTCCTGCTGCCATCAAGGCTGACAACATCTGCGTCGCAGTCGACTAGCACGGGGGATACTTCCTCCCATTCGGTGCGGTGCTCCGCTTGGGCATCGTTTCGAGAATTGGTCTGGGTAGTGAGGATGGGTCTGGCAGTTGAGGACGACGATACCGTCCAGTATGGGACGTTCCACGTCATGGTTGGATTGGGGTGAGGTCGATGAGGTTGTGCTATGTGGGTAGGACGATGCGGGATACTTGTCTACCGCGCAGTTCTCATTCCTCGTGTACATGATGACCTCGAGGCGCAGGCCCCTGCGGTACATGCGTCTTCCATATTAGATGTGACACTCCCAGATTGATCTAGATCTCACATTCTTGGAAGAGTGGATTTCAAGTAGCTAAGGGTTAACAGCCTTCATATCACCACGTAACATACTTCTCGAACCTTGTGACAAGTTAATTCCGTGTGTGTCCAATCGTACGATTGCATACAGAGATGACGTAATCTCGAGATTGTTCGTGAATAAGTCAAAGTTACAAACCTGTAAGGTGTGAAGCTACAGGTCTGTTCATACTGATGTGTTAAGTTCGCATCTAGAGTCCCTCATTATTGTACAAAAAACAATGCTCGTATCAGTTCTACAACCCATCTATGTTTGCTTACAGTAAATGTTATGGACTTTGGCGGTCAGCGCTTGGCTGTCTTGCCGGGGACAAAGAGCCACCAGATGCTAATAATAAATCTCAAGCCCGTGCCAACACCAAGAGTACCGGCGGAGCCTATTACATCGATTAATGCACGTCCCAAAAACCCGCCCAAGAACAACGAGCCGATGGCCATGATCTTATGATCTCGGGAGATGACGAGCCGACGGATGTTAAAGAGCTGAGGGTCAGCCATCAGCTCACACCATGTCGTCGTCAATACCACTGAATGGAACGTTCAGTATGGGAACAGGCGAATGATGCGGCGAAAACTCACCCGTAGTGGTAAACTGCGTATTCGTCCTCTTACCCATGATCCCTTGGAGACCCATGCTTGCGCTCATGAAGCCAACACAGACAAAGGACAGCGTATTGGTCCATGCAGGGTCAGCACGCGAATCCGCAACACTCGTTTGCCCGTTCTTCCAGATGGCGATAGCTGCAGCCATGGTGAAGAGGGTCTGGATCAAAGTGCCGAGAGCCAGCCATGCCCGGGTTTTACAGCCCATCTTGTCGCCGATGCGGGCGATGGATGCGCCAAGGATGAATGTGATGAGAGAGCAGAGGGCTTGTTGATCTGCGATATGGAAAGAGTAGTCGTGTTGGCCATTGAAAAGGCGGGCGAGGGCAAGGCCGAGCTAGAGAGTGAAAGTTTGACCATGGGCCGAGTCACAAAGAATATCAAATCGCACCTGTACAGTATTTCCGGTTTGAAAAGCACACCACACAAAAATGGCAGAGAAACAGACAGCGTCACTGGAGATGAGGACGAATATGAGTGACTGGGAAGTACGGAGGGTATCGGAAGACACACATAAAACCAGTCATAAAACAATATGCAGACAGCGGAGCGGTGGCTTTGTCTCCATCGATATCCGTCAAGAGGTATTTCTTCCAGCTCGTTAGGGTCGTAGAGTCATTACTCTCAAGATCCTGCTTGCCCGACATGAGGGAGTTGTTGACGAAAAAACCTGGGAGGACAAGTCGGGACAAGGATGAGTCACTACCCGTGAAGATATTTTAACACATGAGAGCACGATTCTTATTCGATTACGGGTCGATTAAGATTATCATAGTCGGCGATAGCTAGGCTATGTAAAATTTTCAGGGCAAGTTGAGAGGCCGAGTAGTAGTTATCCTTCAAGACAACCGGTTCCACTCTAACTCCTCAAGCTATCGGCATTAGCCCAGACAACCGCTTGCATATTCAAATTGACATTGTCGAAAGCGAGATCCGGCAGACACCAACGATATTGAACCTGAGGCGGAGCTGCGCTTATCCGCTGAAAAAGGCTTCCAACTTATCTGACCCTAGATTTGGGAACAAAGAAATGTCGTCTATGATAAAGGTCTAACCAGCTAGAGAAGGTTCCGTACTATGCGGTCCGCTGGACAAGTATTCTGCCCATCTTCGGTTCTGCCAGATGCTTGGAGCCTCCAACTTATGATATCTTTCCGTGATTACCGCGTGGGCCCGGGCGGATTAACCATGTAAAGGGGACTCATAGCAAGACATCGAAATCGTGCAACAGATCCGATATCATAGGTGCGCTTATCAGAGATCTCGTAGAAAATGAACACTGAATATTAAATTGCTTTTACAAAACGAATAGGGGGATTAATGGGAATGTAGGTGATTATTCGAACGATATTACAATAAATGTGATATGCCTTGCGGGGAGCTTCCTTGGTCTAGGAACTGCTACGCCTGGAAAATCGACTAGGGCAGACATGAGTCTTCTTCATATATGGACGCAGGAACTCCCTTCGACAGGTAGTGCAGACAGCCTTAAACCGACGTTTATGAACCTCGTTCACATGGCGAGTGTAGCTATCTTTCTTCATAACACTTGAACACCCTGACCACATGCATTTCACCTTATCCTCACCGTCCTGTACAACTGGGAGATACAGTCGTTGGTGGCGTCTGACTGAAGGGCCAGATAAGGTCTGTTCCTCGGAGCACGTGTCATCTTCAGGTAATGATTTCTGGAATGACTGTGTACCAAGCTCATAGCTGACAGAACTGGAGGCAACGGGAAGTGATGGTTCTATCATCCCATTCAGTAAGCGTATTTGAATTCAGAAAGACTTACCTTGAGAAAATTGGTGGACGGGAGGACCTGTACCCTCTGTCAGGGTACTAATGACCCCGACAGATGGCCGCGGCTGCAAAAGAGATGCGTACTGTGCCGATGATTGGTCAACGCTGCTGCCCCATGCACCCACATTCCCCATGGTTACTTCCGGCTGGGAGCTAGCAAGAATTTCTGCAATATGGGTGCGAATCTCGAGAATTTCCTTGTAAGTATTGTTAAGCCTGTCACAGTGCTGGTCAAGTAACTTAAGACAAGAGTGCAGGGTTGAAGTCGTTGAATCTTGATCGCTGGATGCACGTCCTAAAGTTCTATGGTGTAGCGAGCATCCATCGTCGGTCAAGCTTGTGCTTCCGAGTTGCTCAACATCGTCAAGCCACGAGAACGTTGATGCGTGTGATGTTGGCATCCATCTGGACCTGGAAGGTAAACCACAGTGAGCCTATGAGTCCATCCATAAACTTGTGAGATCTAGCCTTACTTATGCAAGTGCATGCTCATGTTCAACAATGGATTTGAGGTGTGGATTTCTTTGAAAGCGGTATGAGTGGATGTTTGACCGCGTGGATATTGGAGCATCATTTTTTCATCATAGTAGTACATAGGCTTTTAAGGTAAGGCGCTAGTAACTCTCAATCATTCTCTCGAAAGGCGATCGTACATGACTCACTCTTATGGGAAACTTTCCCAAGACCTGTTCAAAAACTTGAATGTGGCGCACATACAACATCGTGACACGAGCCGCACGAAGACTTATTACAACTGACCCGCCTGGTACGGGACTATTAGTTGGCACTGTCTTTGACAAGTTAATACATAGCTATGCCAGTGTTTCTGAGCCTCCGTGCTTTGATGTCACGATCATGCCAATGAAACAGTGATCGTTGACAGTGAGCATGTTGACAAGTAAAGGCGCCACGGTCTTTTAGACTGTCTTCGGATCTGACAGAGAGAGACTTGTGTATTTATATACCGCTATACACAAGGGAAACCGTTAAGGCGCGGTGCCTCATGCACATGGACAGGCTATGAGGGTAGATAATTGATATTGTACTGGGCTTTGGCAAGACAGTCTGATAGCCTTATACTCCAAAATGGGTCTTCAATTGGCAGGAATGGCATTAGACTTGTAATCGCCTCGCCCGAATTGTTTTACAGCTGTTGTACTAGTAGGGTGGCCTGGCGTAGGCGCAGTGGCCAGAGTCCCGGCTCGTAGTCGGTGGTCCTGCGCTATCATGACTCGGATGCTGTAGTAGTCGGTCAAACTCGGCCCTCGATAGATAGAGCTGTAGCCTCCCGCTATAGAGATTTGGCCTTGGAATTTCCTTGCAGTCTGTGCTCGTTTGTATTTTACTTGCAGACACAATTCTGTTTGGGGAAAGTGTTTTGAAGCTCCGAATGGAACCTTCCGGTTAGGACTGAGCTCAGCTGAGCTTGAGTTGGACAAGTGTTGACTAGTCGACTCTTCGGATGGGCGGTAGTACGGCGGTGGGATTACAAGGTGAAGCGGTGTGGCCTGGATAGCACTGGCTATCCGATCATCATCTACGGCCATCATTTTCTCGGATGCAATTGATATGCTCTCAAGCCGCTTCACTTGCTGTTGACCAGGTTGTTCTATTCAACTCCCTCAGATTTACTGAACAGCCTCGCTGAGTGGGTGGGAGTCTGGGTCAGTTTAGAAACAGTCCAGAACCACTCAAGTTTTGGCGCTTAATAGAGCATCTGAGAAACCGGCTATTTTCATTTGATCAGAACCATATCACCATGATCTACTTACTACCGCTCCACCTGACAGCTGCAGTGTTTTGACACAAGACACTTGCCTTTGATCAATGTGCTGTATACTGGGCTTCCTGTACTTGTGGGCTATGTCGTCCGGGATGTATCGTCCGGGATGTTGAGATGATATTATATACATCAGCCTGGCAGTTGGCCCTGTCATAATCAGCTCCACGATGGTCCAGAAACGGCTGACGCTGTATTGGGCTGTACTCGTGTGGGCCCTATAGTTACCCAGGCCTCTATTTGTGATCGCGAGTCCATTTGAAGAAGATCAGCGAATTTTTCGGTTCTCAACGCTTGAAGTGGTAAACTATGTACTGGTCATCGTGGTATCTATAGTACAGGGGAATGTTAAGGAACATAGTTATGATTTTGTACGATATATACATAAGTCTGCATAGGTACAGCCAGATACAGTCCCCAGTTCGTCAGAGGACGGCTTTTATGGAGTTTAATCCTATATCACAATCCTCACTTTCATAATCTCCACGTAACAAACATCCGCCCGCTCCCACTCCAAAAATATCATTCATACCTCAAAATAAAAATCTTACCGTCCCTTACACTCAAAATCACAGCCCCTTGGCTCTGATCAATATTGATCGTCTCAACGACATCCAAGTCCAGTTCCTCTGGGATCTCTAGCGTGCGCACCACCGCTTCTTCAGTCCGCTCCCGGCGGCCATGCACAGGAGGGAAGGTGACGAAGCGCAGACATTTGGGAACCCGCCGCCGCGGGTGCGGATGCGGGTGATCGTTCTCGAAGTGCGCAAAGTGGGCGTGAAGCTGTGTATCTGGTTCTGTATTCGGTTGAACAATATCTGTGTCATATATGCCAGGAGAATTGTTGTCGGTGCGTGCGCGAACATTGAGGGTGGGAGGCACAGCAGAAGAACCATACTCCACCCATACTGCATGCCCAAAATCAACAGCCACGAGAGGTCGTGGCCGGTCGCCAGTATCTTCATCGTCGTCCCCCTCTTCGAGCACGCAGACGACTTCGAACGGTGTGCTGACATACCACAGATGAAGCATGTCATCGTCGTTTGCTTGTGCAGAACGAGACGAGCTGCTCGTGCTTGATTCTCCCACAACAGGTAGCCCCTCAGGGGTTATGGGGACCTTGAAGTAATGCTGCGCGAGCACAAAACGCGTGCGGTGCGTCTCAGGGTCGTGAGCTGCAAGGAGGACAACCGTACAGCTCAACCGCGGGACACCAGGGAGGGTAGGCCACCACTGTCGCACAAAGTGTGCAGACTCGGGGTACCAAGGGGGGAAAGGATAAGGGTTTGTGAACGATTCAGACGTTGCCGCACCTACTACATCTTGAATGGGCTGCTGAGGTCCGGGAGAGGTTGGAGTGGCGGATTGAGAAGATGATGCATCTTCGTCGCCTTGCAACGCAGGTTCAGGATTGGGACTGTGTTGGGTTGAGGAAGAAGACCCTGCATTAAGTTCATCCTCAACCCTTACTTCATCCTCACCACCTTGTGAGCTACTGGGCCCGTCTGCGCTACTATCATTTCCTGTTTCTTCATCTTCGAAACGTGTACGCCTTTCGCCTTTCCTCTTCGGAGCGAAAGGCATATCTTCTTCGCCCTCGTGAGTATCTTCAAATTCTTCTTCGTCATCTGGTGGCTCCTCTTCGTCTACAAGTTCTTCATGACCCACGGACTGCTCATCTTCAACGGAAGCTACTGTCGAAGATACCTCATTCGTGCCGGCCTGTTCTTCTTCACTAACGGGCTCAGTATTATTTTCGGTCTGTCCTTGAGCTTCTTCCGCAGCACTAACTTCATCCTCTTCCTCGGTGTCTTCTTCATCTTCATCACCTACAGGAGGCATGCCAATCACCGCACCTGAGGTCCCCGGTACAGAAGGAAACACGAATTTCTTTGAGATGCTCCTACTCGGCGTAAGTCTCGCACATATCGTTGGGAGTTTATTCCACAAGCTCTTCAACGAGTCTGGTATGTCCTCGCCGTTGTTTTCCTGAAGGGTTCCCTCTTCTGCCTGAGGTTGAGTTTGTGCGTGAGTTGCCGGGGAAGCGATACAACGCGGACGGCCATATGTTCTGAGCACTTCGAGTGGGTAAAAGTGCTGGTATGCGGCGTCGGCTTCTTCGCTGTGGATTACGATTTGGTCTTCGTGGAGGATGCAGGACCAGTTGGAGGAGATGAGCTATAAAAGGATGTTAACAGGTGAAATATTGTATGGTAAAGCAGCTAGATAAAGACGAGTATGCTGTTGAATCCACTATATTCGTGTAAATGCACAGGTATGGCAGAGGAGTTGCAGAACGTGGCATCCGCTGTATGCGCACCAAACCAAACCAATGCAAGCACCAACACCAAACATGGAGCAAGAGTAACTTGAAGGAAACACAACCACAAAGACCACTCACACATCCAACACCAGTATCCACAAACACATAGTCGTCTTTCGCCCAGTCAAGGAGTACGTACAACCCTGTCATATACATAAAGCAGTCAGTACGCTTCAATTATAGTAACGCCAGGAGATAGAAGAAATCTGGAAATCCTGATCTTGATACTCACCGATAGTGTTACTACTCGCAATCCATACAAAAGCGCTCAGCAAGCGACGTGGTGGGTCAAGAAGGAACACGTTCATGATGACCCCCGTTGTATGAAAGCTCGTGAGTGTGTCAAATACCGGTCGCGCCGATTCTGGAATGGGAATAGTCGATACTGGGGGCGGAGGCGGGGGTTGATCTGTGAGAATACAATATACATTTTGTATTGGCACATCAACGAATGAGATAATTGAGGCAAATGCTCACCAAAATTCATAGGAAGCGGGATATATCTCTCCCAAGAGGGTGTCGCAGGCGCGCTGCGGATAAACATCGCTCGGAGGGAGGGATGGCAGAAAACAGGTCCTTGGTACGGTTCCCCAGCACCGCCATCACCTCTAATTCCAACTGTATTCGCCTGATTGGATGGAATTCCATTTAATGGCGGGGGATCGCTGCATTCTGCAAAATCGGGCGGTAGCATCGCGTTGATCGCCATTGGGGAACATTGAGCGCTGGATGTAGCGCTGGATGGGCCGAAGCTGCCGGAGTGAAGAAGGGATGAGTTTTGTGGTGATGGTGTTTGGGAGACGGGTGGTGAAGGAGTGGGGGTGGGGGGTTGATCGTAAATCGGAATCAACGGGGGCGGATCTTGCGTGGGCGATGGGATTCTAGGCGTTAATTGGATCGGGGAGTCTCCTTCACGTTCCCGTGGCTGGGGCTCGGTGGCATAGTGGTCGAGGTGAGAAAGAATTGGAGATTGGACGTAGAGTTGTGCCTGGTTTATTTCATCGTAATCGTCGAGTTCGTGAGGGAAGAATAATCGCATGAGCATGAACTCCATCACGCGGTCATCGTGATATCTGAGAAGGCGTGTCAATGGAGTCTGAAGATCGAAGAAAATGAAAAACTGGCAACCCCTTGAGAACCCTGGCCATGGTGAAATATACTGTGCGCTCTTCGAATTCGACACGGCATTTCCATAACTCCCATTTATCCTCGTCGTCCTCGTCTTCATCTTCATCCCCTCTACCGGAACATGTCAAGGACCTCGGGTCCCACTCAGCAAGGCAGATATCCCTCCTCACATCCCAGCATAAAACACGGCCGCTCTTAGTCGCACAGAGTGTGTAGCTGCTGGTGATGGGAGATAACCAATCGATCTCTTCATGAGAAGGTACACTGATAGTGATGTACCACTGGTTTCCGTAGTAGGGATTTGGGCGAGCCGGTCGAGGGGCACGGATTGCCCACGCCTTCTCAAAACCTCGTGCACGGTCGACAGCAGCAATGAGCGCGGGTGTTGAAAGATCAGAGAGGCGCTGGAAGGAGTGGAGAGGAAGTGGCCTGGATCTAGCCAGTAAGTCATGGGCTAGCTGTCTATATACGGGTCTGGTAAGGGTGAACAAACGCAAGGACTTGCAAGTCTAACGGAAAGATTGAGTCAGCTATAAGATCATACTATCACGGTAGAGACCAAAATGTACTACTGACCGCCTGGAGATTGTGCACATCATCGATTTCAAGATCCTGGGCGATATTGAATAGAAGATCATACGGCAAGAACTGTAACGACATGGACCAATACTTAATGGACGACTGGCAGTCAAATGATGGGAAATCATCACTGCCTACGCGTTATCCATCCTAGTGGATCACGTGCCAGTAGCTACCCGGCTGAGTGTTACGACGTCAATGTGTTCCGAGTACACCCAGTTGGTTTAACTACAGCACGGACAGTTTGGATCTTATTTGCATATCTTATTGTGCTTCAGCTGATTGAAGGAGAATTTATTCGGCTACGTTAACTAAATAGCGACCACGATGAGTTACATGACCTATTACATATGTGCACAGAAAACTGTGAAGTCTCAACCTACCTCATCAGTAAAACCTCGGATTGATTTTCCTTCATTATCCCACTTTTCTTGCCTTGGCGCTGGCGCTAAGGCATAAAAATTAATACAAGGAGTGATAACTCGATCTTTCCGAAATTTCTCAAAGGCGCAAAGGAGCGGTCCATTGGTTTTGCCACACAAAGGAGAGAAAATGCATATTAAGAGAGAAAAGAGTATTATAAATTCAAATTGTGTACAAGTAGCTAGATCAAAATGCAATCTCAAAGGCGTGATGGTCAGCGTATTTATTGACATAGTAGGCGCAGAATGCATCATAGGAATGATAAAATTTGAGCTCTGGAGGCAGGAATTCCGTGCTGTACACGGGAATAAGATGGGCAGCGTGATAAATGGCGTCAATATGAATGATCGCGTACTCAGCAGTATTGTTTGCACCCTCTCCTGGATGAACCATCCACATTCCCGTGTCTTCGTCTGCAGCATCGCCGATTTTGTCGAACCAGTGAACCACAATGCAGGGATACACTTCACCCCGGTACTGGAATGAAAAAAATGCGCGAACGCGCGCGACTTCGAGACCTTGCATGCCAGGTAGACTAGAGTCTGTGTTGACAAAGACACAGTCGTTGCGTGAATGCCCACCTCGCCAGGAGGGACAAGAGTGGATGTGTTCAGTGCGCATGCCACCAATACCACTCAAATTGCTTGGCGCATAAAATCGCGATGATGCCGAGTTGAAGACCGCAATTTTGCTGAGATAGAGGGGACATTCAGCAAGAGGGATATCGGATGGATCGCGGGGATCATCAGGATGCGTCTGTTGAAATAAGAAGCGTCTGAGAAGGTCAGATAGGTGAGGAATATCAAGTTCATCAGCGAGTTCAGGAATGGTTTGAGCGCGATTTTTGCCCTCTGTACAGTATGTTCAGTATCACGTTGAAAATCAGGAAAAAAGGACACTTACGGCGGGTTTTTGCCAGCGTTACGAACACTTGTAGAACTGTGGGCCCGTCATCTATGTCGAGGTCCACGTCAATGTTGATCAAGGGAGGTGGAGGTGGAGGTGGAGGTGGGGCAGGTATGGGTGGGGCAGGCGCAGGCGCATCCATATCTACTGCTGCTTGAGCAGGTGTGAGTGCTGCTGCCCCCCCGTCTTCATCAACTTGGTTGATCTGCGCAGGAACTGTTATGCAAATTAGTTGAAATATATCTCGTAAGGAATGCATGACTTACCTAAGGCATTGACTGCTGAGAGACAAGTGCCAGTGAGCATCCCCCGACGCATGAAGTTGACTCGCAGTGCTGAAAGTTTGTCGAGCCGTTGATTGGTCAGTAATATCTGACCAAGTGCATTGTAACGGCTCGATCGTCGCCAGGGCTCCTTGACCGCTTTGATGTGCTTGTTCTCGGTGATTGATGAGCAGAGACCGTTGGGTGCAGCAAAGAGTTGAATGTTTCGAACATAGTGCATGAGCGAGTGTTGACGAGGTAAGGAGAAGTGAAGGACGACACCCGTTGTCCTGAAGATTTCACGGTAACGGTGAAAACGAGAGAGTGCGTCTTCGATTTGAAGTAGAGAGTCTTCGGTGATGATATTGCGACGGACTAGATAACAAAAATCTAGAAGCACACGAAAGGCGCGAACAACGTCTTGAGGTACATGGCCCTCGATAGCAGGTAAATAGACCTAAAGGATTCAATATTAGGTAGTAACAATACAAAAAAATGACGACTCACTTTCATCAAGGCCTTGGAGTCATCTCCTGTCCACTGTTTGAATCTGCGCCCTTGAGGAAATCATCGCAAGCCTGAAAATGAGGCGACAGCAGCGATTCTATGGCAATGAGAAAAAGTAAGCAATCCAAATACAAACTGAGCTCACCTGCGGTCAATATCATCCATAATTTTCTGTGCCTTCCATTTGTTGTGTGTCTGACGGAGGTACTTCTCGACCCATGTCACGAGGTGATCCTTGAAGGCGCCTTTTATAAGTTGATGGAGGATATCTGGTGATATCATTTGATGGATATCGGCTCGGGGAAAGTCGTTTGTGAATGGCTGTCGAAATAGTATTAGTTTTGTAAATGAAAACGAGAGAAAAACGCTGAATGACTTACCACAAGTTGCACGACTATTCCGAAGTCTTCCCAAAGATCTCCTGAGGGAGCTTCTTCAACGAGTGCCTCTGTATATTCGCGGCTACGGGGCAGCACATCTTCGTCGAGATCTTCGCGATTTGCAACACACCTTTAGAATAATGTGAGCGACCATGTAAATACATATTAAATGAAAGACGTACTTTGGACACCAATTACGGACAATGCATGCTAATAAAACTTGCTCTTCATAATCCGCTATGTAAGGCCCTAGTCCATATATGACATGCTGGTAGTGGCCATCTCCGAAACACGTTACTTCGGGAGTCGTCATGCCCGGCTTGAGCGGATCAAGAATTTTGGAAAGGGACGAATGGAATAACTGTCGACGAAATCTTCAGAACGAAGGTTCTTCAGCATGTTCCTGCGTAGCTGTATCATAGTTAGTCAGTTATAGAAATAGATTGCAGGGTTGAAACATACTTTTCGGCATTGCCAGGAACCCAATGACGGCCACACCATCGCGATGCGCTCTTCGAACGTTATTGTGGATGTTCCCAATGGAAGCATAGAGCGGGTAGTACTCGTTGTTACCCGTTCCGACTGAAACTGTCGTTTTGTCGCTGCCAAGGATGACAGGGACAAATGTCGACCCGAGAGTGCTCGGGTCTTTCGCGATTTCGTCCTAGATACATAGAGCCATTAATATCGGACATTACAAAACAAAAAATGCATTACTTACTGCTTGATTCCACACCCAGTCGCCAGACATGAAATCCTTCCATTGGCGCTTGTTGCCCTCAGTTGAATACTCCCTATACGGGCAGTAATCTATCTCGTTAGCGTAAGTCGAATTTGCGAGCATATTACGCGCAACTTCACGTGGGTCGCAGAACCAGACTTCGTATTCGCTGTCCATCCAGGGCTTGTCCTCATCTGCAAGTCTCTCGCCATCATAGGCGACCGTAAAACGTTGCCATGGTACATCCCCAAAGGGCGAACTGTCAATGACGTGGTACAGATCACGGTGATCTGCAAACGGCGGGTTGTCGTTGTGCTTCGCAAGGGTAGATGCCCATAGATCCAGTAGCCGGTCAATTTGACCAGCTGGCATTTGATTGTGCTTGTAAAGGAACTCGGCCGTTTCAAATTCTGTGCGGTTTCGAAAAGGCGTCCAGTCATCAGGTGCGAGATTCTCAGGAGGTGGAGGTGGAGCACCAGGGGGGAGGAATACACCATTTACATCACATGGTCTACCTGTAATAGCACTCATTAAAGATAGAGTATCAGGCAGTAAATTGACGTACCGTTAAGACCTGTGTGATAATTGCGATAAAGATGATCGCCACGCCCAAAAAATTCTGTGTCGACGTCTGCATGGGGGGATTGTTGGCGCAGATGTTCGTCCATGTCGCCCTGGTAACCATCCGCATCAACATCGTGCTCATTGTCTTCATTGCGAGACGGGTGTGGGCTTGGTGTTCGGGGAACAGGTTCCAGAGATTCTCAATGGTTGTCTTGAGGCGGTACTGGCATCACAGGATGTGCCGAAATTCGGTGTTTCGTTCGCCCAGCAGAGCTTTTGAACCATCTTGAACATGTTCCACATGGGAGTTGGAGTGCACTATGGTCCTGTCGGCGTGGTTGGATGCGTGGAATATCAGCAGGCATCACGGAAAGTGAAGACACTTGAGATTGCGTCAATAAGAGTGCGCGGCTGAAATAAATCGATACCTGCATTTTTGTTGAGTGGATTTCCAAGTGACTGAGCTCAGGCCAGCCGAAGAATGCGTCTAGTTGATGTGACCAGCTGGAAGTGTAGACATTTGAAGTAAGTATGGCGCGAAAAGACAGAATAATGCAGGACTTACTTGATGGTTTGGACAACTTTACAGGTGCGCAGACCAGAGAGTCCTGCTAGTAGTGAATTGAATTAGCGATCAAACTTTGTTTGGTTAGCTCTTAAGTACGGAACTTACAAATTGGTTGTCAATTTTCAACTTCAACCATTCTACCGACCACTCATTACATTTCCCTGGCTGTCCCAAGCTTGCCATAGAGCCTGTCAAATCCGCTCCTCGTCAGCAATGTCCGACACCGCTCAGAAGTCACGCACTCGCCCACAGAACGCAAACAAGCATCCAGGCTTGCCTGACCTGCCAGCAAAAGGACGTCAGCGACGGACTAAGGCCCAGATAGCAGAGGACAACCGGATTCTCAAGGAATCACGCGAAGTCCAAGAGCAGGCCGCACTTGAGGGGCTGCAACGGCTTGCAGCCATGCAGAAAGAAATGGAAAAGGCGGAGGAACTCACCATCATGAACAAGCCAAAGCCAGTGAAACCTCGCGCCCGCCCTGTCGTGAAGTGAACGGCGCCTGATAAGAAGCTCCTGACAACAGGAAACGCTGGTGAGTGCACAAGCATCAAATGAGGCTCACTTACATGGGGCTAACATTGTTGAGGACCTAGATGAAAGTGGTCGAGACGACAGCGGTCATGTTCAAGAGGAAATCAGTGAGAAGTCGAAGACTCAAAAGTGTGGCAAGATCTCACTAAAAGATGCCATCAACAATGCCCAAGATTTGATCGCAACACCAGGAATTAGAAGCCAGGAACCACGTGTCAAAGACAAGAAAGAAAAGTTATCTGCCGTGGCGAAGTATGTCTTTTCGACTTGATCAAAACCATGTTGATGCTTACTGAATCAACACTATTCTTTGTTAACTTAACCTCAAAATTCAGGTCGACCAACTTAAAGTTTTCATTGGTAGGACGTGTCAATGGCTGGGTATCTGACGTTACACCAGATGAGAGGTCCAAAGCTTCAAGTGCTTCCAAGTCTCGCACCGCTGCCTCCCCTTTCTCATTGGCACATGGGCCACCCAGCACCCAGGTTACATCTGTATCAGGTGTAAATACCAAGTCCAGTCACCAACCTAAAGTCTCTTCCAATCTTGCTACTGAGGTTCTTGTTGGCGGCTTTGCCGATGACACTTTGGATGATTCCCAGGAACACCTTGAAACAATCGCCTCAAAAACAAAGGAGAAGAAGTCTTTCATTAAGGTGCGTAGAGCATATGTAGTCTTACTGGTTCTAATACAAAGTGAACTATATAGATCACTACCAACACGAGGACCGATGATGCGACAATGGGCTCAAAGGGACAGTCTGATCTCAATGTGCCAATGGACGTGGAGGCCTCCACGCCATCAGACATAGAGGCAGACTTTGAGGATGACGGCCCAACAGACTTCGAGGACAATGATCCGATGGATGCAGAGGATGATGTGGAGAATGACGTGGAGGTTCTGGAGGACGACTTCAACCCGAACGAAGATGCGAAGATGTCCGAGGACAGTGACGGTGGCAGTGATTTATCATCCCACCGTCCGAATAACAAGAAGCGCAAGGTCTTGTTTCACTTATTGTCCTCAGATGAGGAACTTGAGGCTCCGCTTACAGCTGCTGTTGGAGCAGTCGTGAAGAAGGCCATGCGGGTAACATCTTCAGTAAGTCTATTTCATTAACGGTTATTGCTACTCATATTTGTTTGAACAGACTTCAGTCGCTGTCTCCAAGGCAGCTGCTACAGCAAAGCCACCTGCAAAGAAGGTGAAGATTGAAGTAGGTGCCGATGACAATACAAAACCCGTGCTTGTTCCATTGCCCGGTCACTGGATCGAGAAGCGATATAAGTCACGCTCAACCTACCGGAACAGTGATCTCCCTCCGCAATGTCAGGATCAACGGTGGCCCAAACATTTTCTCTTGACCCTTTACCTGTGGGCCAGCAGCCAAAATGATCTCTGGCAGTTTGCAGATACCTCTCTTGTTGAAGCGCTTCAATGCATTTTTGATGTCGTGTATCCAGATCTCCAGTACAAGGTGACCGCTTAGGGATCTGTCTTTGGTGTTGTGCATCTAGCAATTTTTTTTGTAGCACTATTGCTAACTCATTGTGATCTCAATAAGGCTACTCAGCGTCTGGCAGAGTGGCGCAGCAACTTCGGTTCAACAGGACTCGCAATTATGATCGACTTCTTCGCTCAGAACGAAGACACTAATCCAAAAGACCTTAGTGAAGCGCTTATGGAGGAGTTCGTGTTCCTCTTCAAGGACTTGGACTACTCAGACAAGATGAAAGCATTCCGGTCTCCTTTCATGATACAGTTATTTGCAACCGCTCATCTTCACAGTATTGTTGGACATGCTCATGTCACCGCCATCAAAACAGATGTATTGGCTGCCAGTGGCATGGCTGGTGTTCTTGCTCTCTGCGCAACTTCAGTAAGTATTCTGACCATACAAGAATCATGACTTATCACATTTGACAGCTCGAACGTGCTGTCAAATGCCTCGGCGCTGGTGCCATTGATATTGATGTGGACATCCTCAATATGTGTCCTGCACAACTGAAGCGCAAGCTGCGCACACCAAAGACCCTCAACAAGTGGACCGGCAACTACAGCACCACCGAGCACACATTTTCCATCAACAACTGGGGGTCAGTAACCGAAGCTTACTTGTCTAGCGTAAAGAAAAAGGGGGACATTTTTTTGAGGGACATGGTTTCAACAGCACAGAAGTTACTCAAGAAATCGGGCAGTGCTGGCCTTGAGAAGTACCTTCGCCTCAATGATGACAACGAATCAGAGGACATCAACAGGCGTGCCATGCTTTGGTAACTAGTAATATCAGTTTTTTTTTGCGTTATTCATGAGCTAACATCATTTGATAGATCTCGTTCCCACCATGCTTGCTGTCCGCTTCCATCATTGCCATTGATTCAAGTTCATAGTACTATCGTGTTTTGCTTATCCCACCACCACTCGTAATGCCTTTCGTCGTCTTTGGTCTCGTTTCATGCTCTTTGCACCGTTACCCTTCTTTTTGCTAGCATTTCATACTCTTCTTTTCGCTAATGTTTCATACTTTACTTTGTGTTCCCATTTTCATCACTTTTTTGCACTTTCCACCAGATGATGTGATACCGTTTGCTCTCTATTATTACCACTTTGTTTTGTCGGTTAATGCCTCATAAGTGACTTTCATGAGCTGCAAAGTAGAATTCAGAGGACGAGTGGCATTTTTCTCAATTTTCTCATCGTGTCTTGCGTGTCACCTTAATGGTTCCTCAAACCTGGTAAAACTCGGAAAAATAGAAATAAATTCAAAATCTTTGGCGAAAATAGACCCGAGGTTTTACTGATGCTTGCCCTTACCGCCACCACAATGTTCATGTGTGTGGTCCTTTCCATCCTTACACTCGCTGGAGTCACAGGTCTGTCTGCAGCCTTAACGACGCGTTGATGTACTGCAAAAAAGCAGGTCGACACTAGATTCCGCGTCGTTTCACTGTGTCCATTAACGCGCGCTGCACCAAGATCAGCACTACGGACCCCAGTTCTGATATAAGCCATTTTAAACGTACCACACAGAACTTCTGATGCAATGGCATAGCATCAGGAGGAATGAAGGCAGACTCATACTCATGCAATGATGTTGAGTGTTTCCAACCTCGCAAGAGTGCACTGTACAGCATTCGGTAAGTCATACAGTCCTCATGGTGTACTGATTCTGATGCAAGGAAGTCAATCTCTGGACTATTTCAGCCGTGGGCACCTTGTCATATGCACGCTAAGTACGGCAAATTAGGTCCTGGGTCACGTTGGCAAAATGATGGTCGTCACTGATGCCCACAAAGATTGAATAGACCTGGACATAGAAACATACGGAGTGGCTTCCCGACCGCGGTGTTAGTATTAACAAAGGTGAGGAGAAGCAACATAACTTGCCATCACTGGCTAAAATTCGCTGTAAAGGGCTAGTCCTCCTTATAAATATATTATAGATGAATAGATAAAAGCCGTTTAGTCTGAGTGCTAGTGAAAAACCAACATACGATTAGTTTAGGGCAGGCAAGTTCGTGTTAGTAAGTATAATCAGAGTCGCGGCGCTGTTGCAAATCACGTAACAACTGAATGCAAGTCTCTGCAAGAGAAGAGAGGTCAACGTCAGTCATAAAATTGGTGATAAACTAAACTTCACTGGCACTGACCAGATTCGATGACTTCAAGCTGCAGTGCCTCAAATCTGACGACAACACTATTCAATCAATGCTTCAGGTAATGTCTCAACCACACAACCCAATTCAAGCCACTTACAGGCTAACAGGCCGTGTACGCCTGGCTGAATGGCAGTGCGGGCAACACAAAGTCGTTGCCAATGGATGTATGCCGAATGCATGTACACAGGGTTAACGTTGAAACGTTGAAGCTTCGAACTTCGAAGCCGCTCATGCACATAGATCCCAACTTGGATAAATTTCACAGTGAATGAAACTGGGCGTAGGGCTCCAAATTGGAAGCTCTGTCCTGTTCAGAACAGGTTATAGGAGATGCAACATGCGTTTGCTCTATCATAGCACAATCAATTGCGACACGATGCACACACGCCTTGATCTGCGCCTCCAAACTTGGTATGTGACCTGTGAAATGTAAAACATGCCCCTTTGCATATAAACCTGGATACATGAATTGCATGCCTTCAGATTACTATTATGCTTCCACGGGAACCATATAAGGGCCCAACACGAAAGCTAGTGCTTGCATTTGATGTTGGGACCACGTTCAGTGGAGTCTCGTATTGTATGCTAGATCCGGGGGAGGTGCCTGTAATTCGAGGAGTAGCAAGGTTAGTAACCGGCTCAAGCTTCATGTATCTGGCTCATGGTGGGATTACAGATATCCTGCGCAAGAGCATGTTGGAGGTGACTCCAAAATTCCATCAATTCTTTACTACGACCTTCAGGGAAACGTCCGAGCCGTGGGTGCTGAGGCTCTGCAGGAGCATATCAAGGAACAGGCAGAAGACGAGGAATGGGTGAAGCTTGCATGGTATGTATATCGTCGAGGGTAAAACATAAGCTATATATTAATCTTAATCAGGTGGAAACTTCATCTTCGCGCCAAGCATCTGGCATCGTCTCACATACGAGATGGCGATATAGAACCTCTCCCACAAGGCAAATCCGCAGTAGAAGTCCTCGCTGACTTCATGCGCTACCTCTTCCAATGCGCTCGAACTTATATCCAGGAATCACATTTGGATTTCTGGAGATCGATCAAGAACTCCATCGAGTTCGTATTCACGCATCCGAACGGTTGGGAAGGCCAACAACAACAACAAATTAGACGCGCTATCGAGCTCGCTGGCCTCATATCATCTAAAGAGGAGCAATCGCACGTGCACCTCTTGACTGAGGGCGAAGCGAGTCTTCATTTCTGTGTTAACAACGTGATTGCATCAGATAGATTCTCCCAAACCCCTATAGATGTGTCAGATTACTCCGACGATGAGGAAGATCAACCTGACAACCAGGGAGTCGTTGTTGTTGATGCCGGAGGTGGAACCATCGATCTCAGCGCCTACTCAATGAAATTATCTCCGACCTCTTTCGAGGAGATTGCCCCAGCTGAATGTGAGCTCCGCTTTTCTGCGTTGTTTCCTTGCTGAAGCCCACTCAGGTCGCCTGCAGGGCTCAGTCTTTGTTACTAGTCGCGCTCGTACTCTGTTACAAAGTCTGTGAATGCATCAGTCATACAGGGAATCAAAAACTGATAGTCATTTGATTGCCCAGAGAAGCTTTCGGGCTCGGAGCACTACTCCAACCCAAAGATCATCGCACAAATGGCAGAAATCTTTGACAACAGCACGAAGATTCGGTTCAGTAAACCCGATGAACCATCTTACATTAGGTTTGGTACTGTCCGTGACAAGGATCCGAAGTACGACATTCGATCAGGGCAATTGAAATTGGCCGGGTTCGTCCATATTCTTTGGAATACCTTCATGACGATACCCATGCTTGATTGTACAGCCAGGACGTTGCCGACTTGTTTGAACCATCCATCGAAGCCATTATCGAGGCTTTTGAGCAGCAGAGACGCGCGGCTTCGATTCCAATCAATGTGAGCGTCATATCTCGCTCATAACTGGACGGATCGTGATATCGTCATGAAGTTGGTTTGTTTGGTTGGCGGTTTCGCTACCAGCGATTGGCTGTTCGTGAGACTCCAGGGATATTTTCTACCCCTAGGCATCAGCCTCTGTCGCCCTGATGCTCATGCGTAAGCCCTCAACTGTCAATGTGACTACTTTTACTGATCAGGTAACTGCAGCAATAAAGCTGTTGCTGATGGGGCAGTTTCATTCTACATCGACCACCTGGTGTCGTCTCGAGTTGCACGCGCCACTTATGGCGTTGAATACAGAACACGGTACAACTTTCTAGATCCCGAACACCTGGCCCGACAACATAAATGCGTCATTTCTAGTTCAAACGGCAAAACGTATCTCCACGAACGTTTTGAGAGTATCTTGCTGAAGGTGAATAAAGCACATCCAATCATTCGGTACATGCTGATCTGCTTTACAGGGAACGCAAGTATCTGAGCAACGCGAATTCCGGAAGCCCTTTAAAGCCACCCGGAAATCACTTGCTGCATGCAAGAGTCACAGCACAGACATAATGTGTTACAAGGGTGCCCTCCAGGAGCCGCGGTGGTCGGACACTGAACCGTGTATGGGTTGTTCGCGGCTCAAGTATATTTATACTGATTTGATTCAATTCAGCCTCATTTGCCACGCTATGCACGATTCATGCTGACCTCCACGAGCTATCTCGAACACTTCGTCCCAAAAGATCAGCTTCACATCAATCGGAGTATTACGAGTTTGATTTCGACGTCGTCATTTTATTTGGCCACACAGAACTGAAAGCACAGATCAGTTGGAAGGAAAAGGTTCGTGGCTCGATTTCATTGATCCATTTACTCGCTGATCGAGAACGTTGCAAAGGGTGTTGAAATGCGGTAAGCACAATTCATAGTTCTATGATTAACTGTGTCCCCTCAATCAGTAATAGGAGCCCGGCAAGTATAGTTTACGACGAGTAGTGTCAGGGCCGAACTGCAACTCTTTGTACTTGTTGCAAGTTGCAAAAGCGTGCCAGTATCGTGTAGGACAGTCGTACCATCTGAATCATCTCTATCCATGTCACTTCAAATATTATTGAGTTCTCCATACTTTTGAGTCTGGACTCTGAACAGCACAATTTTAAGGTACTGTCTGTCGGAAAAAGGTAAAGGGCCATTGTAAGGCCGCCGGCTTACAAGTTTGGTCACATGAGTTGTAACGTGCCTTAAAAGGGCGTCTGAGGTCATCATCAGGTCTTGTGATCGTGAGATACAGGTATACGATGAATAACCAATAGCTTACAATAACGTGCTTCGCAATCTTATTGATTCAAATCGTACCATCACATCATTATGGCTCCCTCTTGCACCTCTAGGTTAAAGTACAATCACTCAGAACAAACACTAACAGGGCAGCATCAATGCCCACATTGCAGCAAAAAATTCAAGACGCAGGGCTTCAAAAAGCATGAAGCCAGTTGCAAGAAGCACAACAACATTGAGAAGGAATGAGAGGCCTTCGCCCTCGAGCACAAACAAGATCAAAGGCGAGGTGAGTCATCTTCTACCTTGATATTGAATGTTACTGACAGTCAGAGGTATCTATTATAATGTATAGCTCGCTGGCAGGCATATATGGGTATCAGGTTTCCAAGCGCCAGCCCATCACAATCACTCAATAATGTTCCCTCCACAAGTGAAGACGAGGAACTAATCATTCCTCCAGGTGTGTATCATTATCTTTTTTAATTACACAAACCTAACACTAATCATCCTGATTGATTCAGACCCTTTGTTTGATTTCGATGCCTTGGGTAATGTTGACTTCGAGGGTGCCATTGACAATGGCCCAGGTAAGCATGCAATTCATTTGTTTATATTACTGACCGATCTTTCTGCATAGTTAATAGCCCATCAGGCTCTGCTGAACCTCTGCCTGCAATATCTGCTCAATGGCTCCTAGAATTCAGAACAGAATTCCACCCTTCTTCTGGTCGTGAGCCCCTCCATCAAGCATTTGATGAATTTGGCATTAATGCCCACCCCGAAGAACAACTTCCTGTCGATGAAACACCCTGGCATCCCTTTTGTTCACCTGGCGACTTCGAGTTCGCTGAAATCACACTGGATGCCAAGAGGTGTGCAAAAGGAAAATGCTGAACATAGAGCTCAATATTACTAAGCTAATAAACCTTAATATACAGCCACCTGAAGTTTCAAAACATAAATTCTGAGTTTCTCGGTAGCGGCCTCAATTCTCCGTCAAATCGTTAGTCGAGTACATAAAGTGTGGTATAATCAGTACTATAGAATAGATCTGGATACTCATTTTAATCAGAAGTGCATGTTGAGGCACGCTGATGAAGAAATGATAATTTCTAGATGTAATTTTGAGAACATGTGATGAAATAAGTAACGATGCGTCAATATCAATATGACGCATCTTGTTACCTGCTCACGCACATCTCTATCCTGAATGACATGCAGCAGCGCCTCCTTCTCTTCCCACATGTGTGATAGCATGACACAGCGGAAGTACATTGCTACAGGACAAGATAGGCATTTTGAGATTATGCAAAAGTGTTCCGAGGCTTACCTTGCATTTGCACTTCTGGAGAATCATCCAACTTGGACAGCATGATTTTGAAGGCTTCAATAGCTTCGTCGTAACATTGCGCACCACGCAGTGCTGCATGTGTCAACTGGTGTCCAATGTGAGACAAAGGATTGAGCTCAGTCACCTATGCACTGCTGGAGTCAATATGGGCTATGAAGCTATAGATGCCATCGCACCTTTTGTGCATCGAGAAGCCCATCGTCCCATAGCATTTTACCTAACTTTGCCTTACTACGATTTGCAAAGACAGCATCAGACACACGCACCACCACCAAGTCCTTGTACATTAAATGAATGGGTGAACTCAATGAGAGAGCGCTGGAGTTGGGAATGGTGGCGAAATAGTCAGCAGCTTCTTCATGACGTGCGCCATTCAAGGCCTTGATTCCTAGTTGAACATGCAGATATGCCTGATGCGCAAGTTGCCAAGATTAGTGTTGATGACCAAGTGCAGATGCTACTTACTTGCATGACATCACACACAAGAGCATCAGCATTCGGACAACCAGCAGTGAGTTCTTCGAGGAGCAGATTGGCCTCGTCATGTTGATCTGCATTGAAGAGGGCAATGGCCTGAAATACACGATGAAGCAGAAAGTATGTGAGGCAAATGTAACATACTTTGATCAAGAGCAAGAAATGGAGGATCTGCGAATCTTGGTCCATGTACATTGATGCAACATTGAATGATGCCCTTGCCTCTGAGACACGGCCTGCTCATCAATTATGTTGTGCAAGTTGTCTGATATTATTAAGGTTTTAAATTACTATACATGGCTAAATTACAGTGACCATCATGCTGTTACAGTGGTGGTGGTGGTGTCCGAAGTTTGTCCAGGTTGATGTCATGAACTTTAGTTTCACACACCTCTTGCTGGACGCTGCACTCAACAAATCTCATATCAATGGGCTCCTTGCTCTCATTGGTCACATCTCAAGAGGGGAGACCCAGATGACACTCAAGACTGATACAGATCTCCGCAAGGCTTGGGAACATGCGACTGATCAGGTGGCACTGGTATGTCACTAAAAATTAATCTCGCAAAATATATTATAGACTCATTTAGTTTACAAAGAACAACACCACTGTCCCATATAAATGAGAAGAACAAGTTTATGAGACCCATGCATTACCCCTCTGGGAGTGGGTGCTTGATTTACTAGGCAACCTGGTGCTCACTCCGCATTTTGTGTGGGATGCACAACGCATATACAAACATAACAGAACAGAGTTTGAGCATTTCTACAATGAGCCCTGGACAGGTGATCAATGGTGGGATGTCCAAGTACTTTGTTTCATATCTGAATTGTCTGCATACACTGACATCACTTTTTATTACATCAGTCTCGCCTTCCACCTGGCCTTAAAGTGGCCCCATTTTGTTTCATCTTGTATGCAGACAAGACAAGACTGTCATCGCATGGTACGGTCAAGGCATATCCTGTCGTAGTACAATGCACAAACTTGCCAATAGGCATATGGAACAGCAAGGGAATTGGTGGTGGTCGCATTGTCGGGTGGTTGCCCATCATATGTTAACACTCACAACTTTTGAATTACCATGGATTTGATGGAACTATTGCAGGGCTCCGAAGAAGTGGATGAAGAAGGCAAAACGGGGTTTGTGAACTTCAAGTGCATCATATGGCATGAGTCATTCTTGAAGCTCTTGGAACTTGTTGTGCAGTACTCGAAGACCGGTTATGTGCATCAATGCTTCAACATGATTATGCGCTGGCTGTTTCCTATTCTGCTGATACTTTCTGCTGATTATGAAGAGCAGTATGTTTTAGTTTTCTCTGTACTGATATACACAAGCCTGGTCCAGACATCTCATATATTGTTTGTAGATGTATGATGTCGCTCATCTGTGGTCAAAATTGCAAATGTCCTTGTCCTGTATGCATTGTGCCACTTGAGAAACTTCACGATCTATCCGAGACATTTGCGCTTAGATCAATGCAAGATGCAATAGATGCACTCAACAATTACAAGATCAGCAAAGGTCGGGGCGAAGCACTTCTCAAAGTGTTAGGATTACGTGCCATTGCGGTAAGCTACAGTCTTAGTTATTCTCTCATCTCCCCTCTTTATAATTATGTTTTACTATTTTACTGGTTTGCACTGTTGATCGGTATCTCTATTACCTCCTTCATATTTTGTTATTCCCTGCTGCACCTGGCATGGCTAACCAGCCCTCTGTGGCATCTCTTGTATATTTGTTTGATCCTCATTCCCTGCTGCACCTGGCATGACCAACCAGCCCTCTGTGGCATCTCTCGTATATTTGTTTGATCCTCCTCCATCTTTCTTATTCCTTGCTGCACTAGGCATGGCCAGCCAGCCCTCTGTGGCATCTCTCATATATTCATTTGATCCCTGCTGCGCCTGAACTTTCAATCATATTCTGTTCCTTCATACACTTCCTGATACAAATACTGATTCTTGTTTACTCTCCACTAGAATGTATTCTGGTGCATTGCCTACTCTGACCCTCATGAAGCCATCAGCTTTGACCGCCTACATTCCCTTCATATTGGCATGTGGAAACACCTACTCAAGGAGTTGAAGAAGATCCTCAAGTCACTCGGACATTCTGCGGAGGCAAAGCTTGAGAATCAGTGAGTCACTCATGTCATTGATTCATGTCACTTAGTTCCTAATTGTATACTGGTAGGGTTGCTGAATTCCCTCGATGGTGCAATTTCAACCATTTCAGTACTGTCATCCACATCATGTTCAGTGATGGCAACAAGATGCAAGACCTGTCTAAAGTGGATAACTTCGCATTTTTCAATACCTATACTAATAACTAATCCACAGCAAACCCTTTATTCGGCATTGAATGTATTGACCCACAGAGCTAGCCCAGAAGGATATCAACTCCTCCATGTTATCAGTAGCTATCTGCAATTGGATAGCTACATTGGTCTTGATGTGCAAACGACAAACATGCTAGTGGTGCTCAATGCCAAACTACTTGTTTTCAACACCACACTTAAGGTAAGCCAGGTCTTTTTCAGTTGCACCAATAATTAACTACAGCATCAATTGCTCATTCCAGGACTATGTCAAATGTGCATCGACGTCCCCTATCAAAGATCTCAAACTCGATTGGGACTTTCCAAAGACTCACCTTTGGAAGCATGTGACCCGAGACATCCGAATGAAGGGTGTAACGTGCAACTACAGTACTCATCCAAACGAGAAGCTTCATGGCCCTCTGAAAGAGGCCTATGAGTGCCAATCGAATGGAAAGTTAAGGATATTCAATCATTCCTCAGATTTGCCAATTTCTATCATCAATTCATTTTAACTACTCGGACATTGTAGTTCCGCTTACATGGCTCACTCACAAGGATGCTCCCTGGAATTTCTCCAAGGATTGCCGGAAATCTTTTAAAACTCTCAAGAAAGCCTTCACTACTGCTCTGGTGCTTACGCACTGGATGCCAGATGTTCCTATTGTTGTTGAGACAGATGCTTCTGATTATGCTATTGCTGGAATACTTTCTATTGTATGTCCGGACCAGGAGCTCCGCCTGGTTGCCTTCTACTCCCAAACCCTCTCGGCTCCCGGAACTTAATTATGACACTCATGATAAGAAACTTTTAGCCATCTATGAAGCTTTCTGGTCCTGGCAACACTACCTTGAAGACTCTGCCGAGCCAATAGACGTTGTCACAGACCACAAAAACCTTGAGTACTTCACTACTACAAAACTCCTCACCCACCGACAGGCCCGCTGGTCGGAATACCTTCATCAGTTCAACCTCATTATCTGTTTCCGACCTGGAAAACTCGGAGCAAAGCCTGACTCCTTAACTAGATGTTGGGACATCTACCCCAAAGAGGGGGATAAGAACTATGCTCAAGTTAATCCACACAACCTCCGGCCGATATTTACCACAGAACAGCTTGCTTCGTCCCTCCGGGCATCACATCTAGCAATTCCAGTGCTCTGGGCAGCTGTACTAATGGATGTTGAGCAACTTCATAAGGACATTCTGTCCGCCCTCCCCAATGACCCTACCACTTCCAGTCATCTTCCGGATCCGTCGGACCTGAGATGGACAATGAACGACAGTGGTTTTCTCCGTTGTGACAACCGTATATACATTCCAGAATCCAATGACCTCCGCCTCCAAGTGCTCCGGAATATGCATGACCACCCCCTATCCAGACATTTCGGTCAGAACCAGACCCTGGAAATAATCCATCGGGAATATACTTGGCCCGGAATCCACGCATATGTCAAAGACTATGTCAAGTCCTGTATGACCTGCGCCCGAGCCAAAGTTTTGAGACACAAACCATATGGATTGTTGAAACAACTCCCCATCCCTGAGAAACTGTGGAATTCTATATCCATGGACTTCATTGAGCAACTTCCCGATTCTTCCGGCTTCACCGCCATTCTGGTAGTCATAGATCGGCTATCCAAGCAAGCAATATTCATCCCAACATATGACACTATCACCTCTCTGGACCTCGCCTGGTTATTCCTTCTTCACGTGTTTTCAAAGCACAGAGTTCCATCACATGTCACTTCCGATTGCAGTATGGAATTTATCTCCCATTGCTTCTGTTCGCTTGGAAAAGCACTTGACATGATCCTCCACTTCACTTCCGGATATCATCTGGAAGGTGACAGACAAACCGAGCGAGCTAACCAAACCCTAGAACAATACCTCCGGATCTGCTGCAACTATCAGCAGGATAATTGGTCGGAACTGTTACCCTTGGCTGAATTCGCATATAACAACGCTCCTAGTGCTACTACCGGAGTTTCACTGTTCTTCGCCAATAAGGGTTATCACCCGAACATTTCCATACATCTGGAGTGTGATCTCTCCTCTGCCTGTGCCCGGGATTATGCTATAGACCTAGATGAGCTTCATCAATTCCTCTGAGAAGAAATGTCTCATGCCCAAGCATGATATCAGGGACCTGCGGATGCTAGACGTAAACCCACTCTGGACTTCAAAGTCGGAGATCAGGTCTTCGTCAAAGCAAAATATTTCCGCTCAACCCGACCATTGAAAAAGCTCTCGGAAAAGAATCTCGGTCCATTCGACATCATCGCTCGTCCCAGCACCCACTCCTTCACCATCCATCTTCCGGATGCTATGTGATCCATACACCCTGTATTCCATGTCTCTCAACTAGAACCCGCAACTTCGAACACCATTCCCAATCATATCCAGCTTCCTCCACCGGTCTTAGTCGACAGAGAACTGGAATACGGATTTCCGAAATCCTGGACTCAAAGATCGACCGCTGGAGACGTCACTGCCAACTACTATACATAGTACATTGGGCCGGATATGAGGGAATGGACGAAGAAACTTCCTGGATACTTGCCACTGAACTCAGAAATGCACCAGAACTTCTATTGGATTTCCACTCAGCATATCTGAACAAGCTGGGATCAACTTCTAACAATGAGTAAGAGATAACATGCATATATGTACATTAAGGGTGTCCGGACTTCCGGACTCCAGATCCCATGACTTAGGGGTCCATTTCCACATCTGGGGATTGGAAACTATTTCCATGTCATCGTCAATGTCCTCCAGACTCCACTGACGTCTTTTACCCTTGCCTTTGGGGGATGGAGATCCTTCCGGATGCGCACGTTTCTTGCCTTTACCTTTGCCGGCTGGTGCTTTGACAGGCAGATTTCTGCCAACGCACTTTTCCTTGGACGCACGGCATTGATCACAAGTCCAGATCTTCCGGAGAAATCAATAAACATCCGGATCTGGACAAACCAGAAACTCACCCTAGGCATCTTAGATGCTACTGCCCAGGGAGCCCCTTCAGTGACTTGACCCCATAATGTAGGCCAGCCCACCCTGACATTTCTCCATAAGTGTAGGGCCAACCCACTGTGAGCCCACATTGAATTCTCACCCAGTGTGTATAGGTGGGCCAGGAGGAGTCATGTACCCCACAGGTATGGCAGGGCCCATTATAAATAACACTCTATACCATGGAGTGGGCCATACATTAGAAGTGAGTGACCCCTTGCCCTTAATGGGACAGCCCATTTTTGCTTGGTACAGGCCATCGGATCCGAAGCATGACATCAGGCATCAGTTGCTGCACAAGGCATGAGGAATTAGTTCTGGAGCATGACATCAGGAATCAATTCCGGCGCATGGCATCGGAAATCAGTTCCGGACCATAGCATCAGGAATCAATTCCAGCGCAGAGCATCGGAAATCAGTTCCAGAGCAGCATATTGGGAGTTGGTTCCCGAGCATGGGATCGGGAATCAATTCCACCACAGGATATCGGAAATTGGTTCCCAAGCATAGGATCAGGAATCAATTCCACCGCAGGATATCGGAAATTGGTTCCCGAGCATGGGATTGGGAATCAATGCCGATGAAGCGCATCAGGAATTGGTTCTGGAGCAGCATAGTGGGAATCAGTTGCCAAGAATGGCATTGGCGGTCAGTTCCTCAACAGCGTATTGGCAAATGCAATTGCCATTGGCGAGGACATTCAGTATTACTGCCGGGCTTTCAATTCAGCAATGATCGCCGAGGATTCATAGCTAAATGGTCATGCGAGGCCATATGCAGGAAAGGAGTGTTGGTAAATGTGTCTCAAATTTAAGGCATCAAATCAGATCAAGATAGGCAAATCATGGTGATGAATCTCACCAGAATCCAGGGGACCGGTTGGCAAATGAATAGCCTGAACGTGGCCCATCGGCAAATGCACATCCAGAACGAAGGTATGCCAACGAGTGATTGCAATATTAGCATGCAAGAATCAGGAAAATTTGGCAAAAGGACACATGAATGCAGGAGAATGGGGACAGGAGTAACGTGTCGGCATAAATGCCTGTCGGCGATTGATGAGTAATTTGCCATCGGCGTCAGTGATTGAATATAAGGATTGTTGCTGATCAGCAGTGACTACCATTGAATCGAAATCCATATCGGCGATTGGTCAATGACTGGGCCCACACATTGGTACATCGGCCGCAGGTAGAGCTCATAACCTATCATTGTCCATTGCTGGAGGCGTGTGGGCCCGCGGTAAAGAGCAGCATTTGATTGCATATGGTGGGCCCACTATCAATTATTCTCACCGGCAGCTGGGCCCACGGGTTTGTCAATCGGCTGCACGGTGGAGCTCATCACCTGTAAGTGTCTACTGTCAGAGGCGGGTGGGCTCGGCCCACTGTTCACTATCAATGCAGGCCCACTATGTGTCATGTGCTAGCCAGGCGGGCTCAGCGTTCCCATGTCGGGTGGGCCTACTGACTGTGTGAACCAACGTGGTGAGGTAATGACTGGTGGGCCCATACAACAGTCAATACGGTTGGGCCCAGGCCAGCCAATTGGCCATTGGAAGTTGACACCTGTCGGCTATGACGTTGAGAGGACGCCAAATACTGAACAAACAACTGTTGAACATGCCGACGGTTAGGGGAATGCATTTGATGTTGTCGCCGGGTGATTAGAAAGCAGTCCATGCAACAGACACACGCTGGCATTACACATGCCACACCAGATTTATCTCAACGCCGATTTGCAGTAAAGCGGCGATCTTGCATGTGATCGGCGATAGAACATATGACCAGCAATATATCTGAATGAACGGACATTCCATTGGGTCCAATCCAGCCAACAAATATATATTACAATGGTATCTGAGGACCGGCAAAGCAATCTAATCCAGCCGAAACATCTATATTACAAGGGTATCTAAGAACCAGCAAAGTAAGAACATAAAACAAGTGCTAAAGACAATATATATGGTAGCTACAAAATGTCGGCTGATTTGTCCAACTCACTCCCTTCACCCTCTGTATTTGGATGATTCTCCTCAGTGAGCCGACTCTCTTCAGCACTGGTATCATTCTCTATGTGAGTCGGCTGTTCCAACACAAACTGCTGGTCCCTCATCCGGATAGGTAGACAAACCTCTGGCCCCGGATGCATAATAAGAGGCACAAGGTGTCGGCAAAGTTCGGCAAGTTCTTCGGCAAGACAGGCGGAGAGGGCCTCTTGCTCACCTAATCGATTGTTGGCCACTGCAAGCAAGGTCTCACCTGCAGCCACCCAATCTTCTAATCCGGTGACAATCATACGAAGTCCCAGGATTTCCTGCCTGAGGGTGTCGATCACACCTGTCTCCGATGATTCCATGGCGAGAATGGAGTTACCGGTGGCGGCAACCACAGGTGCCTCAGGAGCAGCGGTCGAAGCTACCGGTGGGATTTCTGTGTCTGGGGTCAATAGGTTAGTTCGGAATCATATGAAGAGGAATTTACATACCTGTGTCGGTAGGAGCCAATGATGGCGACGGATGGTGAGATTTTGATTTGTTACGGCGGGCGGGAGTCGCGGTTGACTTCTTCGGTTTGCCAGCGGCGGAGCCATTGCTGCCGCACTTTTGTTTCGACCTGTGACAGTGGGCACAGACAGTAAGCTCCCCGCCAGAGCCATTATACCCTTGCTGGCAGATCACACCTCGCTGCACACAGTTGCCGCAGCCGGGGTTCTACAGCGGAGAGGATAGGTCGGCATGGTCATCCTCGGTGAAGGTTCAATGATACAGCGAGGCACGAACAATGCTCCTGACTGTATCTATAAATGTTGTAAGGTCGCGTGTTGCCTAGTCTGCTATACTTGAGACGACAAGTGTGTTCGACCCTAAAGGGGAAGCGAGTGCAGCAAGGATCTAGTAGTAGGTGCCGAAGGCGCTACTGGTTGGCGAATGCGAAGCGCGGGAAAGCGCAGGTGCGCACGAGGCGCAGGAATGCGCGAAGCGCGGGAATGCGGGCGCGTGTATGCGGAAACAAGAGAGGGTATGAGTGAGTTTGCTTAAGTGATGATAAGACACTAGACAAGAGGTGAGAGATGCAAGCTGAGAGATGTTATATGTGAGGTGCCAAGTAATAGATTTCAACTATGCTCTGCTGGGTAGTAAATGGGTATCATCGTGGTTCAGTCCTCTGTCGTTCTGGTGGGAGAGTAAGTGAGTAATAGTATGTACTGCTGGCGCTTAAGTATGGCGCCTAAGCGCTGTCATGTGGAGCCGAAGCGCTACCGAGTAAGGTATGTAAGGATATATGTAAGTAAGGGTCCATGATAAAAATAAAGATGGAACGATATGCAAATGTGAGAAATGGAAATATACGCACTAGGGAACTTGGTGGACAGTGGATGGATGCTTCCGGATGGCTGGCGCTATAGGGCGCTCAAGCGCGGGAAAGTGCGCGCGCATATACATCGTGAAGCGCGGGAAAGGTACGCGCGCAAGTTGCGTGATGTGTGGGAAAGCTGCGCCTCATGTAGGAATGGCTGTAGGAAGCATACAGAGTGATGCTACAAGTTCGTGCTGTATACTCCTTGGTGAAAACTGCAATATTGCACAAGGAGAGGCATGAGTCTCTACATCGGTTGAAGGACCTGCCGCCACAGCCGCCTGCGGTGCTGCTGTGGTAATGGTTGTTGCAGCCTACATGATCCAGAATGAGTCATATCATTATAAAAAATGAAACAACTTACCGGTACTAGAACATAAGGAGTACCACCCTTTGTTGCGGGCCCCACCTTCGGCGTTTCATCTCTCTCATCCTCACTAGAGATCAACAACCAGGCAGCTGAACGGCTGTGGCGCTGAGGGGTTTTGAGAGCAGGTGGCAACTTTGTGAGAGTGCCCGCCTATTCAAGGATTGATTAGTATTTATTCCACTGTGAAGCAAGAGACTTACCTTGATCACCATTTTGAATCTTATGGATGGTTTTGGTCGCAGCGGCACCACGACCTCTGATACTTGGGGGGGCATCGGCGCCATATCCACCGACGGCTGTGGTGAATCCGGCGCGGCATCCAACTCCCGGTCGTCTTCACTGGTAATAATGGCCTTGGATGCGCGCTGGCGCTTCGATGGTGGTCCATGGCTTGTACTGGCACGAGTTGCCAAATGTTTACCACATTCAGTGGCGTGTCCTCACTCTTCACCGTCCTCCGATATGGCCTTTTCCTTGCCTTTCCCCTTGCTGGGTTGAGACAGACCGGCTACTGGCGGCGAGGGTTGCCTGGGCTGTTCCTGGTACCCAACTGTCCGGGGGTATAGGGGACTCCTCTTGCAGCGTGGATCTCCGGTGTGGATGTTAGTCCACACGGGCGTACTTACCACCGTGCAGGAGTTCGCATTGATGTGCTCACTCAACTCAGCGGCAGCCAAGAGCACTATCGGTGAAAGAGTCTGCACCTGCAGTGCATGGACAGAAAAGATGTTTGTCTAGGCAATGTTAGTTAATGTAGCTACATAGAAAGACGACTTACTAAAATGCTGGCCATTTCCAGCGACAAGTTTACATTTGCTGGATCTGCACGGTCCAACTGAATTGCCTGACCCAATAGGTGCTCAATTTGAGCGGCCACATGCATGAAGGCAGCGTTCGCTGTAGCGGCAGTGTCAGAGATTGTAGACATGATGGATCGTAGTAGTGTTGAGAGCGGCGAAGACATGAAATGAACATAAGTACAATACTGACGTGGCTGCTTATGTCATATGTGGGGGATGCTGAACAATACCCTGACCATGGATCCACAACATCAATACCTCCAATGCACCACGTCCCACACTTCAAACAATGTGACCACAAAATATTAGTCCACAACATGTGGTGCAATTGAGATTCATGTGAACCCACATAATGGACAGGACCGGTCATCTAACTCATCCATACTGATCATGGCAACTGTCTATCCGGAGATCCGAACATTAATATTGAGTCGCCGATCTATGCTGTGGCGAAGATCTCCGGCATTTGTAGCATACCTTGAAACATTGTGATGGGCTGCCACAAATCATTTCAAACTCCGATGTACAGTATATATAAATTCCGATGCAAATCATATCATCTTTCATAGTACATTCACTATGTCCACTCCACCTTTCACCGCTGAAACTGTCACTGCCATCGCCGACACCGGGCTCACCTTGACTCTTGCCGACATGGCAAACATATTCGACTTCGTGGCATCCCGATTGCTAGCAATTCGCACCACACTTGAGACCAGTACTCATGTGAAATCATCGAAAGCTCGCCACAATGTGAGTAGGTACCTCATGTGGGAGGGTGATGTAAGTGTTTATTCATTCTCATTTTGCCGAGCCACACTGATCACCGACAAAGGTCTTCATACTGCCTTGGGTAGCCTTGTGCGAGGGTATGAGCATCAGCCCTCCCTTGTCAAGAAATCTCCGGTTTGTGGTAGGTATCCTCGGCATGAGCCAGGCGGAGCTTCTAAATGACCAGGAACTTTATGCCTCTTTCATGAAACTGCCGGTGCAGCCATCTGGACCATGGGTCAAAGGTCGTTTGGCAAGGACATACGAATTGGCTTGGTGGCACACCGACTTCGATGTCCTTCCTTTTCAAGATTTCATTACCACTTTCCCCCCTCCCAATCAGCTCATAAGAATGATTGCCGATCACTTCACCCAATTGGCAAGTACTTTCTGTCTTACTTTCACGCCCCGGTCTAATTTTGTAGCAGCCTGAAGGTTCAATGCTGGTGACACTGGCGACGTTAGTGCAGCCCCGGTCAACACTGGTAGCTCAGCAAATCGCTGTGATCCAAGCCGAACTTTCCAATGAGGGAGAGGCTATCATTAGGATGATAGAAGACAAGGTTGTAGAGGTTCGGCTTCTTGCCGCCTCAATGTTACGGATGGAGGCCGCACTCAGCGAAGATATTCTTGAAGCGATCGCCGCGACCAAACATTTGGTGAAGTATTTAAAGAGGGAGGCTAAGTAGTACTTCAAACATGTATAGCTTGATAATTGGAATCCTGTAGCCCATACTGTCTATGTACATTTAGATGAACCTTTTGACATCATTGAAAGCCAGCAAAGCATCTTCATATAGTCAATCATACATTTTTTGCTGCCACGCCGCTGTAGAGACTCGCGCCTCTCAATGCGGAATATACGGCCCTATTACCCACATAATTCCCTACACGTTCCAGCTCTTATCCGAAGGATCAGTCATACGCGCTCTCAAGCGCGCGCCCTACGTACGCGCCTCGTTCGCGTGCCTTACACGCACTCGCGCCTTTCGCGCGCGCTCGTGCGCCTCCCCTTAGGCCTTCGTACCCTTGTCCGTCCGTCCGTCCTATGTCCTCGCTGATTTACTGGTGCGTTATTCTTATCCCTTTCACTGAATTGACGTACCTTCGGTCCGATCTCCGCGCTTACATATAGAAAGTCTATCATAGGCTTTAGAATATATTTAGAGTTGATATGGTTACTCGGTTCGGTACCACGCTCGCAAGCGCGCCGCATAGCGTAATCTCCCTTCTTAAATAGAGGGAAAGTTCCTTTTAACTTACTTCCTTCCCTTCTCCCTTATCTGAGTATACTGCAAATTGTATAAGTGCACCTTAGTACTTGAAATCCGATTATACTTCACTATTCTACCATCGCTCGCGCACCTGTTATACTTGAACACTCTCCCCCATCGCTCAAAAGCACGCTTCCGTATACGCGCGCGCCCCTCGCATCTTTCGCTCGCGCGCCTTCGCATTTGCTTACTCGCGCCTACGCGCGCGTTATCTTCTCGCGCCTTCGCGCGCCTGTTACCACCCGTCTAGTTGGCGAAGACTCCCTCCATTACATTAAAGAGGAACTTCTCTCAGTAGCTGTCCTTTGGGTCGAGTCGTATTCTCGTATCCTGGTCTTACTGTAGAACCCCCGTTAGCTTTAGCGTTTCACCTATAGTCAAGATTCCTCACCTTCACCGCATAAGCCACATGTCCCATCTTGCCGACGCCCTCGGCAATTGTAGCATGGCGAGTCCATTCCTGGGATTTGTGACAAAAGAAGTTGCAGGTCCATTGCATTTTATGTTGGACCAGCAACAGTTCTTCTGCCCAATGATCTCTAAGAGCCTTGGACTGGAGCCAATGCACTCGGTAAACTACCACAAGGAACACATAAGTGCCTGGTCACCAGTGACTCAATGGACTCACATTTGCTCAGCCAATCGCTACTCTCCGAGTCCCCCTCCACATCCATGGACCAAAACCAAGCCAAGGTACTATTTCTTTGTCCTCTTGCATTAGGATCGGCGACCGCTGTGCTAACCTTTAAATGCTCTTTTTCCAAAGGCCGGTATCTAGTAAGAATGTTGTCGGCGCCAAGTTTGGCAAGCTGAGATCGGCACTTTGAATAAATAGTGGCATTGATGCTAATGGCACGGTCCACAGAATGCACTTGAGTCCAGGCCCTGGTGGACATTGCTTGTGACTTTGCAGTCCTGACCGTTGTGCGGGAAAGCACGGCCTTGTCTGCCAAGTGCACCCTGATGTTATGTAAAGCATCATTGGCCTGTCCTTCTCACAGCATCACCTCTTGATGGATTAAATCGGCGACACCCCACTCGGCGCATTTGTCAGGACCAAGATTGGAAGGCAATGGTATCACCACCTTTTCAGGCTGAAAGAGACAAAGTTCATTGGACATGCCACCATCGGTGTCTTCCTGCAAAAGCAGGATTTCAACCTCCATATCCTGGTGATTGACATTGTCCAATCCTTCCCCAAGGATATTCAATGCCATCGCCGCCCACCGGTCAATGTCCCCTTGTATCCTGTCGCGGCGGCGGCCGATCTCCAGTCTCTGAGTCTCCGTTGGATGTTGTCCCAATTTTCTTACATCTATTTGCAATGTTACTTGTGCTTCCTCAATGGTGATTCCTTCTGCCAGCCATGTTGCCATGCCCCGACGTTGCGCCGCGGCCGGCTGCCGACTATGTATACGTAATAGTTCAATCTCCTGTTGTTTCCTTGATGGTGCTGTCGGCGTGTGAGTGCCAGAATAACAGTATCAAGGCCTCATACCTTTTCGAAGTTGGACATCATAAATATCCATCGCCATTGGATCGAGGACACGCCGCTCTTGGGCAAGCCTCTCTTGTTCTTCCCACTGTCTGACTGTATTCCCATCAGCACTTTGATGTAGCTTCTCAAAGGAGGTCATGCTCTCGGCGACACCTTTCACTGCCTGCTTGTATTTTCGGCAGAGGAACTTGGCTTGAGTTTGGGTCTTTGTGAGGAACTTTCTATTCATCAATTGGAGCACTTACTCATCCTGATCATTTTCATACAGTTGCAATCGTTCATTTGGTAATCCAAGCACTCCTTCTGATGTGGTGTCCCCATTCCCCGTGCCACCGGTGAGATAATATTCAACGGCGACCATAGGGTTTCCATGATCTCGCCGTCAATCCTGCCGGCGCCCAGAATGAAATTTGAAGTGTATCAAACGAAACAGCTATCTTGATGACCATGGACATGCCACAAGCCTATTCCTGGGATGATATCTATGTCTTGCTGAATGTCCAGGTAAAAACTTTCAGCTATGCGGTCCTTCAAATTTTTGTGATACTGGCAGTTTACATCGTAGAAAGTTAATGACCGTTGAATCCCATCGGCGTTATATTTTAAAGCTTGGCACAGTGCGTAGTCCATGTTCATCTGTCTGTTAGCTGTTGGCAAAGTCCCACATCACTTGCAATATGATAAACCACACCTTTCACCCTTTTGAAAATCCACCATCGCATGAGGAACGAAACAGCCATGTCTTGCACAAGCACAGCCGCCGATCCCCGTGGCTTCTAATCTGTGCCGGGATGCATTGGCTTGGTTAACTGCCCTGTGGTTGTTACACTCCGAACGCTGAATGGTATCATTTGCCTTGGCAAGGTGTGCCTTATACATCTTGTCGCCAACAATAAAGCTGCGGCCATCCATCAGTGAGACTTCATCTTCAGGATTTGAAGCATGGAGGTGCTCCGCTTTGAAGTTCCCATCCATTACCAGTGACCTTGAATACAGCCAACTTGGTGTTTCCAAATCCGATCTTTTCTCTTCATGATCGGCACCATCACCCATCAGCAACTTGACATTGATTCCAGGCTGCGGACATGCCGGACAGAACAGTGCAAGATCGCCCAGTTTGATGGCTTTGGACTCATGGGCGAAGCCATTCCATTTCAGGAGCTTGAGCTTGCGCCATTGTCTGGCAACCCTCATAAGCTCCCGATACCGGTCCTGGAGAGATATCAACTTAGGCGCCGCTGAGCAAGGATGAACTCACCGGTACCAAATGAGGAAACACACTTGTTGTCATCCTCCGTAACTTGCTATAATAATTCATCGCCGAGGTGCCACACTCCAAGTTATCCAGCAGGAAGTTGTTCAAAACATCAAAGGTGAAGGCTGTCTTTGGTTTTGTGAAGGAGGCCGGAAACAAGCCCATTTGAAACAACTGTATGTCGGCAGAGGGTGCATCGGTGCATGTGCAATACTTTACCATGTGAGTATGTACACCTGACACATCCACTATAGTTGTCATTCTTTTGCTATTTTTTATGAATGGCACGCCGGTCAGTAGATCATTGGTGTCTTTCATAGACCTCAACCCAGGAGAAGTCCCATCGCTGATGTCACTATCGGCCCCGGAATCTGCAAACAATTCATCGGCAACCTTATCATCCCAGGGGCAGGCATCTCCATCATGCCCTAGCCAGATCACCAGGCCGGTTTTAACCAGGCAAGAATCCTCAAAGCAGGTTCCTGTCCACTGACTGATCCTATGGAAGGGAACCCTCTGGTGCTGGCTCCTGCAACAATTTGTGCAAAAGAGGGGCTCACCAAAACAGTTATGGCATTTGTAGACCCCATCAGTACCACATGTGATGCATATCCTGTTGATGGGAACCTCTCTGTGCAGGAGTATGTTCAGATACTGGTCTGTCTTTGGGACCCATTGCCTAAGGTAGTCATTCTGGCTCTGGAAATGAAGTGAATCCGGAACCCTTGAAATGAGTATTGAAGTCATACTAGGGATTTGGGCAACTGCAGGGGCACCATATGTTCCTGGTGCAGATCACCAATAAAATCTTCTTGTCCATGATACAACATATCTTGGTATGGCCTCTTTGATGGTGACTTTATTGGGGACTTTGTTGGGGTGGCTGGAACTGACCGGATTGTTCTGATGTTAGGTTTCTCAACCCATTTTCCAGTTACTTTCCTTGTCCTATATGTTCTCTTCCATTCCACTACCGAGATTTTGCTAGCAGGTGTCCACTCCAATACTTTTGAGCCTCTCATGAAGGTGATGAATGATGTAGTCAATGGTATGTGATGGTTGAAGCAACCAGAAGTTTGCCAATATCCCTCACTAATACTAGACCGAAACTGGTTCATGTGAAATAAATACTCGGTATCAGTAAATTCAGCCTTTGTTCATGAAACATGGGCCATCCGGGTTGCAGTTGGTGTGTAAGAGACTGCTGCTATTAGAGATGTGTCATGCTGATACAACAATTAGTTATATAGGTATTATACATAGTCAATGTTATTGATGATTAAAGCAACCTGAACTTGATATCCCTCACTAATACTAGACCAGAGCCAATGCATGTTTAATATATGTTCGGTATCAGTATATTCATCCTTAGTACATGACACATATGTAGGCCCTTGTACCTGCCATTGGTGTTTAAAAGACTACTGTCATTTGGGATATGTGATACTAATTCAAAGATTAGCTATATAGGTACAATTTGAGTATAATGCATAGTCATTTGAGCATGAGGTGGCCAAGTAATGGCAAACTTATGCTCTATGTTGATTCGCTTATAAATACATAACATGAACCATGAGCCAAACCAAGGAAGCCAAATGGGGGTCATCGTAGCAGACAATTTTCAGACCTTGCAGCACTCACATCCTCATCCACATCACACCATGGCCTGTAGCGAGTCTCCCATTGTTGTTCCCCAGCAGACCAGGCTTCCTTTGACTAAGGGGGAAGTCACCATCATCAGGGCCCATCTTCAGGACTGGAAGTCAGTGAAAGGAAAAGAAAGGACCCTTGTCCTGAAAGCTATACATAAGGAAGCCGGCCTTCAGGCTCCAACCCGGGACAAAGTTATCTTGAAGTCGAGGAAAAAGGTATGAACCAGTTCATATGAATGGTGAGAATATTCATATTATAGCAACAGACCTACAAGGAATGGTTGTACAACCAATGTCGGCGGAAAGCAGTGCCGAAACCCCTCATTAGATATGGCAGGAGATGGACAGCCCACAGGGTGTTGGTGGAACAGCACAAGGACCAGATCCGAGCTGAGACCGGAGCGATCCCAGGAAGTGAGGATATGATTGTTAGGTGGCCTGAGGCGACAAAGACAGTCATTGACAGTCTGTCTGTGAAAGAGAAGGAGGCGGCACATATACTCGCCAAGCAGTGGAACAATGAAGCAGCTCCACTAAAGGTTCAAGCCAATGTTGCCGAGAGTAAAGGTGCCGACATGATAGAGCATTTCACCACCGAGATGCTCAAGCAAGCCGGAATGAGAGTCTTTGTTCTGTCAGCATGGCGGGAGAGCAGAGGGAAGTTAATGTTGGGGACGTTCATAAGATTTGAACTCATTCCGAGAAACTACACCAATGATTCTTCTAGACATGACTTCAATCACCAATTTGCCAGTGCCGAAAGCTTTTCAAGCACAACAGATGTAGATAGAATCTTCATGCCGGAATGGAAACAATATGTGGCAGACCAGTTCGGTGAGAGTTCGGCTTATGCATCTATATAAAATGGTAATAACATTATAGAATGTCCAGATGTCCAGGATGAGGACATCCCTCAGGTCGTCGCATCAAAAAAAAGACTTCCAAGAAAGCACATTGAACTTGACAAAGATGCCGATGGATGGCCGATGCTTCCTGACATTGCCGGCTGGAAGCATGCTGAGCAACAGCATGCCGTCTGATCTTTCCTCACCACACATTACAGTCAGTCATCACAGATTTGAGAATTTCCAAAACCTGAATGATGAGTTGAACAGGGATGTGCATTGGAGCAGAGTCGGTCAAGGCAACAGTGCCATGGGGTGATGTTGTCAAGAACCAATCAGACGTCTTTGATAAAACTTATTGGCCCTCCGGAGTGCAACTAATGGAACCTTCCAAGATGGGCAAAGCCGATGTCATGACTTTGCTGGATTTCTGGTATGACAGACAACACAAACACTTACGGCCAACATTCTGTTTTAAGGCCTGGAAAGACAATGATGGTGACATGGAAACTCCGTCAAAGTCTTTCCTGAAAGCATTCAGGCAAGCAACTCAGAAAGGCAAGGGCAGTCAGAAGGTAAAGAACAGAAAAGCTGCAGTATATAGTGATGAGGATGAACAGAGTACTGATGAAGAGGTACAAGAGGAAGAAGGGCAAGTATCTACCCTCAGTGATGGGGCAACATCAACTTCCGCTGACTCAATCAGACACCAGTCGCCGCTGCCGAGCCAACACAAGAGAGTAAGGAAGGCGCAATCGGCACCCGAGTCCTCAAGTTTAACAGTATCGGTGAATACTTTGCCCCATGTCACTGGCTTTTTGGACTGATAGGACATGATCAAACAGGCACCACGTAAAATGGCCAATGGAAAGGCATCTATTCCTGCGAAGTCATTGAACGCACCACCGGCCACACACAACAAAGGCAAGGTGCAGGTCACCGAAAAATTGATAAATGACCGACCGGTGAGGTTACAAAAATGCCGTGCCGCCGATCCTGAATGTCAGCAATGTGGTGAAGGTCCTAAAGCTCTTTAAAAGCCTTTGTCAGCCGATCCCGGGTGTCACAAAACACTGACATCATAGCCCGATTGCTACCAAGCACTTCATCCGGCTGTGGCTTCCGGAGATCTTCATCTGCAGCAAGAACCCCACCGAGCATAGTTTGTGCTACCTTGTCCACTGCAAAAAATCAGTCAAATTGTAAATAAGGAGATGCGGCGCACGAACCATCCGTTCCCCGCAAACATTCAAGAATCTGGATCGCCGCCTGCTGGGAATCACCGATTAATGATGCCAATGTAGGCGGTGAAGACCGATTGGGCACGTCTGGTGTAGTATCTTCAGATTGTGGCATAATACCAGCAAGGTTTGGAAGTGTGATAGGCTTGTAGCTTGTGGCATGCAAACCTGAATCTTTGGATTCATCGGGAATGCCCAGTGTCGAATGAGTGGGCGCAGATGTCGGGATGGGTGCCGCCGCAGGGATTGGTGACGAAGAAGTGGGCGCTGATGTCGGGATGGGTGCCACAGCAGGCATTGGGGAAGCATGTGTTGTCGGGATTCCCATAATTGCAGGGATAGGTGGCACTGGGTGTGGAGGTCCCATCAATGAAAGTTGGATTTCCCTGGCTTGGATTGGAATGGGCTTCCATTGCCCCGCCGGTGCCGGAGAATCGGCAACAAACAGGAATTCTATTAGACATTAGTTTAATCTTCAGGGTCACGACAAAGACTTACTTTTATTTGTGGTGGTATATCCCACATGATGGGGTGTGGGTGTCTCTGGCTCATGTTGGCCAACTGAGATATCGAGATTCATCCCAAAATTGAATGGAGAAGGTGGTATGGCCGGTTGGGGGTCGGCGACAACAGGGAGATCAAAACCGAAGTTGAATGCAGGAAGGGGGGGTATTGTAGGTAGAGGCTGTGCGTCAACGGGGAGATCAAAGCCAAAGTTGAAAGGTTTCCCGGTAGATGAGGAATCTTCAGCCGCTGTGGCCTTTGGTGACTCTGTCGCCTGAATAGTCAAATCAGTGCCGAAATTGAATGGCCGCTCAGAAGTCAATGTTGGTGTGTATGCTGGTGGGATTGGGAGATCCATGCCAAAATTGAATTTTGATGGCCTGGATGGGATATCAAAACCAAAATTGAAGGGTTGGAGTGGCCTTGCTAGGCCCGGTGGGGGGCCAATCCCGAGATAAATCTCTGAGATAATATTAGAATATATTTGAAGCCAGGACAGGAACTTACCTTTTCGTTCAGCGGTGGCCATGCACATTGGTGATTGTGTTTCAGTATGATAGCTAAAATCTTCATCGGTATCCATCGGAAGATCGAAACGGACCTGACGTTCCATAGCTGTGACTTTGAGTATTTGTTAAATGTTGTGTTTGATGAAGATAAGCTGAACAACTAGATCTCATTCTTAAATAAATATCACGCAGTGGACGATCACGGAACTTGAAACAATGTGACCCTAAACAATGGGCACGTGCATTTGGAACGTGAACAATAGATGCTCTCATGGGAAATTTGCCATGTTTATTTGAAACGTGTTCCCATCAATTGAATACAGTATGCCGCATGGCATCGGCTTCAGTCGTGAGAAGCAACTGACTTCGAATTTCCATGCTTCTGGGTGGTATATATTGTCGGTGTCGAGTTCCATTTTTCTTTTCTTGTGTGGTCCTCACCATGTCATCTGCTGAGATTTTGAATAGGGCTCTTAAGCATGCTGCAGCTACAATAGAACTAATCCTTGGCAAAGCGGCGCTGCTCAAATGTAGCAACACCGAAGAGCTGAAGTTTGCTGCGGAGATTGGAGAAATTTTGGTGGATATTTCCAGATAAGTACCATGAATTATGCTGATTCCCGACAGTCAAACAGTTTTGAACATCATGGTATTTCCGCCTCTATGATACCGCCTGTCCTGCTATCAGCGGCGATGGAGCTGTTGGAACACCTGGATGCCACACGTAAATATTTTGTCCGGGTGCCGGCGTGGACAAATATCCAATCGGATGACCCCCACATCCAGAACCATCCATTAAAGAATAAGGCTTCTCTGCTGACCTATAAGTTATCGCCATCACCTGTCACATCATCATTCGGCGTCAGCGATGACAAAGCACCATCCCTAACTACAGCCAACAGCGCATCCCAGGTCAAACCAAAGCCAAAGCAGGTGCTGATAAAGAAGAAAGGGCAGGAGCCATCTCTGGATGATGCAATCCATATAGTTCCTGTGGCCGAAGTAATGGTAGAGGCACTGTCGGTGGATATGGCACTGTTGAAAGGAAAGGGGAAAGAGGGGCCGCCGACCAGTACAATCATTGTGAGGTGAAAGGGTAAGGAAGTAGCAAGTGCGGTCTGGGAGGAGGATCCGGAATCGGCATGTGGAACCACCAGCAGCCCACAGAAGAGGAGAAGGAATACTAGCCAAAGTTGCCTACCACCTAATGACCCTACACCTGCAGCCCGGCAACCTTGGTTTTCGAGTGGCCTCACATTGCCTGTAGGTACTTCCCAAATATTGTTTTGTCACACTGACGCTGCCACACAGGTACAGACCGCTAAGAGGGCCAAGGTTACTGAATCACCGAATGGTGTGATTGCTGATATATCTATGGAACATGTCAATACTGTATGTATGCCATGCATTCCGACCTACAAACTGCTTACCACTCGCAGTCAAATGATGGTGCGGCTTTGGACCCCCCTTGTGATCATTGCAAAAAATCGTAAGTGCTTCGGATGCCTATATACTGATATTGGTTGATGATCTCATGTTCACAGCTGTACCATTTGTTACCAGAGTTATGGTTTGACTGTGATCTTAGTGCAATTGATGACCTCCGCGCCGCGGTTGCGGCATTACAGGATGATGTCAAGGTATTGCTAGCAGAATCAGTGACACATGATCGGGAGCTCCAGAGTACTGAGCAGACCATAACATCCCAGGAACGATACCGCAACATCCTTAAGGATGGTTATGAAGGTCTCCGACAACGCGCACTCGCATCTAACAAGGCAATGCATAACCCATTTCCCAACACAGTATTCATTCCAAATCCTGCTTATGAGGGGCACCAAAGTCTCATTCCTGTCAGTATAAGCCAGGTGCAGGCCCTGGAAAGGTTGTACCTTGACCTGCCCAGCAGTGTCAATGCAGGTGGGGGTCCATCGACTGTTGCATCAACTGTTGGTAATATCCCCGGTCCATCCCGTGCCGCACATTCCTTCGGTGACTCGGCATCCACTTTGGGCTCAAAGTAGATAACATGTACATTACAGCATTGGCTCAGGTTTCTACTTTGATGTATTGTCAATGTCGCCGGCCACAATGTATGAAAGTTGCTGCAATCATTCAATGCTCTCACATTTGATGCCGATGGAATAGTTGTAATGATCTCTTGCTGTACATTCTGTTGTTCGGCGGCGGCGGCATTATTTCGGTAATCATGCAGAAACATGATAATTACATAATGATCTCAGGATATCAACACGAATGTACCACATGTATCATTACGTCCGTCCTGGTGTGATCGGCGAGCTTTCCACATGTAAGATGACACTCCTGCGTGTCATGTAATGGCTTAGCCGCTTCATATATATATCCTTCGATGGTGTTCGTATTATTCAGGTTTCCATGAATCCTGTTCCGTGTGACTGGGTGTTGTACACCACCCATATCGCCAGTGAATACGTCTATGCCCAATTCTGTGCAATCATCGCAGGAATGCCGAATGTCCTTCCACCACTGGAGCTTGATTTTCCGATGCTAGCGGCATGCTCCCACATTGCTAGCAAGCTTGCCGATGCCTATCACAATCCAGGTAGGATGATTTTGTTTGTTCCCTCCTCCATTCTCATTGTGATATGTTTCAGTTGCTATTAACTTTGATATGGCACGGTATGCAGACCTACTTCATGCCATGGAAAAGGGTACAAAAAATGAGCGCAAGGAATATCTCCTTCGCTGATATCCGCCAGATGCTCTCATATTTCTGGATCGGCCAGCGGTGGTCTGTGATAAGTATGGAATCATTGTACTCTGGTACCTCCCTGGTGCCATTGATCCCTTAATACAGGTTGGTTCCCTATACTATCCAAGGCATTATGCTGACAATTTCAGTCCGACATGATGTCCACTGCTGAAAAGATGTCATCTCAGCTGGCTAAAAGTGTCACCCAGGGACCAGAAACCAATGATAAATGGAGGACACATGAATCTAATTTCCATCCCAGTGAACACAGCATTATGCCGGGCTGTATTAATCTATCTCCTGCATGGTTTTTGCAAGCCCATCCGGTAAGTCGGTTCTCAGTCATTCACCCAATACCAATGTCCTGATCAAACCCCAGGCTCTGAAGTTCCATCCCGAGGTCTTGGCGACTCTCAAGGGAGATGGTAAGTCTTTATGTCAGGGAATACGGAGACCGGCGACGCTATTTGCAGTGGCATTGAGAGTCATGCACCCGACCCTTTACTGGTCATCATTGGGCACGGCGCTGGCCCTTGGCCTCTGGGCGGCTGACAATCAATTGGACGAAATGGGGGAGTGTCTCAGAGACTGGGCATCGGTATTCACCGCTCTTGCTGTAATATGCAACCGGCGTTCACCCTTACATCGGGATCCAATTTCCCGGTCCCAATGGTTCGACGGCATGACCAGTGTCGGCACTTACGGCATGGGGAGGATGAAGATGCCTAATATTGGCATTGAGATAGTATATGATAGCGGCGTGATGTTGGCTGTTTCTGGAAGAATAGTGAGGCATGGCATGGATGAGGTAAATGGTGACTGAACAGCTTGGGTTTGGTACATGAGGGATGACGTCCAGGAATTTGTCGGTATGCCCAGGGCTGATTATGCGAGGTATGATTCTATACTCGCCAACGCCATTCACCGCTGAGTTTTGAATCAGTATTGATAGAGGTGAAGGTGTGATGCATGATATGGATGTACCAATTATTTTACTATCCTTATGTTCCATAGACTGATGCTGATAGAGGTGAAGATGTGATGGATGATACAAATGAAACAATAGTTTTACTGTCCTGTTTTGTGACTGATGCTGATAGAGGTGAAGGTGTAATGGATGATACAGATGAAATAGCCAGTGGTCAATAGGAAGAGGTTTGCCGATGTGTTGCTGATTATCCTACCGACCATTTTATGTAAATGGTAGGTAGTTGCAATCCTTGAGGTGTAGGTGATTTCGGCTTTGTAATATCAAGTTGTGCACCTTGTACGATTGTATGTGTAATAAGCCGGAAATATAAACTACCCGAGATGTATGATGTCAGCTCACCTACCGGGAGATACCCTGTTAAATATGTATCCGGCAAATTATGTATCGGCGGATCCTGCTATATGTAAGGAGATATATGCATTGGTGGATAAATGTTTCCTTCCCAGCATACCTGTGGCTGGATTCAGGAATGGATGTGTTGTCTGAACCAGCAGTATATTTATTTTTTGGTGCTCTCCCATATATATTGCTGTACAAGGAGGCGCCTGCCGATTCAATTTTGCCAGCATCCGTGAGAAATGCCGAATATTGATCTCCTGATGCATGTGCTTGGGAGCCGCCCGCCGATCCAATTTCGACAACCAGTCACAATGCCAAATGTCGGTCCCCCTATTCATTTTGTAGAGAGCCACCTGCTGATCCAATTCCGCTAACCAGTGACAATGCCAAGTACGGTGTCCCGATTCATTTTGTAGGGAGCCGCCTGCTGATCAATTCCGCTAACTAGTGACAATGCCGAACATCGGTGTTGGTACATTTTCTTGGGAGCCGTCTGCTGGTGCAATTCCGCCAACCGGTGACAATGCCTGATATTGGTCTCCCGATTCATTTTCTCGGGAGCCGTCGCCTGCTGATTCAATTTCCTAGAGACTGGTCCCCAATGCCAAAGGACCATGGGCCCACTCAACACTAGTGAGGGATTGCTCTACTCTTCTATTATAGGGCCCACCTTGAATGCAATCTACTGTCAGTCCTGAAACCCATGGGCCCACTCCAAAGCATAGAGGTTCACCCATCAAGGGCCCCACCCAGCTCAAGGGATACAAACAGGCCATGGGCCCACCCTGAAGGAGGGGTGACACATTAATGTGGGCCCATGGTGGGTTGGCCCTAGAGCTATGGCAAATTGTCAAGGTGGGCTGTCCTGTACATTCGAAGATAGGTCACTGTATTATGTGGCCCAGGTGCAAGTCTTGCGCCTATTGATGCACATCTTGCACACAACCTCTGGATCCACCAGACTAACAAATTATAAACCTCCGGAAATCACAAAACTGCATGTAACTTACCTCCGATGCAGCATCTGCCATAGCCTTCACCATATGCTCACACTCGCATTCTGCCAACCTCTTGCATGTCTCCTCAATATCCTTCCACTTCTGTTCCTCCATATGTTTCTGTTCCTCTTCCGCCTCCTTGTGCTTACATTCCTCTTCCTCCACCTCTCTCCGAGTGTCCGCCTCAAGTCACACCATTTTGGCCACCATTTCCGCTTGTCTCTCTTGAAGGAGCTGCCAAGTGGACTTCTTGTCGCCAGAAGTGGAGTTAGACATGATAAAGCAGTAATGGGAATTAGAGGGAAAGTTTTAGACATCTCATGGGCGCCCTGGCCTTCTTATAGGTCCAGTTCTATTTTTACGAAGCTCCACCCATCATCTCGCATTCATCAAAGTCCAGACCGGACTTCCGAATCAGAAGCCTCATTGGCTCGGCCCTAAAGGGGGGATACTGTCATATCCTGTGTTCTGGACCCGGACCAATCACACAATCATCTCCAGACTTCCGGACTTCCAGGATCCGGTTAGCTTCTATCTTCTGTGCCTTTTCCCTTTAGTGTTTCCCTCATCAGTTAGTGTGCTTTATTTTCCTGTCCCTTGTTCATTTCCGTCTTCATTTTACTAAGTTCCAATAGACTAGTGTTAGGCGTTCCACATGCTCCGTCCATAGCCTCGCATAGCCTCGCACTGCACTGACTGATTCTCTGTTATGTCCTTCATAGTATATAAACCCTGTAAAGTCTCTGTATTTCCTCAGTTTGAATATTATCTTAGATTCTGCTCATTCCCTCCTCTGTCTGACTTGAGTCTCTTCTCGTTGTCTCCGACAGTCTTAGGATCGACTCCTATTGACTTACCACCTCTGCCTCTACCTTAGGTAGTACCTCTGCTGTTTCCTTTCTAGTTCAGGACTTCGTCCAGATTAGTCTTATCACTTGTTCCCGAATGTCCACCAGGAATTCCCATGCATTCGACTCTGGACTCCGGACATTGTCCTTTAGCCCTCAGAAGTTAGCGGCACATACTTGGGTAAGGGGTGCAGTGCACGAGCTGAAGCCAAAGCCCTTCAGGATACAACCCTTGAGCACATTCTTAACAGGATTCCATTCCACACTGTCCATCCATGTCCTTTCCATGTCCACCTATCTTCACTAGTGCATGTTCATTTTCTCTTTTAGTTTGACTAAACGATAGCAAGGCTTATTACATGTATCCGTATATTCTGTTCTGTGCATGGTCTTATTACATATTACTTATCTGCCTCATTTTCCATCAGCTACAGTTCTCACCTATGGGTTCCAGACACTTATGCAGTAGGATAAAACCTTGCATGTTACATACAGTATGACACTTCACTTCCCTCAGGATGCTACCTTTGTTTTGCAGAGTCACCTTAGACATTCTTAGTGCTTTGTTCAATTGACAAGCTTTGTTTACTCTCACTCGGAACCTGTGTGTTCTTGACTGCTCTGAGAATGCACATCTAAGTTTTTCCTTCATCTAGGCTCTGCACAGATCCAAACTGCTCTCGGGTTCCAACTTAGCACTTCATACCTAGTTATACCTCAGCCATAAACCTCATCTATACCTAGCCACTGCTTGCAGGACTACACTTAACCTAGAAACCTCCACTCTTTACCTAGGATCTTCTCACATTTGTTTGTTTCACATCACACCTTCACCAGACCCATGGTCTCACTTTTGCTCTCATCAATAGATCTGCATTTCCAAGATCACCTTAGTTCTTTTCTGTTCCGCATTCACTCTCTTTGCATTTTACTTGAAGGAAGTGCTTCATAGCAATCCTCTTGGGTCAATACAACACACCTGCACTCAGTCACTGCAGGCATTTTCCCATTTTCCTCCACCAAATATCCAACAACATTGATTGAGAAGATAAAAATTTCCTCTCATTTTCCCTGTCAAAACATTGGAAAAAAGTAATTCATGTTTCAATGATGTTCTGTGTGTGGGACATGATACAAAAATTGGTCATGTTCCTTCAAGGATAATGCTGTATTTTTGATGTATTGTATTTGAAATAACAACTTAAAATAATGTTAATTTTCTTTTCTGTGTTTTTCAAATATACTATGTTTTTCAAATGTTCTGTGTATATTTGAAAAATACAGAGAAGAAAATTAACGTTATTTTCAGCTGTTATTTCAAAGACAATACATCACAAATACAGCATTATCCTTGAAGGAACATGACCAATTTTTGCATCATGTCCCACACACAGAACATTATTGAAACATGAATTACTTTTTTTCAATGTTTTGACAGGAAAAATGAGGGGAAATTTCTATCTTCTTAATCAATGTTTTTGGATGTTTGGTGGAGGGAAATGGGAAAATGCCTGCAGTGAGTAGGATTTATTAGTACTCTAGTTTTCTTGCTAGCCAACTACTATTACTTCTTCACATTGATGTGAAAGCTGGTTCCAGACACACCTTGAAAACATCCAACAAGGTGTTTCTTGTTGCCATGATTCATCCAACAACAATGGTCTGGTGAACAACATGCATTGGAAACATGGACTGAAATTCAATGGAGCAACAAAGAAGTTCAAGAAGAATCTTGATGCAGCATGTTCTGACTTTCTCACTACCAAAGCAAGTGGTAAGCTATCTTTTTGTCATTTAATGTGCATCTCTGATGTCCTCTTAGCATTCATGGACAATTAGATCATTTGTGTTAAGAATGTGCTCAAAGGGTCGGATCCGAAGGGCTTGGCTTCAGCTCGTGCACTGCACCCCTTACCCAGGTATGTGCCCCTAACTTCTGAGGGCTATAGGATGAAGTCCGGAAGTCCGGAGTCCGATGCGTGGGAATTCTGGCAGATGTTCAGAAACAAGAGAGAAGACTAATCCAGACAAAGTCCAAACTAGAAAGAAACAGCGGAGGACTACCAGAGGTAGAGGCAGAGATGTTTAGTCAATAGGAATCAATCCTAAGACTTATCAGAGAACAACAAGAGGAGAAACTCAAGTTGGACGGAGGCAGGAATTGTTACGCTGACCTTAGAGTCGGCGTAGGAACTTGGATAGGTCTTCTTAGCGACGGCATGAATGTGCCCACCGAAGCTAAGGATCATAGCCTAGACGTAATGTCGAGGGTTCCTCTGGTGATCTCGGTAAGACAGCGCTTGTCGAGATACAGGGCTAGTGGATACGGCTAAGACAAGGGGTGCTTGGCTTAGAAGTGCGGTCTGAGGCAACTAAGTTGGAGGACTTAGTTGAGCAGGTTTCAAGGTAGAACCAAGTAGATTAAAGTAAAGTCTAAGTACAATAATCTGTCTACTGTTACAACCACTTATTACCATTGCCTTATATTTCCTAACACTTCTTCGATATGCCTTCCTTTCTTGAACTTGTACTTACTATCTCACGGTGACTTGGTCTGTGCGCACATATGGATCTATTTAAGCACATGTATTACGCCTATATTCTTTACTTGAATCTTACTAGGTTTTACCTGGAACATCCTTCGCTT